AAGGAGAAGGAGAAGGAGAAGGAGAAGGAGAAGGAGAAGGAGAAGGAGAAGGAGAAGGAGAAGGAGAAGGAGAAGGAGAAGGAGAAGGAGAAGGAGAAGGAGAAGGAGAAGGAGAAGGAGAAGGAGAAGGAGAAGGAGAAGGAGAAGGAGAAGGAGAAGGAGAAGGAGAAGGAGAAGGAGAAGGAGAAGGAGAAGGAGAAGGAGAAGGAGAAGGAGAAGGAGAAGGAGAAGGAGAAGGAGAAGGAGAAGGAGAAGGAGAAGGAGAAGGAGAAGGAGAAGGAGAAGGAGAAGGAGAAGGAGAAGGAGAAGGAGAAGGAGAAGGAGAAGGAGAAGGAGAAGGAGAAGGACAAGGACAAGGACAAGGACAAGGACAAGGACAAGGACAAGGACAAGGACAAGGACAAGGACAAGGACAAGGACAAGGACAAGGACAAGGACAAGGACAAGGACAAGGACAAGGACAAGGACAAGGACAAGGACAAGGACAAGGACAAGGACAAGGACAAGGACAAGGACAAGGACAAGGACAAGGACAAGGACAAGGACAAGGACAAGGACAAGGACAAGGACAAGGACAAGGACAAGGACAAGGACAAGGACAAGGACAAGGACAAGGACAAGGACAAGGACAAGGACAAGGACAAGGACAAGGACAAGGACAAGGACAAGGACAAGGACAAGGACAAGGACAAGGACAAGGACAAGGACAAGGACAAGGACAAGGACAAGGAGACAAGGAGACAAGGAGACAAGGAGACAAGGAGACAAGGAGACAAGGAGACAATGAAACAAGGACAATGACAAGGAGACAAGGTGACAAGGACAAGGAGAAAAGGACAAATAGACAAGGGCAAGGACACAAGGAGACAAGGACACAAGGAGACAAGGACACAAGGACACAAGGACACAAGGACACAAGGAGAAGGAAAAGGAGATCAAATGAGGTTATTCTCTTGCCGACACATGAACACAAAGTGCACATCTCTCAGTAACACTTCTACTAATACTTATAGCTATAATCTATATAGAACTAGTAACATGGTCGCCTTTCATCCGTTTACGAATACGTTTATGATACCGCGTGTTCCGGGATTTTCCGTGAGGCCGGGATTGAAACTGATTACGCGTACGATTTATTTAACTAGCAAGCCGTCGGCTAGAGAATAACAACAATTTGATACTCCGTCTCCGTCTCCGTCTCCGTCTCCGTCTCCGTCTCCGTCTCCGTCTCCGTCTCCGTCTCCGTCTCCGTCTCCGTCTCCGTCTCCGTCTCCGTCTCCGTCTCCGTCTCCGTCTCCGTCTCCGTCTCCGTCTCCGTCTCCGTCTCCGTCTCCGTCTCCGTCTCCGTCTCCGTCTCCGTCTCCGTCTCCGTCTCCGTCTCCGTCTCCGTCTCCGTCTCCGTCTCCGTCTCCGTCTCCGTCTCCGTCTCCGTCTCCGTCTCCGTCTCCGTCTCCGTCTCCGTCTCCGTCTCCGTCTCCGTCTCCGTCTCCGTCTCCGTCTCCGTCTCCGTCTCCGTCTCCGTCTCCGTCTCCGTCTCCGTCTCCGTCTCCGTCTCCGTCTCCGTCTCCGTCTCCGTCTCCGTCTCCGTCTCCGTCTCCGTCTCCGTCTCCGTCTCCGTCTCCGTCTCCGTCTCCGTCTCCGCCCCCGTCTCCGTCTCCGTCTCCGTCTCCTCCTCCTTCTCCTTTCCCTTTTTTGAATTCGATTGTTTAGGGCTAGGGCTCGGGTTAGGGTTGTGGTAAGGGTATCGGATAGCTTCGGGATTATATATTATGGTTGTTAGGGTTGGGATTAGGGTTTATGTAAAACCGTTTTGTACGGCTGCAAAACTATAAAAACCTTGTATCACGTCGTGACCCCCATCGTTACCTGGGGACCCCAGGCTATTATGTTTCATAAAGAATAAAGATTCGGCGGAATGACAGGCTGAGCGCCGCCCAGTAACCCCCATCGCCGTTTCACTATACCCCTGTAGAGTTTCTACGATACAGGGGAGCCGCGCACCTGTGCGCGGCGGGTCATACAACGTATGACAATAAAAACCAAAGTCACATGAAATTTTTGGCTCTTACTGATTCGCTCGCCCAAAAATTTCACGTGACTTTGATTTTTATGGTTTTGCAGCCGTACAAAACGGTTTTACATAAACCCTTATCCCAACCCTAACCCTAATCCGTAACCCCGAAGCTAACCATAACCCTTACCACAACCCTAACCCCACGGCTAACCCGAGCCCTAAACAATCGAATTCGTATTTTACTAGCCTGTCACGTGACCAAAACGGTTTTTTGCCCATAACTCTCCAGGGAAGCATTTTAACCCTACGTCATGGGGGGTGATTCGGAATCAGCGTCCAAAATACACTGATTCAGATCACATTTCTTATATACCCAGAGGGCCTTTTCACAAGAATTTTCTTAAAATTTGGGCGAGCGATTTAGTAAGAGCGGAAATTTTTGGGCGAGCAAATCAGCGAATTAGTAAAAGCCAGTTCGGCAAGGCCCAATTAATAGTGCATTTTGCTGCGATCTACGTGGTTGCGAGAAGAATTATTTGATGCGCGGCGCAGTCCAGTCTAGTCTAGTAGTGCATCGCTCTACAAGTAATTGTTCTACTTTATTGTATATCCCAGAGTGGTGTTTGGCAATTAGAAAAATTGATCGTGCGTGGTTTAACCGCGGCAAAATTTTTGTTGAAATTCTTGTTAAAATTCTGCACGCCTAATATAAACAATTATAACGTGCGTCTTACCTGGGGACCTCAGGCTATTATGTTCATAATAGAGATTCGGCGGAATGACAGGCTGAGCGCCGCCCAGTAACGTGCGTCAAATACCACTCTGGGATACAATAAAGTAGAACAATTACTTGTAGCGCGATGCACATTGCACTACTGGGCTGCGCCGCGCATCAAATAATCCTTCTCGCAACCACGTAGATTGCGGCAAAATGCCAAGCTGGCTTTTACTATTTCGCTCGCCCAAAAATTTAATTTCACGTGACTTTGGTTTTTATTGTCATACTTTGTAATTGTATGACCCGCCGCGCACAATTGCGCAGCTCCCCCTGTATCGTAGAAACTCTACAGGGGTATAATGAAACAACGATGGGGGTACAAGGTTTTTATAGTTTTTCAGCCGTAAAAAACGGTTTTACATAAACCCTAATCACAGGAGGAGCAATGCGTGGGCGCGATTGCAGCAGTTAGTGCCCGTTTGTAGCAGTCAGTGCCCGTTTGTAGCAGTTAGTGCCAGTTTGTGGCAGTTAGTGCCAGTTTGTAGCAATTAGTAGCAGTTTGTAGCAGTTTGTGGCAGTTTCTTTGCACTTTGCTCCTCCTGCGTAATCCCAACCCTAACGACCATAATATATAACCCCGAAGCTATCCGATACCCTTACCACAACCCTAACCCGAGCCCTAGCCCTAAACAATCGAATTCAAAAAGGAAAAGGAAAGGAAAGGAGAAGGAGACGGAGACGGAGACGGAGACGGAGACGGAGAAGGAGAAGGAGACGGAGACGGAGACGGAGACGGAGACGGAGACGGAGACGGAGACGGAGACGGAGACGGAGACGAAGACGGAGACGAAGACGGAGACAAAGACGGAGACGAAGACGGAGACGGAGACGGAGACGGAGACGTTACCTGGGGACCTCCGGCTATCGCGTAATTTTTGTTGTTAATTGTGTCCTCGTTCCAAATACGTAAAGAATTAAGCGCTTATAATCGTTTATAATCGCTTATATACCCCGCTTACATAATCGCTTATATACCCCAAATAAATCAAATCAAAACATATTTTGATCATAGTTTTAAAATGCGTCAAAAAGCGCTTTTCATCGTTTATAATCGCTTATAAGCGACAATTGAAGACAATAACATTTACGATACTTTATAATCACTTATAATCGCTTATAATATCTCGTACCTGACAATTTTTTCCTCGTTTCAAATACGTAAAAAAGCGCTTATAATCGTTTATAATCGCTTATAGACAGCAAATAAATAAGCGCTTATAAACGCTTTTCAGTAGGAAAATTTCAAGAAAAGCGGTTATAAGCGCTGATCATAGTGAAAATATCGCTTTTTAGCAGATTTCAAAAAATCGCTTATTGTCGCTTATAATCGTTTTATAATCGATTTAAACCGCTTATTAACTTAAGATAAAAAAGCGGTTTTTTAACGATTAGTAGGCGCTTTTTAATTTGGAACTTTCCCTAGTGAATATAATCGCTTATAGTCGATTAAAAGCGTTTTAAAAACGGTCCAAAAAACGGTTTATAAGCGTTTTTTTGAAAAGCGCTTACGGAGCGATAATAATCGACAACCCTAAAATAAAAGCGTTTTTTTATCACTAATAATTTTAATTCGCGATTTATTATCGCTTTTAAAGCGCTAATAATCGCTTTTGCAAAAAAAAATTATGGAAAAAGCGATTATAATCGTTTTTAATCGTTTATTAACGGGACCGTTTATAATCGCTTTATAATTGCCAAATAACGGTGGGTTTTATCAATAAGCGCTTTTTTAGCGTAAAAAAAGCGGTTATTACCGCTGATCACAAAAAATTAGTTATGGAAACTTGCCATGATTTGAATAAAAGAAACCTACCATTACGTGATATTAATGATCTTTATGATCTTAGGGCTACTGCCTCTAACAGAGTTTTGTGGAGAAAATTATTTACCTCATAATTAACCTTTATTTTTCAGAGAACTGTTATGTTTTTTTGGGCACTTATCAGTCTCTTAAGATGTTTCTTTACTATTTCGAGATTGTTTTAAAAGTTAGATAATAATGTGAACTGATCCGAAATTTAAAAACGATAGAAAGTTTAACAACAACATAAATTCAATTTCCTTACTTTGTATTTTGTAATTGTATATTGGATCATGCATAACTTATTAACGGGTGATACTCGTAAAATATCTGTTCCATATATTGGACCGTCGACGAGTCCAACTCGGCGCGCGTCCTGGTAGGTTGTAAACCTACAAATAACTTACAGAACAACATCAGGCCGAGCTGCGGAAACGATGCCATTATCAATATCGTACTTGATGTCGGTTGCCTTGAAGTCCTCTTCATTGACATTGGTACAGTCGCAAGCTTCTGTCGCTAAAAATAGAGTTTTTAATGGTTAATTAATAAAACTAACTTATTTCAGTTACCTAGCTTATACTTATTTTACTAACAGTCAAGTTAAGCCCCGCAAAATCAATAGAACTTATAGTTTTGCGTGATTTATAAAGAAAGTCACGAGGAATATAATATCAAATATTTCGTATTATATACAATAAGTATTTAATCTATACACCATAATATGTACATAAGATTAAGTATACTAAAAGTGGAAACCTGCTTCCTTTACCGATCAGAACCAAAATTATAAGCGAATTAAGTTTGTGCGTTAATGTTATCTAATCGTATCATGACGTATCATAAAGCACCACAACGTGCTATTAGTATTCTGCATTGTATAAAAGTCAACTCACAACAAGTGGGTACGTCACACCAGTCATATCTTACACTGGGGTTTGTTGTATAGCACCAAACATCGCTGTACTTCCTCTCTGGATTTCGACAATAGTTGTTATCTCCGATACCATACCTGCAGTCAGAGATTGATGAGAAGATGAAATACTTGATAACGTGTCTTTCGAAAATCACAAAAACAATGGACTGCAATTGTGACGGTTCCACAATACACCTGTCCCTAGTATCTCACACTTAGGTTATAATTGTGGACATCGAGACGACAAACAGTTCTCAACATGTAAAAAAATTGAGTCATTGAGTTCACTCACAAAGTTAAAACATGTGATTATATTATGTACTTACGTTTTCTTAATTTTTGATTTGTGGACTTCATTTGATTTCCAATTCTGACATGTGTAACCTAATCTTGTTCTAGATTGAGTCCCATCGTATCCTGATCCTTTGTTTGCTCTATCCTTGGCATCCCAACATTCCCGAGCTGAAACACGTCGATTTGTCATATTATGAGAGTTAATAGTAGTAGTATAAAGACCTCCTTTTAAAAAGCTTGGCTATTTAATTGACAGGAATGATTGATCCAGATTAATTGTCAGTAGCATGCATTATCGGAAAATTCAAGTTGCGATGAACCTCCATAGAATCATCGCTTTATTCGTTTACAATTGAAACTTACCAGATAACAATGAAATGATCGAGAGTAAGGTTACCAAGAAAAACATTGACATTGTCTTGCTTTCTGAACTCAGTGGTTGGTTTTAATATAAATCTTTAGTTTGTTGGCATTAAGAATCACAGCGGTATTTGTGAATCAATATATTAAATCATGGGTAACAGTGTGGCAGATCATATTACTATTGTAATTGGCCAAATTCTGAATTTCGCATTGCGAAATTTTTTTAAAGGCCTAACTCAAAATTCTGTCCCAAAACTTAAAGTTAAGGTCATGAGACAATTCTACGTTGATTCTGAAAATTTCATGTGAAAATGTTGAAACCCTATTGAGTTCTATTGTTTTGAGCGAAGTCAATTTTGCAAATATCGCGAACTGAGATATGGGCGATTTTGTTCATTTTTTGCGATTATTTGAACACAGAATCCACAGTTAGATATTGGCTGATAATCATAAAGAATGTGTAGTATAGGCTTACCTTCCATATAAAGTTGGTTTCATTCAAAAATATTAATATTTGACCAATTTATGGACCAAAATCGATCAAATTTGGTGCGTATGCCCAAATATGGGCATATGGTTTTTATCCCATAACTCGGCCAATTTTTATCCAATTTTGATAAAACTTAATATGTGTGTTCAGGAGACTAGTAGCTACAAGTAGAGCATCTAAAAGCATGGTTTTGGGCATGTTCAGGGTATTTGGCTAAATTGGGCCTAATTTGGACCAAATATGTGTGTGGCTGCCCCGCGGGCACCGTTTAGCTGTTGGGGTCCGGTACCTCCTCAAAAGTTCGGTCACCGGTCCTAGTTTGTTGGTCAACTGCTATCTCGAAACCAAATTTCACAAAAAAATCAGGGTGAACCCCCCCCCCCCCCCCCCCCCTCTTAATAACTCACGTAATTCTTCTTAGAATTGCACAGAAATTTCAGAGATTATAGATATGCGTCTAACTTAGATTTCCTGAAAGTTTCGTCAAATTTAATTAATTACAGTGGGTGTGGCACGCCCTTCCCTTTTTTTCACTATTGTCACCATAAAGTAAGAACGCTTTCAGCTAGGAACTTCCAAGTTTCTAGACACATTTGGTTTGATAATTGAAGTGCTTTCCCAAAATTTCAAGTTGGTTGTTCACAATTTAACCGAGTTATGACCCTTTTAAGATGTTGCAGATACGTGATCTAGCACTTAATGATAATCAGTAATATCTTCACTCAATCAATGCCCTGATTAGTTGGAGACTGCATATAGGACAGCAACCGAAGCGCTATAACGCAAATTTCTTCGGTTTTAAGGAACGTCACTATCAGTATTCACTCAAAGTGATCAGATCGTCATCCACCAACATGCTCGTTACCGCCTGATGAGGCTCATTGTTGCTGGCTAGCGAATAGCTCCCGATGAGATTACTGATTGGGTGACGAAATCACTGATTAAGTGCCGAGATCACGTTTCTGCAATATCTTAAAAGGGTCATAACTCGGTTAAATTGTAAACAACCAACTTGAAATTTTGGGAAAGCACTTCAATTATCAAACCAAATGTGTCTAGAAACTTTAAAGTTCCTAGCTGAAAGCGTTCTCACCTTATGGTGACAATAGTGAAAAAGAGGGAGTGGCGTGCCTATAGACCAAGTGGCCAAGTTACTATCCTTGTTCTGTTTTCTAAGCTATGCATTCAACGTTAGACCAAGTGTCCAAGTTACTATATTTGGTCATGCTACCACCCCAATAGATCTTCTTCTCCTTAGGGTAGAATGTGAAGCTGTAAATTTTAAGTTGATCAAAGGTTATTGTCCCGATCAAAGATAACTGTCCCGGTTGGAGATAATCCATTTTTCCTTTAAATTCCGCTTCGGGTCCATCGTCCATTGTTAGAGACAGTGTGAAATCGTCGTTAATGGTAATTGTTCGGCCTTCGGATTCGAGCAGCTTGCAGGGACTGGGATCAGCCCATTTCGTGCATTTAACGTTAGACCACGCTTTTTTGGGATTCTTTTCACCATCCCAATAGATCTTTCCCTCCACAGGGTAGAATTCGAATACGCTACTTTTACCTTTGAGATCTGCATCACCCCAGTTAATGGATCCGGTATTTGGAATAGCTGTTTGATCAATCGTTCCTTTGGAATCCGGTCGAGTATTGTCCCATTGTAGAGTCAGTTCGTTTTGGTCAGCGTTTATTGTTGCAGATCCGTATACGAACGAGAGGCAGGGAAGTTAAGGTCTCGGTTCTGGTTTTGGTTTGGCGTCGATAACTACTATAGCCAACAGGCAAGTCAAAATAACGGCAACTGTCCTCATACTAGAAACGTCTTGAAGAGAACACTATAGAAAATAAAATTTTAATTGTAATTGATGTCGCTTTAATCCTGCCCCCATGAAAAGATGTCATGTATTCCTTGCTCAATTAAATTTGTTGCAAATTGACCAGAGGGAAGAGCTGGATACAGCTGTTTTGTTAAATTGCTTTCAGGTCGGGTTTAATTTCTATGATACACTGCTAACTCTGAATACATTCAAGAGAAAGGGGACGTGAACAAAGGAACAGCCGCATTGACTGGAGTGGTTATTACTGGAACTTCCAGTTCTCCGAACAATCGTTTAACTTAAATACGAACAGAAACTCCAGTAATGTTACATCAAACTAATTCGGCAAGTTTCCATAACTAATTTTTTGTGATCAGCGGTAATAACCGTTTTTTTACGCTAAAAAAGCGCTTATTGATAAAACCCACCGTTATTTGGCGATTATAAAGCGATTATATTTATAAACGGTCCCGTTAATAAACGATTAAAAACGATTATAATCGCTTTTTCCATAAATTTTTTTTGCAAAAGCGATTATTAGGGCTTTTTAAGTTTCTACGACCTTCAGAAGCAAAGGGTCGGTTACGTTATTGGGTCAATTGTCAATATGTGCGTGGCCCTCCTGGGTTTTCCCCATGGTAAAAAATGTCTCCAACCGAAAATCGTTTATTCATACCTTTGGGAAGGTCTGTGCAAAGTTTCGTGAGTATCTGAAAATTTGCAGATTCATTTCCATAAATGACTGGACTATAATATAAGCGATTATAAGGTATTATAAATGACATAGCTCGGCGCGCTCATACTAAATCGCTCGCCCAAATTTTAAGAAAATTCTTGTGAAAAGGCCCTTTGGGTATGAAATTGATCTAAATCGATGTATTTTTGGACGCTAATTCCGAATCACCCCCCATGACGTAGGGTAAAAATGCTTCCCTGGAGAGTTATATGCAAAAAAACCGTTTTGGTCACGTGACAGGCTAGTAAAACATGAATTCTAAGGAAGCTTGGGATTTTTTGCACATCTGCCAATATTTTCGCAGCAAATTGAAAATAAAAGATATATCTTTTGCCGTCATGACGATAATTTGCGTTTTGATTTTTAATAATTTGCGTTTTGATAAATTACAACCGCTTGTTAATCTTGAGTTAATTACATTTGTTTCACTATATGTTATATGGAAATATATGGTTACACTGTACACATTGACATAATATTTAGCGATCTATCTTAATCCTTGTTGCCAGAGAACTGAAAGTTTGCAACCACAAAAATTGTACAACGATGATAAGATGTTGGTAATAAGGAGAAGGAGAAGGAGAAGGAGAAGGAGAAGGAGAAGGAGAAGGAGAAGGAGAAGGAGAAGGAGAAGGAGAAGGAGAAGGAGAAGGAGAAGGAGAAGGAGAAGGAGAAGGAGAAGGAGAAGGAGAAGGAGAAGGAGAAGGAGAAGGAGAAGGAGAAGGAGAAGGAGAAGGAGAAGGAGAAGGAGAAGGAGAAGGAGAAGGAGAAGGAGAAGGAGAAGGAGAAGGAGAAGGAGAAGGAGAAGGAGAAGGAGAAGGAGAAGGAGAAGGAGAAGGAGAAGGAGAAGGAGAAGGAGAAGGAGAAGGAGAAGGAGAAGGAGAAGGAGAAGGAGAAGGAGAAGGAGAAGGAGAAGGAGAAGGAGAAGGAGAAGGAGAAGGAGAAGGAGAAGGAGAAGGAGAAGGAGAAGGAGAAGGAGAAGGAGAAGGAGAAGGAGAAGGAGAAGGAGAAGGAGAAGGAGAAGGAGAAGGAGAAGGAGAAGGAGAAGGAGAAGGAGAAGGAGAAGGAGAAGGAGAAGGAGAAGGAGAAGGAGAAGGAGAAGGAGAAGGAGAAGGAGAAGGAGAAGGAGAAGGAGAAGGAGAAGGAGAAGGAGAAGGAGACAAGGACAAGGAGACAAGGAAAAGGAGACAAGGAAAAGGAGACAAGGACAAGGAGACAAGGACAAGGAGACAAGGACAAGGAGACAAGGACAAGGAGACAAGAAAAAGGAGACAAGGACAAGGAGACAAGGACAAGGAGACAAGGACAATGAGACTAGGACAAGGACAAGGAGACAAGGAGACAAGGAGACAAGGAGACAAGGAGACAAGGAGACAAGGAGACAAGGAGACAAGGAGACAAGGAGACAAGGAGACAAGGAGACAAGGAGACAAGGAGACAAGGAGACAAGGAGACAAGGAGACAAGGAGACAAGGAGACAAGGAGACAAGGAGACAAGGAGACAAGGAGACAAGGAGACAAGGAGACAAGGAGACACGGAGACAAGGAGACAAGGAGACAAGGAGACAAGGAGACAAAGACAATGAAACAAGGACAATGACAAGGAGACAAGGTGACAAGGACAAGGAGAAAAGGACAAATAGACAAGGGCAAGGACACAAGGAGACAAGGACACAAGGAGACAAGGACACAAGGAGTCAAGGACACAAGGACACAAGGACACAAGGACACAAGGACACAAGGACACAAGGACACAAGGACACAAGGATACAATGAGACAAGGAGACACGGAGACAAGGAAACAAGGACACAAGGAGACAAGGACACAAGGAGACAAGGAGACAAGGAGACAAGGAGACAAGGAGACAAGAACACAAGGAGACAAGGACACAAGGAGACAAGGACACAAGGACACAAGGAGACAAGGAGACAAGGAGACAAGGAGACAAGGAGACAAGGAGACAAGGAGACAAGGAGACAAGGAGAAGGAAAAGGAGATCATAATAAAAAACAAAGTCACATGAAATTTTTGGGCGAGCAAATCAGCGAATTAGTAAAAGCCAGTTCGGCAAGGCCCAATACTGCATATTGCTGCGATCTACGTGGTTGCGAGAAGAATTATTTGATGCGCGGCGCTCCGCCGGCGCAGTTCAGTCTAGCTAGTAGTGCATCGCTCTACAAGTAATTGTTCTACTTTATTGTATATCCCAGAGTGGTGTTTGGCAATTAGAAAAACAAAAAATTGATCGTGCGTGGTTTAACCGCGTTGTAGGTTTACAACCTACCAGGACGCGCGCCGAGTTGGACTCGTCGACGGTCCGAGTTGGACTCGTCGACGGTTCCAATATATGGAACAAATATTTTACGAGTATCACCCGTTAATAACCGCGGCAAAATTTTTGTTGAAATTCTTGTTAAAATTCTGCACGCCTAATATAAACAATTATAACGTGCGTCTTACCTGGGCCGGGACCTCAGGCTATTATGTTCACATTCATAATGCTAATAGAGATTCGGCGGAATGACAGGCTGAGCGCCGCCCAGTAACGTGCGTCAAATACCACTCTGGGATACAATAAAGTAGAACAATTACTTGTAGCGCGATGCACTACTGGGCTGCGCCGCGCATCAAATAATCCTTCTCGCAACCACGTATGACGTAGATTGCGGCAAAATGCCGAGCTGGCTTTTACTAATTCGCTCGCCCAAAAATTTCATGTGAATTTGGTTTTTATTGTCATACGTTGTATGACCCGCCGGGCCGCGCACAATTGCGCAGCTCCCCCTGTATCGTAGAAACTTTACAAGGGTATAATAAAGCAACGATGGGTTTTGTTAGGTAAAACGTACTGAAAATTAAAATTAAGATTAAAAATTGAAAACGAACTGAACTAACAAAAAGAATGACACGTCATGCTAAAATACATATTCCGAAGTAAAATTAAACCCAAATTTTCCCCAAATGTTAAAATACTTGTCGACAAAGATTTCAAACCGTTTTGCGCAAGGCAGTAATATTAAAACTTTGTCGTGAAAGTTTACGAACTAAATATTTACAATCCAAAATAAAACTGTTAAAAGAACTATTAATACGAGCTAAACGAACTAACTAACTAATAAATTTACCATAATACTGGCCTTTGGGATTATTCCCATCTAATAGGGATAATTAATGACATTAAAATTATAATCGTTCGACGTTCCTTTTGTCTTGCAGGATGTTACTCGTCTAAATTTCTTCGAAGTAGCGCGCGCCGCGCCGCTTTCTTCTCGACGACACGAGCTACGAAGTAGCGCGCGCCGGGCCAGATCATTAACAATGGTCAACTACCAATAAGAAAATGAGTGACGTATGCGCTACAAGAGCCGCGCGCCGCGCTGAGTTAGATTGTAAAATCTGATTATTTGATTGTAAAATCGCATAAATGCGCTATGTGCGCGTTTTAGAGGGTTCAATTACGCCTTACCTGAGGACCCCAGGCTATTATGTTCATAAACATAACCTGGCGTAATTGAACCCACTAATACGCGCAAACGAGCGTACTAAATCACTCTACAGTCGATCTTCGAGATTGTTCTAAAAGGGCCGCCGACAGTTGAAACCAACTTCAATCGATGTATTTTCGGACGCTGATTCCGAATCACCCCCATGACATAGGGTTAAAATGCTCCCCTGACGAGATATAGGCGAAAAACTGTCTCGATCACGTGATATGACCTTATAAGAAAGTTAGTCTAATTTCTCGTTAGGGTTAGGGTTTCAGCATATGCTTTTGTTAAGGATTGGGTTAGGGTTAGGGTTGGGATCAGATAAGAGGGTTAGGGTTTCGAATAATCGTTCACGACCAGCTAGAGAACGGGTTGAAAAAGTCACGTGACAGTCGAGTGTAGAGTGATTAATTATCATCCACGCGCAAATAGGCGCGTTTATGCGATTTTACAATCAAATAATCAGATTTTACAATCTAACTGAGCGCGCGGCTCTTGTAGCGCATACGTCACTTCTTTCTTATTGGTAGTTGGCGTGCACGTGATCTTTTGCGCTGCTGGAATTGGTTCTGACCGATCACGTGAATGCGAGTCACGTGCGCTCTAACATCCAATGAGCATTCGCACTTTTTTCTTGGGCGATGGAGGTCGTAATTCACTCAGCCCGAATAAAGATTCGGCGGAATGACAGGCTGAGCGCCGCCCAGTAAATTACGCCAGGCTATTTTTATAAACATAATAGCCTGGGGTCCCCATGTAAAAAGTTTTCTAAGTATAACCTATTTTATTTTTTAATTTTAAGAACTTTCGCTTTCACTAGACTTTAAAAACTTTTTCTTTGAAAAAGCATAAGTCGTCACCGCACCGATTAAGTCAAATTTTGACTCCAAAATATCATACGCAAGTTAAAAATTGCTACACGTCATATAATTCTCTCGTGCACTCCGACCGGCCGGCCGCAATCAAAAAGGGTTGCAGCGAGTGTCAAGTTAAGAATTAAATTTTTTTCAGAAATGTACCGACCAAGTGCAGGCGTAAAATTAAATCATGTGCAGCACGGCTCTGTTTTTTACAATTTATATATCATGATAATTTATTAAACACACAAATTCATGATTTAAGGAAAATGGGTTATAATTAATGCAAATGTAATCAAATGCAGATGAAAATGAAAATTATTGCGCAAAAATTAAATTACATATACCAAGTTTTAATTTTTCAAATGTACTTGGTTTTAAATTATAAATGTTATTGATTGGTGACGTAATTAATTCAATCATCATTATAAATACCAAATTAGTTTTCTATATTTAAATAGTACATATGGTATTATGGAGACAAAATGAACATAAATTCATATCATCAGTAATTAAATTTATGGTGTATAATAGGAGGTAGAAATCCTCGTTTTCCCAAAAGCTACTATAGTTTTGAACGCATTTGAGATTCTAAAGTACTCGACACATCTTTTTTTCACGGGCAGGAGGACACAACACCGCCAGTATGGCCTCATCAAAAACATCCTTTAGTCCTGCAGTAAAAAGTGATTTCATGATTACATACATACCTTTGCAAGAAACAACAAATTTGTGAACTACACAAGAAAAATGTTCTATAAAATTATTTTAGTTATATTATTAAATGAATTATAGTATTATTTGTTCACCTTTTTGTGTCATAGCAGAGCATTCCACATATTTTACAGCTTTAGTATCTTTGGCTAGCTTTTCCCCTTGTAGTTGTGTGATAGGCTTCTGTGAAGATGGTAGTTTATTAGTTGATCAGCGGATTGCTTCTTCTGCATGCTGCTGATCAATTTATAGCAGTTAAATGTACCCAATGTGAAATATATAATTTTTGGTCCATATTTCAGTTCCATTTTCAATGACTTAACAAAAATATTGATTCTTTGTGATTTTCAAAAACCAGTAGATTGTTTTGATTGTCTCTATTTCTTCGACTTTCATCGCTTATCTGATGCTTTGATAAAAGGATTGTACAATTACCCAAGAAACCATAAATAATTATGTTTTTTGTAATCAGTAATCACAATGTATTATTACTATATTATATATATGTTATAGATTTGCTTGAAATTTTTACCTTTCGGTCTCTTTGAAGCTCTGCGATTTTGTTTTGATCATCTCTCAAGTCATTCTGTGTGCCTACAATCAGGTAGACAGCTGTTGGAACATGATGAGTTATTTCTGCTATCCACTGAAATAAGATGTCTTATTAGTTCAGAGCTGTGGCAAGTAGGGTAACGTTGCATATTGGTGCCTCATCTACCTTGCAAAGTATTTATAATTCCTATTAGACTTTTTGAACACCATATATAAAAAGGTTATAGAAAAGTGACAGCACCTTTTCTTTGATATTCTCAAAAGATGCAGGGTTGACGATACTAAAGCAAACTAGAAAGACATCAGTGGACGGGTAGCTGAGGGGCCGTAATCTGTCATAATCTTCCTGACCTGTAGTGGAAGTGTTAGGTACTCTTTCCTGGGCAAAATCAGAAGTGGGATATAGTTTAGCTTACCAAAAATAAATTTGTATTTTAATCATGTTTTAATCGTGGGAATATCTTCTTTTTCGATTCTATATAATAGTCTAAAAATTGAATGTTTGCATGATGCAAATTTTAGAAGCATAGAATTAAATTTCCTGACCTGCTGTGTCAAACAAACCAAGCGTGTACGGTTCACCACCAATCATAACCGTCACCGCATAGTTATCAAAAACCTGTTGAACATTGTGAAAATGAAATATTAAGTGTGAACTGAAAACTTTATGTTGAGAAGTTATGATTTATTTAAATGTCGCTGGAATACATTCTTTGTGAACTGTGACTTGTTGCTGGCAGTCACCCTCTTTTTTGTACAGTACAATTATTATCCTTTTGCACTGAAGCTAAGTCAGGATACAATAACCCCCTCCAGTCAGGGCTCAGGATACAAGCTTAGTCAAGTGCAATGTTTCATTAAAATTTCTTGTTCTATTGAACATAAGCCGATTCACAGTAATTCAATATTAATTCCTGCTTTATACTGTTAAAATATCTGAAGGTATTATTTCTGAAAATAACTCACTGTAGGTACATATGTAGTGGGGAACTTGTTCTTGGTATACGAGATCAGAAGGCATGTTTTTCCTACCGCCCCATCACCAACAACTACACACTTAATCGTATTCATAACACTTCTTGATCAAGACAAGGTTAATTGATTAAAGCTAAGAAAACATCTTAAGCTGACTAAGTTTTTATTCCTTCAGTGAACGAAATTTGTGAAGAAACGTTTTGCGAGTACTATGATTTTCAAATACGGAATAAAATTCAAAATCAATGAACCTACTTTTTAAAAAAAATTCTGTATGTCTTAATTTTTCAATAAACGACTCGATACAATACAACGTCAAAGCAATGCTAAATAAGATTGTTGTGATAAGAGTTGGTCTAAACATTGTGTTTATGTTTATTTATATCTCAACTCTATCTGATTATTATTAAGGAAGTACGACGCAACAATTATCATGTTGGCTATGATAGCACTTACAGTGAGTTAGGAAATGTAGAAAATTTAGGAAATGTAGGTGTTCTCTCTATCTCTCTCTCTCTCTCTCTCTCTCTCTCTCTCTCTCTCTCTCTCTCTCTCTCTCTCTCTCTCTCTCTCTCTCTCTCTCTCTCTCTCTCTCTCTCTCTCTCTCGTCTAGGTCACCAGAATGAGATATGATTGAAACGTTTATAAACTTATAAATATTAAATAAGTTATGAATAAGTTATTGGTGGTGTGTGGTTAGTGTAGTTGAATAAGTAGAAAACCTGTGAGATAATATAATTTGAAGAAATTTCGGGAACATAATATTTATTATTTCTGCCAGGGATGGGCATTGATACAGCCTCTGAAATGCACCAGAAACACCATGTCAGAGAATAACTATGGGAAAATATCACAATTTCATGTAGTGCCCATAATATATTTATATCTGAATCATTATTAAATAATCCTACCTAGTTATTTTAGTATTCACTATTAGATACATAAAATATATTAATAATATTTGATTATCAAAACCATTGAATTCATTAAACTGAAATCCTGTCACCTGCATTTCCTTGATCATATTAACTGAAAGTTTTACCACAGGTAGGTTACACCATGAGCTGAAATCAAATAACAGATTAGATGAAAGACACAATTTGGCACAGTAAGTGGTGTTAAAGTCTTTGAAGTCGCATCTAGTTTTTAAGAATTAGGTTTCTAGTTCTGTGTCTTGCAGATGAAGGTTGCATTTTTAAATCCATGACTACTAGATCAGGTAACATTTTCTGGTCTAAAGGATGATTTACAATTGAGGAATATCAAATATAATATATATGTTTGGATGCTAGTAGCAGAGAGCGTGTCATGGCGCTTGTCCAGATCAATTTATATCCTTAACCTTAGTCACATAAAGTTCTAACTGAAATTAATTAAAATTGAGCTAATTAAAATGACACATATTCAGATCAAGACATACAACATGAAGAGTTGAAGATAAACATAGAAAATGTTGATTCCAGTATGAACAGTGATGTTAACTGCTTCACTTTTAACATGTAAGATGAGTGGTTGACTTTTCAATTAGAAAGAAACAAACCTTAAATAAACAAAATATTAACAGAAGTGTTCATAAACATATAAAGAAACATTTTACTGTCTATATGCTCCGGTTTTGTCATGATCTCCGATTTCTACCAGTTGTCATGGCAACAACATTATTTTGTTTCAATTCCGCTGATTTCTCAACTTCTCAGATCACCCCGCTACGCATCAACTCCAAGATACGACTCTAACTCTCACCATGTGTCACATGACTTCAACAGATCATATGATCTCAGCAGATCCAGTGATTTCAACAGATCACATGATCAGAACAGATCTCTACCAGAGTGTTATCTCCCAAGCAGGAACCTTCACTCCAGGGTACGTGGTATTCTTGGTTTTAACATTGGGTTAACCTTTAATCTTCAACCAGTGCTGAGCTCGTAAAATAGCATATTGTGTTTGTGATTTGTTATTCGTATCGTGCGGTTTAGTGGTTAAGATATAACTCTTATTGCTTATGCCTATTTGAGTATTTGTAACTTTATAACATATTGACAACCTACCACATGTCGACTTGTTTATCTGTGTCGTAAGTGCACATTTTACTCGGTTGATTTAACTGTAAAAACTGAGGAAATGACAATGATATTGATAAAATGTTGGATACTAGAAGTAAAGTTCATGATGCTAATAGTTATTGTTGACACGGTTCGTGCCAGCCAAGTCCCGAAACAGATCTCTCACAGCACCTGATAATGTATAAACAATATTTAGTAAGTGGTATTACCTATATCAGAACATTGTAATTCTCCAGCTGATCTGTCATTATCCTCTGCAACACCGCTATATTGACAAATGACCTGTAAATTAGAGTACCGATATATTCATGTAGCATCATTAGAACACTTTGTCTAAACGAGGTATTATCTTTAACCCCTACAATTTTAATCACGTGATAAAGTTAATCACGTGATATACGAGAGACTTCTATCAGAACTGCTCCAACTCCAAAATCTTCTTCTTGTTATTGCAGTGATCTTGATATTATTCACTATAGTTTTGGAACGACTATAACTGACATCCCGACATTTTCTAGGAAATCTAAAATTAGGTAATGGTAAGTCATTTTTCAAAATATGCGCTTTAATTGAATCTCTGTTTAAGAGGGTACTTAATTCATGAATTAAGATACGAAGTTGCATATTTTGAAATTCGATAACAGTCTATCGTTATGAACTTTATGTCACGCTATACAGAATTCTCAGTCGTCATGGTAACCTATAACTCCCAAAGACTGATAAGGAAACAGCAAGCTTACAATATTACAAACAACACACAATATCACAGCTTAGCTCATTTGTTAACTTCGTTTGTGTTCTTGATTTAAGTTCCTTCGTTAGTTTTTTTTTCAGAAGATGTTTGTTGTTGCAGTTATTAATTGTGGAGTACTGGTCTACATTTGAGGGTTTGTTTTTGTAACTCTAACTTTTACCAAATCGTGATGGATATTTGACATATTTTCATGACATTATGGATATTCAATACAAAGCTTGTGCTATTAAAGGACAGGTTCACCAGCACATGACTATTCGTGTAAGTATCCCGACTAGTAGCAATTGTCGACTAGTAGGGCCAGGAAATATGGTGGATGGGCGAATATCTTGTATTAACCGAGACTATGGAACACCCCACCTTTAGCGGGCTGCAGCGTCATGTTCCATCTCCTAGGATACCACACAACTCTCTAGTATATTGCCGCAACTTACTACAATTATAAGATTATAGCACTGAGCGGCAAAACACAAACACTAGATATACATTGAAACAACCTCCCGCAGAGTTACCCAGGGTTTGAAAGGGGCGAAGAGAGGCAGCAAGGGAAGAAAACTGTCCGGTTCAGATCGAGAAGTTTCGAGAATAATAGCAACCGAAATATCATCAGAAATAAACAGGTAACAGACATCAATAGGGTGTTTCATAAGTATGTAATATATTTTCTTACTTGCTTGGTCTAATTTTGCAGACCGTCGGAAGTTGGGTGCAGTGAGGACTGGTGAGGAACTATTTTAGGTGGGGTCGATGGGGGTTTGGGTGTCTTCTCACCTTGAGAGAAGGCACCCAACCAACTTACCACTTCAGTTTCTTTTGTCTCTTTACTAGTTCGACAGGATTTTAAACCTTTTGCTCTAAAGTAAGGGTTACATACTGGTTTGCTCTAAAGTAAGGGTTATATACTGGTTCACAACACTGGGAAACTTGTTTTCATGTTTAAATTTAATCATTTAATTAATCAATTAATTTAAGTTCAATATCTGTCAGGGTCAGGAAAGTCCGTTAGCGCTACTCCAAGAACTGCTTGGTATGGACTCTTCCCGGTCCAGTTTTACAGATGTTATTTACCGAATAGAAGAGGTTTGGGTTCTTTTGCGATAGTCAAAACGCGACAACTAGCGCTGGATGGCGACAACTAGCGCTATCCAGCGCTAGTTGTCGCCATCCAGCGCTAGTTGTCGCCATCCAGCGCTAGTTGTCGCTATCCAGCGCTGGATAACGCTATCCAGCGCAAAATATAAATTTTCGATAATTGTCGCTATCCAGCGCTAGTTGTCGCCACCCAGCGCTAGTTGTCGCGTTTTGACTATCGCAAAAGAACCGAGGTTTGCTTGGTCTGAATGTTTACATTGTGGTTGTCTCTTTATTTTTAGTATCAGTAGCTTCCTGGACTATGAATAGTTAGATATTCAATATGAACAGTCCTTACTCTCACAGCACAATTAAGAAATCACAGCAAAATCCTAGGCTTTCTTAATTAGAAACATTCCTGACCTAATTCTGAAACATTCCTGACATTCCTGACCTATTGTTGCAGCTGCAAGACCGGGTTGCCTCAGAACATTTTGTAACGCGTAAGAAATCCCACGAAATCCAAAGACTAAAACACAGACTAGACAATGCAGGAAAGGAGATTGATAGTCTGAAGTTCGAGAACAAGAAACATTATGTTAAAAACAGAGCATTTGATATAGAGGTAATGTTTTAGAATGTTCAACGTTAAATTCTAAATTTTGTGTTTATTCCACTCTGCTGAATAATATTATCTGGCGAATGTAATATTTCTGTATTAAGTTGATTGGTGCGCACTGCGCATGTATTTGCATCGCTCGCCTAACTGTAGTCATATATCTCTCCACCGAGTGCATCAGAATTTGAAGCCCCTTTTAAATTTTCTAAATTTGTCACCTCCCATTTCACTCAAATTAACCTCCCTAAAACCCTACTGTCCTGATGAAACCCTTGCTCAGGTTTTCAAGATGGGGTCACGTAAGCGGCGTCGCCAGCTCCGCAGCTTGAGTCTCCCCGACACTTCCTATCTGCCCCGTAAAGTGTCCTCCTCAATGGTGGAAGGGAGTGTTATCAGCTTACATTCCGCTAGCTGGGATAGTGTCGGGGGCAAGGAGGAGGTTTGTCTTTGTAGCTTTATCATGTTCTGTATAACTTAGCTTTTAAATAAATATTTTAAAAAGTGCGTCCATTATTGTTAATTAGACATACACCAAGGTCGAATTAGTGGAATCTTTGTTGTCTTAATTCTTCCCCATATTTTGGTTTTTGTAACCGTCTCTCATTTCAGCTGGACAGCGAAAGAAGACCTAGTTACCTATCCGAAGTGGTATCAGAAGATCTGGACTTCACGTGTAACGACTTTGAGGCGACACTCCAAGACTTGGTCTTGGAGGAACCCAAATACCTTAAACAGAAAATACAGGTGAGTTTTACTGCTGATTAATTTAGCAATTAACAGTAGTTATTGACTTGTTAATTGATATGAAGGTACTGCAGGTCTTCAATATCGGTAATAATACCCCACATAGACGCAGCTAACTTAATTATGTCTCTGCTGAGTGCATATAATAATCCTCCTCATTTCATTTGTCTCTTAGCATTACTCCCACTATACCCTATACCCTTTAACACCACGAATGATAAACCAAGTATCTAATGTTATGATTCAACTCACCCCAACAATTCTAAAACAGATCACCACAAATCTAAAATCCAGTGTACTTCTAGAATTACTATCACCCGATACCGGTTCTATCAGTTCCTCTCTTCTACAAAACTGATAAACTACCACCAGTGTGAGCTTCATACCCCACTTCACCGGAACTATAGCTAAAACCGTCAACATATTACATGTCGTGCATCACGTGACATGAATAAAGAGCTGTGATTGGTCCTCCGTAATGAAATGGAGGTTGCTGGTTGGTGGGTTGCCAAGGTATGTGTCCTATCATTGGTTTGGTTGGGTGTCCTAGGTGGCTATAGTTTCTTCCTATACCTCTAATAAAGTTAAGAGCTCATTAAGCGGGTTGCTATGGCAACGATGCTGGGTGTTCTCCAAGGAATCCAGTCGCATTTATAACTACAGTTAGTATTTTATCGGCAATTAGTTTCTTTAGCAATTGTACTAGACGTGATGGGGTTTTAATTTAAAAGAATCAAGGTTAGTGGTATGTTGGCATCTTGGATATGATTTAGTACCAAATCTAATATATCATTTTTAATTTGCAGGTTATATACCGACAAAAAATTATCCAAAAAACCCACCACGTACAAACTTTTGACAACGCGTCTGCTTAAAAATCTTGCAAAATGCACTCTAACTTTTCATTGACTGCTTTATTTAAAATTTCAATTGATAAAGAGGCATCTGTTTTTTAGCTTTTATCCCGAACCGTCTTCATTTCACTGTTTTTCAGATTTTAGAGAGATTACTGAAGGAATCTACAACACTGCACGCTCAATCTTCTAATATAAACCCTATGTTAAATGAGGAAGATGGGTGAGGCAGCGGTTATCATTTCATTTGTCTATTGTATTGGTTTGATAAATGTATGTTTTGTAAATTCAAACGTCCAGATTTAACTATTCTGAAATTATTTCATTATACTGCTTTTATTTTTCGTTTTGAATATTGTTGTCCGTACAGGGACTCAATCAGTAGAGTTAAATACGATAGACTGAGATCAGAGCACGATGCGTTGCTACAGAAACACTCTAAGCTTGTCTCGGAAAGGGTTGAGATATCACGTGAGATGGATCAGCTGAATTCAGCTAACACTCAACTCAGAACTGAGATAGACAGATTCGAAACTCAGGTTACTTTTCAGCTATCTCACCGGTCTTAGACTGGCTATTAACCGGTTACGTACCGGTTATTGACCGGTTACTTACCGGTTATTGACCGGTTTTATATCTGTTATGGAGAAAGTGGATATCACCTGACCACTGTACTGCGGGCGGATAAATGATAATGTAGTTTACCCTCCCAATGGGGGGGGGGGGGGGGGGGGGGGAGGGGCTCCCCTAATGTTCTCAGTTCACCCTTTGACTCTTTAAATGGCTCTAGGATGAACCACTTTACATTTCATAACCTGAGCAGCTCTGACATATTCCTCACCAGGTAAATGAACTGAACCTGACTAAAAGATCACGTGACAGCGAGAAAGAAGAGAGTTGCGTATGTGAGAGCTGTTTATCTCACCTTGGTACGACGACTATTATATTGTATTATTTATTATTTTATCAATAAAAGGAGCACCGTTTGCCTGCCATCTTCTTCTTCTTCTTATCATTTATTAAATAACACAAAATTCAGAGACAGAGATGAGACCACTAAAAATTGTATGGTTTTAGAGAATGCGTGTTTTAGAGAATGCGTGTCATAAGATTGTCCGTAAAATATAATATTACTGATACAAATATTTTTTAAATATGAATATGTTGAAAATATTTTAAAATATGATGTTCCGTTAATCACAACCCCTCTAGATACGATACAGAGTCTACAGAAGGAATTGGGAGAACACCTAAACACAAACAATGAAAAGTACGAGAGAATGGTGGATTACTATGATAATGTGCTGAGGGAGAGAGCGGCTGATTTAGAAGATCTTCAAAATCAGGTGAGCTGGTTTGTAGTGTTCTGATTGGTTGGATTGGGTCATGTGATGTAAATACTGTGTTGTAATTGGTTAGTTTGAGTCACGTGGTGAACTAAGTACCTTTCAACTAACAGCAATGATTCAGTACAGAAAGAAATGATGAAAATTATACTCTGAAATCATGGCCTTTAATGTCATTTCTTTAAAAACAAAGGGAAATCAAAACAGAGATTACGAAGCACTAAATTATAAAGCACTAAATTACAAAATACAATATTTCAGAATATTGAAATACAAGAGGAGAACTCTAACCTGTCCAAGATCCTGCGAACAACTGTTAGTGGTAACAACCAGAAGGCCACTCCTGAGCAAATAAAGAGCTTCAAGAGGGTGTCACGTGTTTCTGCTATATCAGGTTCGTTACTCACAACACAAACTCGTACTTAGTACAGACCCGACCTATTTTAGACATTACTGTAAGTTCGATTTTTGTTGTTGATGAAATTCAGTTAAAAATAACTGTGAAGTTAGATTTTGTCCAAAATTATGAAAGTGGAAAATAGTCACACTTTTTACGAAGGTTTGCTGCTCTCAGTTATCTTATACATTTGATATTATAGCTAAATAACAGCATAATTTAAAAAATCATATCATTTTTCAATAATGACTCTCATAATCTATCAACAAAATACAGAGTAACCAAACCTAGCAGTCAACCTCAAACAGTAAATCGTTCAAGTGTGTGACGTGCCTCATGGACCTGAGATTCAGAGTGAAATTAGTTCTAATTTGTCCGGAAAGAATGCCAAATTGACAGATTGACATCACTCTGAAAGTAATCCTTGAACCAGAACAGATTCAATATGTATTCAGGATTTAGTTTGTTTTAACTGAATTTGGCCCACCCCTGAAATCTGCAGAGCGCATTGTTGAGTGTTTGAATTCTGTTCTTATTTCTTTGGTCTAGTTCTTTTCAGTTCTATTCTTTTCATGTTTTTTTTTTTCAGTTTTATTCGTTTTATTCGTTTTTTTTTTCAGTTCTATTCGTTTCATAACACTATCGTAACCTTCAGTGTCCAGTTTTCTCAGTTACATGCTCTTAATATTTTCAAATCACCCCTCTAATCGAATATCCATCACAACAAAACCCAGGGTGTTGCATTTTCCCTGGATCGCTATGACAATTTATAACGGCTACAAATTACATAATAAGACTCCTGATAAAATGCTAAATAAAGCTCCACATGACTGTTGTTGCTACGATCCCAGGTATCAGGGTTACTACCTATTGTAATACTAATACCTAGGTTTACAGTTACTACCTATATTGTAATACTAATTAGAGTTTAACTTGTGTCGCCCCTCTGCCGCTACCTGATAGCACTACCTCACGTTATATAGCCTAGCTCCTTGTGATTTGTTTACTGTAGTGAGTAGTATTTACTCTGTCAAATACCCGTCTAAACCAAGATAAGGAAGTAAAGATAAGAGATAAGAGTAAGGTATGTCTTATGTGGTATTTAGCGATAACTGGGTAATAACTAGTACTATGATAAGAATTAAGATGACCGTGGCCGGTGGAAATACAAACTATCTATTAATGTGAAGCTGTATATGAAGCTGTAAATTTGCCGGAACCTGCACCGTTATAATAGTACCGTAATCAGAATATTTACCAGCTTTGAGACTGTTTATTGGAACGCCCCTTGATTCAGAATTTCTTAATCTCGTTGTTATAGTGCAATACAATACCTATCTGATCGATGATCCACCGTAGTTAGAATTTGGAATCTGATTAGATTAGATTGAAAATTTGCACCCCGTTCCTATTTAAAGTATTGGACGTGATTTTTAGGTTCATCATGCTTACTAACTATCTGACATTATATACCAGTGTGTTGAAATTTGTGTTGTTATTTGTTCTCTTGTTCTCGCATGACTATTGTTAACGGATTTTTGTATTTTGGTATCATTGAGCCATGAAATATGTTCAAGCGATTGATTGTAAAACACAAGAAAAGACTTGCAAAAGGTAAATTGAGTTCCTCAGCTTGGCGCTATAATTAGTAATGTACTGTAATAATGTTACTAATAATTACAATAACTTCTATAATTATCGTATGTTGGCTTTTTAGTTTGTAATCTTGGTTATTATATTGAAACGCAGTACGAAACCGGAAACATGAATAACAAATAAAAGCTTGGCTTAGTTTCGGGAATAATCGCGGGTAGCACTCAACAACCAAGGTATCATTGTATTATATTGACACGCAGTACGGACAGACTCGTAAATTAAAAGAAATCGGACGGCTCCTCGTAAATGATAGTAGAAATTATCTTCACACGAAACAGCGATTTACTAATCAGCTGCAATGAACTTGCTGTCAACATTAAGTTAACCTCCCTATCAGGTATCATGTGATTATAAAGTAATGATAAGTATCACGTGATTATAAAGTAATGATACGTAACTCTACTCACTACTCAGGTCCAGCGTCAGTACCACGTGACATTGATAAGGATCAGCTGATAGCACAACTAACTAACGAACTAAACCGGTCTAATGCTGAAAACACCTCTCTTGATAACAGTCTCAGGTATGTTATTTATTAATCATAATTGGGATAATTTTATACTATATTATCAATTAATGTTAATTTAACATTATGTTATTTTAATTGGGGTTTCGCAATTCTTGCCATTTTGCAAGTAATAATCATTGAGTAAACTTGCTCAAGTCTCAACAGTTTTATTTCTAGCATTCGTTAATTTCACATTATAAACAGATTGAACCAGTACTTGTAACTATATTTTCAAGAACATTAACTGTACTCTCAGTGCTCGTAATTAATTAACTTATTAACTAATCAACATTACCCTCAGTGAGCTAACGACGAACAACAGATCACAGATCGAGTACCTGGAGAGTCAAGTAGAACTACACGAACAAGAGAAGACTGACATTGTCGCTCAGATACAGGTACAACTAACATTGTACTGGAATGATTCTTCGGAATTTCGCTGGATTGTACAACTTTCGTCTTGGTAGATTCCAAACACAAGGAAATTTTCCTTCTGGTTGGTAATATACTCAATGATGGGAGTATAGTGTATTGGCTATGCCCCGCTTACTAGTTTAGCTCTTTCTAGTCCCCTGCTACACGGCATGTAAACAGGGATTGGCTAGTTAGAGGCGGTCCGTGTAGGCCTTACACTGTGCTTTCAGCAATACTCATAACATACATAACATTGTACCACTAACATCTTAACATGTCTTAACACGTCTTAACATGACGTGTATCTTTGTCTTTTCACCTATTGGCTATTTGTCGGTTTTGTTTCCTCCATATCATGATACTACGCTTCTAGTTCGTCTGTGTTCTTTCGTTTGTTTCTCGGTCAGCATACTTTATAGTTGTCATTATGGTATTGATTTAAAATCTCTCTCTTTATTCATGTAGAAACACAATAAATAATATAGTATCACCATCTATTAAATCAACGTTAAAATTACAACAGTTTATCCTGAAAATCATCCTAAATTTCCCATCTCGAAACTCTCCTAGACCATCTCATTTTCTGGCGATGTTCCAGTAAAATTGTTTACATTTTACTTTAAATCTGGAACAGGGATGTAGCACGCGGAGGTAAGTTAAAGTTACTGCAGTTAACTCAATCACACGGCTCTAACCTAGAGGATAGCTTTCATACCTGCATCTTGGGCTATGTGCTCTAATGGTCGTATATTCAAACGGGTAAACCTGCCCCTGCTTTCAAGTTTCAGCGTTGTGCTTTAGGACAATTGCATTTGGGGTTTTTGTTTATGGATGTCCTCAGTCCTGCATTTTAAAGTTTGAAGCTGATTTAATTCGAATATTCGTTTTTGACGCCGCTACTTATACTTTTAAATTGAATACTAATATCGAGTTTGTGTTAACTGTAAATCAATACGTCCCAGCAGTACTGTTAATTTATTTATTCATTTAATTTTATAAACTTTTATCATTAACATTCTTTGTTAGGTAAAGCTTGAAGACAGGGAATTTTTACGAGCTATTTTTGAACAAAAGAAAATTCAAGACCCTCCATTTTTCAAACAGCTTATAACAGAAGGTAAGCATTAATATGAAAGTTATGTATACACAATAGCTGGTTATAAATCTGTTTTGTAATCAATACTTCTATTCAATCAACTTTAGAAATTAGAAAATATCGTAACAATAATTAATGGTATCAAGTAAGAAGCGACATTTTCATTATCACACAAAGTAAACGTTTCAACGTTAGTGATTAATGTTTGTTTAATAATAAGGTTGTCATGGCAACATCTCCGTATCAGGTAGAAGAACGTCACATGACATGGAGAGCGAGGAAGATCTAGAGTTCAGACTCCGACAGAAATGCGACGAAGTCAGGTTTGTTTTTAGTCAGGTCTGTTTGTCTGTTTGTCTGTTTGTCTGTGTATTTGTGACAAATTCAGGTAGAGTCATTACATATTATGCTTCTTCACTCATAAGTTAGGTAAAAGACATTAGTTAAAGAACTACCTTAAGAACGACAAATTTAGTCTACCATAAATTTAGTCAAACTTTTGACTAAAATTGTTGTAAACCAAATTTTATGTGACTAAATTTTTCGGCGACTAATTTTGAAGTAGACCAAACTTTTAGTAGAGCATATATGAATTAAACTTTATTGAGCTTACATTCTTTATCATATGTTTATGATAAACAGTTAAATATCGCTAACTGTACACAGGTCCCTACTTCTTGTAATAAGAAATTGTATGCTTTGATGTGTAACTTAAACTAATGTATGAAATGTTGGCTCGCCGTTGGAATGTTCCCAGATCGAGAATATGCCTCCTTACCAAAATACGCCCGTATGGTGTAAGTTACAGGATCACGAGGTTGATAATTTGTCCACGTGACCATTTGGCGCGCGGTGTGCACGTGGGCCCATGGGAAATTTCTGATGCATGTGTTCCGTTGTTTATACTTAGTTCACTAAAAAGTATGACTTTATATGCGAAATTGAAAAAAAAAACTAGCTTAATAATGGAAAAATCAAATAAATGAAATGGAAAATGGTCTCGAAAAGTCAAAAAATTCGACTAAATTGTTGTAGACTAAAAATTTGCGAAATTTGTGCCCAAAATTATGGTAACCAAAATTATAGTAACCAAATTTATTGTGACTCAAATTTGTTGGCCCTAAGGTATCTCAACCCTACAAATACTCGTAATCAGAATCGCCTCCCCTCCACTCCAGATAGAGCCTCCTCGCATTCCTCACATTCCTCACACACCTCCTACCACTCTTCCTCAAGTACTTCATCGTTTGTTTCTGATAGAGCAGGATGAAACTGTTCACCGTGCACTGGAAACACATGAATGTCACGCTCAGGTAGAGCTCATCACAGAGGAGAAGATCAGTGAAAGTCCAGTTTGTGTCCCCTTTGTCTCCTGTGTATCCATTGTCTCCTGTGTCTCCTGCGTCTCCTTTGTCTCCTGGGCATCTAAATGTATTGTTCCAGGATACCACGTAGTATGCTCTAGTTGCAACAATAGAAATGAAGAAACAGTAAGAGAACAGCACGTTGAGGGTTATTATGAAGCTGGCTCTACTGGCAGATAGGAAGATTTGAGAGTCTATCCTTGATTTGTTAAGCCAGATCCTTGCTTGAGTGTACACTGACATGTAAACAATTGCAAATATAATCGCGCAGTCAGCAATGTCATATGCTTCTACGGTACGGTTTGGGAACAGCAATTTGTTCCCAGTTCCTTTCTTATCAGATTTGAAGTGCCAGAGAAAACAAGAGAGCAACCCATAGAGATAAGCCATACCGATTATAACCCACGACACGGTTTTAAGTTTCCTCAGCACATGCAAAGCAGACATCTCAGTCCACAGCACCCTAATCAAACACAACCCAAACACCAACACTATGTTAGTATCAAACGTAAAGAGACTGATGTAGCTAGCTACCTCGTGCTCCAGATTACCCCAAAACGCCACAGACTGATGGTCCTCATTGCTCCACAGGTTAACCGACACCATGATCCCCACCACAGAGTTCAACAAGTCCACTATAACCAGGTTAAAGTAGATCATGTTGGAGGGGGAGTTGAGGAAGCCTAGTTTTAAGAAGACGAGGAAGTTGGTGAGGCTGAGGGGGGTGTTTATAGTGGTTATCAGGGGGAGGAGGTATTGGAGGAAGGTGTTAGCTGATATCTCCAGGGTGTTATTTGAGGTGTTAGTTGAGGTGTTAGTCAAGGTGTTAGTTACTATGTAGCTAGTGTTTGAAGGCTGTGCGTTAACTGCAGGGAAGGGTTGGTTGACGAGAAAGGAGGACTCAACAAAAGGATTCTGAACAGTAACAACCATTGTAGGACGTATGTGGTTCCTATGGAGAGAAATTAGATTTTAATAGCTCTAAAAACTATTCTAAATAAACGAAACTCAAATCATCGTTACTAAGATTCTATAGACGAAACATTTGCATCAACAAATTTAATGGGGTAAAAATCATTGAGCAAGAGTGTATCATATTACATTAAATAAGATTATCTCGAACGGAAAATCAAAAGTCGAAAAGTCGCATATTCATTAGTTCTATTTTGGTGCATTTGCCAAGTCTGGAGCCGTTATAAGTATTACAGTTTGGTATTAAGCAATGGACATTCCGGACACCCCCTCCTCCTGTGCGTGTTGTGGTATTCGTTTCCATGGAGACAAAATTGTTTAGACTCCGGGATTTATAAGACAGTATTAATAGGACTCCCCGCAAAATGGTGTCACAAGAACGGCACAGAGTGTACTTTATATATTTATAGTGAGATATGGTTGTACCAATGAGTAACGTCAAATATGGAATGAGTTTCAGATACAGTGCCTACTGCTATTAAAGTAATTGATGTGGTAACTCAGATCTCAAGGAATTTGTAAGATACGACCCAAAATAACAAAAATCAGTGTTGAATCTCAAAGAAGATTAGAAGCTTAAAACACACCGAATATTTATTACGACAGGAGAATAATACACTGTAAATACGGTTAAAACATTGTGAGGAAGGGCAAGCTTAGAAATTTGAAAAGTTAAGAAGTGAACAGATAGCACCTACAATCCACAGCCACGACAGAAGATCATTTAATCCCGGGAAAGGTGTAGACCTTCAGCTTATATCGGCTATTAACCGAACTGAAAGGTGTAATATTACAAAGTTGTGGAGCAGTGCTTCTACTCAACAACTAGTTTCGGTTGATTCCCACAGAATCACTGCAGCAGTTTCCTGATTTATGGAATTTTAGGTATTTAATAGTCGCCGGAATCCTTCTAGATCATTCTACACTCTGTCATATCCCTTTCAGCAATCGCATGATTGAAATTTATGTTAAATGCTTAAGTTTTCATGACAATTTTGAAGTTGTACGTATTAGAGTTGTTCAAGTCGCAGTGATGAAGCTGAACTTTATAAATTATAATATTTATCCAGGGTTTTAGAACGAGAGTTACAAGAGGCTGATGAACACAGACAAACGTTAGAAAGACAGCTGGAAAAGGGGCACAATGAAAATAAAGAACTTAGGTAAACACTGGTTGCGAAATATAACGTAATTATACGCTTGTACCGTCATCAAATTTATCAGATAAATCAGATATTATTCTTGAGAACTGCAGAATGATTTATTTATTACCCAAGAGTATTTTCAATTTTATAGATTAAATTAAATTAAATAAAAAATGTCACCATTCCGACCTCTATGAATAGACAAGCTCCGACGTACTCAACCGATAAACTGTTTACAGTCAGAAAAGTAGCCAATACCAGTACGCTAAAGACTCCCTGGATCAGATCGTCAAGGAATACTGCGCGGGTGGTTTATTCCCACGAAAACCGGAGACTTTCCTCTTTATTGATGAGAAACTAACTGCTCTTGTTACTACCTTATACGGCAATTTCACGGTACTTTAAATCTTATCTTAATATAGCAAACCACAAATTTAGACCTGTTTTAACTGATTGAAGAGCGGATAAGGATGAATGGCTCCCAAAAAAGTTACAGTCTGGGAACAATTATAAATTAGTTTTAGTGCTAATTATGTATTCCTTATATTTCCCTTATTTTCTCTTTTCAAATTACTATTTCCCATTTGACCAGAGGATCAAGACGTTGAACGAGGAGGTAAAATGGTACGAGACGGAACTGGAGAAACAAAACGAGGACCAGACATCTGTAAAGATAGAGAACCTGGAGAAACTGGTTGTTTCACAAAAGGAGCAGATCTCAGAACAGTTCAAGGTCCATTAATATTTATCTTTTACTTCTTTATTCTTTCAGTGAGAGAGGCTAAGTAAGAGAAGTTGTTCTTAAAGTTCATTATTTACATTTAATTGTTTATTATTTACATTTAATTGTTCATTATTTACATTTAATTGTTTATTATTTACATTTATTTGTTTGTTATTTACATTTAATTGTTTGTTTAATGTAATATTGTTATTTAAACAGGACAAGATAAAAGACAAATGTAAAATACGAGATATGGAGGACGATGTCCGGAATAAGGAGGAGGAGTATGAGGAGATGATGCAGCAGATACAGACTCTCCAGCAGGAGAAAGAGAAATATGTGAGTAGAGGAGGGGGAGTAGGGTTACTAATAATTGTGTTACAGTTACACAATGCTTGTGTTACAGTTACTTTACACAATATATTAACATAGATAACACAATATATTAACATAGATTATCCTAAAAAGTAATGTAACCGTGTAAATTAAATAATAAAATTCCAAATTCTTGTTCTGCAAATGTTTGTATAATATAATAAAACAGATTTAACAGTACTTCCTCAGTGTTCACACTTATAAATACCCCTTTAATTCATTAGTGCTAATAAATAAATATTAAATAAATTCTATCATTACACGTTCGACATTAAAATGTACCCAACGAAGATGTATGTATTTAAGTCATTCAAGCGAGACTTTGTAAACATCAAGATTATGCACTTCTATCTCAGTTCAGAATCTATGCACAATTATTAGGGGTATCATCTAAACTTCAAAAGCTAGGTCGAAATAAAATGTTTTAAAAAAACATTTTGCAGCTATTGATAATGCTCTCACTGAGTAAGGTAATTCGTTCCAAATTTGTGGTCCACAAAACATAAAAGCAGCATCTGTTCCTCTGAAATGTGGTGCAAGAGGAAATGAGGAACTTTCGGCAAATAAAAGTAATTATCTAGTAGTAGTCTGGAACTTCGTCTTCGTACTTTACTCAGATTGATGTATCATTTTAAGTACTGAGGGGATTATGTTATTAAAGCACTTGAAGACCAAAAGTGCGATTTAATAATAATTTAATTTAAAGGGATTACATCTTTACATGGACCAAGGGTAGTATCAATTTAGTCATAATTGTGTGAGTTTTATGATTAGTAAAATAATATTTGTCGGATTTTAGCTTGCGTCTGCAAATTATGACAGCAACACAGTGTTAGTTAAGTCAATAAAGCAATTAGAATTATATACAAAAACAACAACAATTCATGTCACCTTTGATTACGAGCTGTGTGTCTCCATAACAACAATACAGATATTTCCACTGGTTGCTTTTACTCTCAATTAAAGAATACGATTTTGAATTTCTTCTGAAAAGCAGAACCCTAGTTGTTTGCTTTTCAGAAGAAGGTTCATATTAAACTAATTTACATTAGAGCTAAGTTCATGCTCATAAAAATGAAATAACTACTTTAATTATTCTAATAATCAATTAGTTAAAATGAATAAAATCCTCACCACATTTTCGACATTCCGGTTGATGAGACCAACATCCTCCCCTCCGACACGTGACCTCCTTTTCACCGATCAGTGCGTAACGTTTGGGATTTCTACATTTCACTAAAACAACTGAGTTCTCCTTTATTTTGTCGCGGAGTTCAGGGTCAGGAGTAGAGGCGGTGGTAGAGGCGGTAGAGTTGGTGGTAGAGGCGGTGGTAGAAACCCATGCTCCCGTAACATTAAAAACTTCACAATAAATGTCTGAAATTATGATTTTGTTACTAGTTAATCTAGACTTAGAATCTCGGGTTTCAGCTTACACTTCACTCTTGTTTGACAACTGACAGCAATTTATCTATTTGATTGGTCGCTGCTATACAGGCTAATTGATAAACCAACAATTCCTTTTGTCATAATATTGTAGCGCATTAAATGAGCTTATCTTTAATTGGAAATAGGTTTTACTAACAATTAGCAATTAAGCAGCTATTATAAATTAACAAATGGCCATTAACAAATCTACAAAGTAACTCACGCCTGTAGTCTATGCACGAGTCACATGAGCAGTGGCCAGCTGAGTTACCACACCAGCCCCACGAAGAGCAGCAGTTGAAAGACTCACACCGAGCCGCACAACCTCCGGTCAGAGGGTATTGTGGTCCACATCTACCATCGTCCCTGTAGTTCTTTACTCCTGGGGGTATTTCATTATAGTTTGATAATGGGATACAGCTCTCTTACAAACATCCTGCGAATTTTGTCCAGATTGAGGCTATTTAAAGGAGATTTTAGGATCTCTTAATTTATTTTATTGAAATTGTATTTTTGTCTTTTGTAAGTAACAAGACCTGTCTAAAGGGAAATGAAAGAAGACAAAAATCAATGATTCTCCTTGATCGCATCTCACAAAATAAAATGGTGATTACCATCCATCCCTTAACAAAAAACTCGGATTTTATTTATAACTATTCACAATTATGGCATATAATATGATCGTTAAAAATGATATGGAATTATTTTATCAGTAAAACAAAGTATCACCTTCTATGGATTCGTGGTTACAACAACCTGCAACAGTGGATACCAGGAAAATGAGAAAGTATGAAGTTGCCATTCTCTGCTGGTATTTTTACACTTCTCGCTGAAGGATGGGTTCTGAAATCTTATATTCACAACAAGTTAGAACGGAGTAACTGGGTTAAGGTGGAGAATGATCTACTGCCTGTGTGCCAGCGCTGGTCTATGTGACTATGAAATATTTGCATATAAACTGAAAAGTGACTATCTTACTATCTTACTATATATAAAGCGAGACGATATATATATATATATATTTATTTATCCGCACCATTTTACTGACACCACGGCATCAACTTTAACACGGGTTTCCGCAAAAACCGTACAAGATTTAAAACTGAAACTTTTTAAACTGATTCAAATGCTTTAATGGCCTTCAAATCAGCATGAAAAAATCGAAAATCGGCCAAGGAATAAGAATTTTAGTACCCAAAATTTGGACCCCCAAGTGGTGTCAAAAACGCGAATTAAATAGGCAATAATTATTTTTACTGGGAGACTTTAGGGTAGGAAACTGATTCGGCCACCAAAGAGCCTTGACACCAGTCTTAAAGGTTTGACGGGTTCCTGCTAGTATATATAAAGCGAGACGATATATAATATGGATCCGTACCATTATACTGACACCACCGCATCAACTTTAACGCGACTTTCAACTGGGTCAAATGCTTTAATGGCCTCCAAATCAGCATGAAAAAATTAAAAAATGGCCAAGGAATAGGATTTTCAGAGCCCAAAATTTGGATCCACAAGTGATGTCAAAAACGCGAATTAAATAGGTAATAATTATTTTAGTCTCTTGAGTCTTGACACCATTTTAGGGTAATACGGGTTCCTGCTAGTGAAATATAATGCCTTCACTAAATGAGGACCAGGACTAAGCGCTATCACAGTCACTAAGTGAGGACCAGGACTAAGCGCTATCACAGTCACTAAATGAGGACCAGGACTAAGCGCTATCACAGTCACTAAATGAGGACATAAATAAGCGCAAATCAGGCTAATGCTTAATAATTATTCATATCGTCAGGAACCAATTTTTTTTTTTTTTTTATTTCTCTTGGAGAATTTCTCTTTAGACTCTTAACTTGCGAACAAAATGAAGCAGCAAACTTTAGGCTAGAAACTTTATTGAATTGAAATAATCATTCCACGTAACAACGTCTTCTTCAGTTCTCAAATTATTTGTTATATAGTAGTGTTGAAAGTATTAAAACTGGAAGGAACCAACTTGGCTCTTTCGGAGCGTTACTTTACTTTACTTTATGTTGTTTAGCTGCAAGGCAGCAGGGTCATCTATGAAAACCACCCTTTTTCTTTAACTTCGGACAACCATGGCCGGCACCAGCACTTACAGGAAACCGAAGGATCGATAACTAAGGCCAGCAACGGTTAAGGTATTATACCAAACTTTCTTTGCCCGTGGCTCCGCTGTATTGATCATGTACAGCTCCTCATTTAACCCTCTCGAGCATTCGGCTGAGTAGACCGGGGGGCTGCATAGGTCAATCGGAACCCTTAGCAGAACGGCAACGCCGCTCACCCCATGGCTAGTGAGTAGTGACACAGGCGGGGATCGAACCCGCAACCTCGTGATTGAGCAGCATATCACGAGTAAGGCAGGTCGACTAACGAACTGCGCCACTAAGCCATTACATACTGAAGTAATAATTACTTTCATGATTTTATGGAAAAGACAGTCCTCATTTCAATACCCTCCTGTTTCCCGCATGGTCATATACTGGGCCTGGTTACCTAGTGTTAAGCTGATACTTAATTAATACAACTATAAATGTACCCCTACCCAGATGTTACAATGTTTAATTCAACGTCCCTGTCCCCAGAAATTAGAAATTACAACGTTTAATTCACTGTCTCCCCAGAGTGAACGACTAGATGAGACGGACATGAGATGTGCTGACTTGGAGGACGAGTTCCACCAGTACAAGAAGGAGGTAGAGGACGACAGACGGTCCCAGAAGGGGTCAAAACTCAAGTAAGTGTCAGGTTAACTGTTTTTTAAGTAGCTGTTGCTGGAAGGATGCCAAATTATTAAAAACCTGTCAATTTACCCAGTATCAACGTCTTCAAGTAAAAAATAATTAAGTAATTAACTGACTACTATTCAGAAACCTGCAGCTGCACTCTCAAGTCTGGATCTTGAAGAACAGGTTGGTTTGTCACGGCATTTATTATTGATAGGAAGAACCTTAAATGATCATTTGAACTGTTTTTGTTTTGTCATTTAAATAATTACACTTTGATATTTATGATGCCAATATCACAGGGTATCAAAATTTGAGAAACAAAGACAAGAAGTTTCTAAAAATAACGAGCTTTTGCGTGAAGAGGTACTCAAACATTTTCCAATTTTCTACTTCATTATAAATAGATAGTCTACATGTCCAAAGTTCATGTTTAACATTAACTTTGGACACATAGACTATTGATAATTGGATAATATTCGGTTGGAAGAGACAAGGACAAATGAAACAGGAAGTTAGGAATGTAGGCAAATTTTCGGCGTCAACGCCATCTTCAGGCTAAAATAGGTACAAATGTTAGTATACAATTATAAATGGTTCTATACTAGTTAAAAAGCTTATTTTAAACACATTTTAAATTATCTATCGGGGAGAATTAAGTCATTACGAAGCACCACTTTTGGTAATTATAATTTACGTTTTTTCCGATTTTTACCCGATTACATTTTCTTGGCCTACAACCTAGAGACACTTTCGGTACTAATCGGTGATTACCCCTTATTAATTCTACTCTATCTTCAACGTGACAACAACACGTGATGTTCGCCTCTTCTATAATTGCTTTCATGCTTTTACGAACCTCGTTATTATGCAATTTTTACACCATATTACTTCGAACCACGATTCATACTAGACAGACTAATTCATACTTTACACCTACGTCGTAGGACATTTATCTCTACAATTTTACTGTCAATCCCAGCTTTTCTCATGGCCAAGTGACATTAAACTCAGTAAGTACATATTATATCGATTCATGACGATAGTCTTCCGTAAGGGCTGCAATCACCTTCGGATTGCAGGTTGCATGTCTAGGTTTTTTCTTTTATGTCGAGGCGGAAAAGGTGCAGGAGACCACCTACTCCACGATGGTATCTGATACAATACAATACTATATTAGGCCAAAACCCATTTTTCCACTGTCGCGTGTTGCGACTATAGCACTTAAAATCAAAATAACTCGGTTTCTGATTGGAGTTAAGAGCTTAAATTGGGCAGTAAAATGATCATACTGACATGAGTGGGGTTAAGCCTAGTTTCAACGTCATCAGGCATCAGGCTGTCGAGTTAATAAACCAAAAGCTTGCAAATAGACCAAAGGCTTGCAAATTTCACCATCTAGAAAAGCCAGTTTTTGTCAAAGCAACAGCTCCAAGTTGGCGTTTTCAATAATGCAACGCAAGTCATCTCTATGCTAATCTCCTGGGGCTCTTAGAAGGATAGAAAACGTAAAGATGGCGGTAAGCAATCTTCCTTAACTTCAAACCTTTTGTTTCAGACATTTCCTGGCCGCACGAGTTCTTGGATTAGCCTAGAACACCAGATAATTTTGAACAATTTGGTGGCTCGTATACGGATCTTACAACCACACTGAATATTCAACGCTCATTTTAGTGGATCTGACTGGCGTCCTGGTGGATTTAATCGATCGCATTACTTTTAAAACTATTGTATCATAGCGGAGCGGTATACACGCTCACAGGCTACCAGTACCACGTCTCGTGTAACCCAGGATTTTGTTTCGGATCGGACACTCTTAACAATGATAGAGGAGCGGTCTACACGCTCACAGGCTACCACGTCTCCTGTAACACCAGGATTTAACACGCTCACAGGCTTCCACGTCTCGTGTTACTCCAGGATTTGGTTTTGGATCGGACACTCAAAACAACGATAAAGGAGCTGCAGTCTACAGTGACGTTACAGGAACACTGCATACTCCTACGAGTGGCACGAAATATGGACAGAACTCAACAAGAACAACAACCACACTCAAAGACTGAGGAATCAGGAGGACTCTGTATCCCATACAGCTATCATCGCTCAATAATCGGTTTGGTATCGACCTTACATACTTTGATTTTCCGACTATAAAGCTGACTTAAGACACCAGGGAATTAATTTTACCTTCCTAACATTAAATCGTTGATTTAATTTATATATCACTTTCTTTTTTTTCAAAACATTCCAGTACATTGTGCAGAAAGTTGGAGATTAAAATTTTTGGAAGCATGTAGGGATTTAGACCTGATATCGATCGTATTATATACTTAAAATACTCTAGCACAATTGTAACAACAGTTTTACAGAACTCTAAATGAACACACTTGCAGGTACCACCCGTATTCACACTCAGACCTGAGTTTAGTCATTTTCCGATACGAGATTGGGGACAGGTTCTATAAACAAACAAACAAACAATCAGTTAAAATGCTAAATTTAAATTACACACACTGAATACAGGTTACATCAAATGGTATTACATTATATATTACATTTTATGTAATATATAATACCATTTGATGTAACCTGTATTCAGTCTGTGTAATTTTAATTTAGCATTTTAACTAGTATAGAACCATTTATAATTGTATACTAACATTTGTGCCAATTTTAGCCTGAATATGGCGTTGACGCCGAAAATTTGCCTACATTCCTAACTTTCTGTTTCATTTGTCCTTGTCTCTTCCATCCGGATATTATCCAACTATCAGTATTTCAATCATGAGACTGATAAACAGCGAACTAATCCATCATTTGGCATAGACTATTAAAAGACTATTAAAAGACTATACCGTAATACAAATTGATCATTTCTGTCTAACATTCTACCGACCATAAAAACAAGAATAACAGAGGAACATCTCTTTACTACAATGTTTTGTTTCAGTTGCAAATGGCACGTGACAAGTTAGAAGCAGCAAATCTCCAGATGGCAGAGCAAGAAAGAACATCACGTCGGGTATCCAATATCTTAAAACCGGGTGGTAATCTCACTGGTAAAGATGCCATTATCAAAGACCTCAAAGACCAGCTTAACCGCCAAAAGTCTTACAATGACAAACTGGAAAAGAAGCTTGATGACAAGCAGGAGAAACTGCGAGGGTTGGAAAATAAAATAAATGACATCACCCTGGATAGAGACGCTGCAAAGGATGAGCTACAAAGATCTTTCTCGAGGATGGATAGTGAGGAGCCTGACTTCCATGATAGCAGCGCTAATTCTGGTCCTTTGAGCATGGATCTTCTCCTGCAGATGGACTCCAAACAGCGGCACATATCAGTTGATTGTACTGTCCACGAGGAGGATGTTCACGAACAGTTCAATGAAGTTGTCAGGGAGAATGAGGACTTGAAAGTGGAGTTGGACGAGATAAAGCGTAAACTTAAGAGGATTCAAGGCGAGTTGGAACGCGAGCGGCTTTATGTTGAAAACTTTGATCACAATTACGAGGTGCAGCTATTGAAGAACTCGGAACTGCAGCAGAAACTAGATGATCAGAATCGTTCCAAGGTGACATCAACTCTTCCAGTGATTCAGGAATCGTTTGAAGAATCATTGTACGACGGAACGCTAACACCACAAGAAATAACTGAGTTACTTGAAAAACTTTCCGTTCTCCAAGAGGAACTCGGAAATGAGAAACTCTACGTGAACCATTTAGAGGAACAAAACGAACAGTTTAGAATAGATCTTCATAGTGTTTCAAACGTAGAACATCTCACTGGAGATGAAAAGGAAGATCTCGTTGGAAAATATTCCGAAATGGAAAAGAGACTAACCGAGCGTTTGAGGGAACTTGAAGAAGCTCAGCAAACTATAGATGACCTCTTAAAGCGTATCCACGAATTCCAAAAGAACGAGCTGGAGTACAAGGATGATATTGACAATGTTAGTGAGCAACTTGAGCAATCCCTGGAGGACATGGTGGAACACGAATCAAAGGTTGGTGTCCTCACGGCTGAGAAAACTGAGCTAGAAGCCCAAGTTAGGGAGATCAAGGATGACAATTGCAGACTTGTTCATAGGAATGTTGCTCTCCAGGAAGAACTTATCGTGGTTAAAGAAGGCCGGGATTCTGAGACCAACGAGAAGATAAAAGATAAAGATGACATTATTGAGAATGCAAATAAAAATGTGGCAAAATGGAGGAATGACTACGAAGAAAGTGACCGGAATCTCAGAGCTGTTACTTCCCAGTTTGAGGGTGCGAGGAAAGAGTTGCTCCAATCTAACTCAAAGGTGGAGAGTCTTACAAGTGAATTGGAGGAATCTGAAAATAGGATCAAAGAAAAAGAAAGTGAGTGTTCTGAGGTTCTTCTCAAAATGGAAGAACTTAAAGTTGAAGCTCAAAAGGTGCAGCAAATGTTAAATGATGTAACTGAGAAAGAACAGCAGTCAGCTGCAGCTATCCATGAATTAGAGGATCAAGTACAAAATCTACAGAAAGAGAAAGAGGTTTATGAAGAAACTCTGAAAGGAAAAGAAGAAGATGTAATGCTGATGATGAAGAAACGAGAAGAATCAGATATTGATACAGTAGAACTTAGACAAAAACTAGAGGAATTAACTCTGGTACAAGCAACAATCAAAGAAAAGGATGATTGTATCAATACACTGAACAACAAAGTGCTAGAACTGACCGAAGCGATTGAAAAAGAACAACTTATGAATGAAAATAACAGAGATCTGATGAATGGAATGCAAAGAGAGGTTAGAGATGCACGGATAGAACGAAAAAAGGCACTTTCCATGCAGGTTCAATCTGAAGCCAGCATTAAGAACATACAAAAGCAATGTGATGAGAAAATAAAAATGGAGAAAATAATGAACGATAAGAACAGGGGACTTATGACTGGAATGCAGAGTGAAGTTAGAAAGGCTCGTGCTGACCGAGCGATAGCAGAGACTGCACTTGCTGATGCTAAGAAAGCTATTAGTCAGTTAGAGGGAGAATTAGAGAAGGCAAACTTTGAGTTGGAGGAGTTGAGAGAGAGCAAAGAGGTGGCGAACCTACAGTCAGCTATGAATTCCATACAAGACGCAATGCAAGAGATGGAACTTAGGGACGCAGAACTAATGAAGACGCTTGAAGAAAAGGCAGAAAACAACTTGGAAATTCAAACCGAACTTTCAAGTTTGCAAAACAAGCTCGATAAAGCAGATGAGCTCAACAACGTAGCTCTTGTCGAGAAAGAATCAACAATATCGGCATTGGAGTCAGCCCTTTCTGAAGAGATGTTCCGAGGTGACGAACTTGAGAAAAAGCTTGAATTATTCAATAACCGAGAATTTCAGGAACAATCATGTCAGTCTGGAATTGAAACCAAAAACAATGAATGTCAGAGCCAAGTTGTCGTTCGTTCAGATGCAGGTTACCAGGTTTCCTGCGAAATAAATGAAGCGGTTACTCAAACGAGTATGACAGTGGAGGCTCTGGTACAACTCCAAGAGAAAGTGGAGGTACTAGAGGAACAGCTTCATAGCATGACGGAGGAGTCTGGGTTATCTTGTAACCAGCTTATTGTAATCAGAGAAGAGCTGGTTGCCGAGCAGGAGCGATTCAAGGGAACAGTTTCAACTTATGAAGCCCTTGTTGTGAGCAAACAAGCACAGATTTACGTGTTACAAAAGGATGCTGTAGAGCTTGCCACTCTCCAAGTCGAACTGTCTCAACAGCTCAAAGTTACCCAAGACGAAAACGCTAGAGTAAAACTGGAAGGGCAGAGAGTTTCATCCGAACTTGCGAATGTAAAACAAGAAAATCAGAAACTAACTACAGCCACCAATGCCCTTCAAACGGAACTTGACATCCAATTAGAGGCAAGGAACGAGATTGACACGGTTATTGAGGACAAAGAAAAGTCGTTCATGGAGGTGGCAGACAAGTTTAACCTTGAGAAAATAGAAAAAGAAGCCGCAAAGGAAACGATCACCACTCTGGAGGAAGAAAAGGAGCAGCTAGAGAATTATCTTCTTGAAACAAAGAAGAAGCTCGACGATGAGATGGAACAAAGTAAAATGTATCAAGATGAAGCGAGTGAAACTATTAATTCTCTCAATAATGAGTTGAGAAGACGTCTCTTGGAACAATCCTACGCTCATGTTCTGTCCAGTGATTCAGAGACTGATGACCAGATTAGTACGCTGCCACGTCCTTTGAGAAAATCTGCTGACTTCAGAGATGCTCTAGAAGAAACCAAACTATCGGTCAGAGCTCTTGCGAAAGCAAACCAAAAGCTTGGTCATCAAATCGACAAATTGCTGACTGAAAAAGATAGCTTCCGTCAGAAAACTGAGGAAGAGTTGAAAGAAGTGGGTATCATAAAATCTACATTATACCAAGCTCTCGCCGAGAAAGACAAATTTGAAACAACCACTAAACAGCTTGAAATTGAGTTGATGGAACGGGAAGTAAGCATGGAAGGTCTTGAAGAAACCATAGTGTTCCTCAAACGTGAACTCGAAAACCAGAAAATACACCGCCTCAAAAAGTCACCTCACTCCCAAGGAACACTCACAGAACTTCACAACTTACAGCACAGGTGCTTCATGGTGATGCCATCTGATCCAGCCCGGGAGATCCTCCACATGTTTGTTAGCCAGTACAAAGACAACCTCTGTACCAACTGCTACGCTAGGATCACCACTCTGGGATCCAGACCTTGTACTCCACGCAAGAGCCCGGTGACAACCCCTCGGAAGAGTGCTGGTTCCACTAGTGATATCGTGGTTCAGACTGATAGCTCACTCTTCATATACGGGACAGATTCAGCTTACAGCTCTTCAGTTTCCATACAGACAGAGCAGACTAGCAATCAGAGTGTGGAGAGGTTGAAGATGAAGAATCAGCAGCTGTCTAATGATCTGACAGATAGCAAAAACTCTGAAAAGGAGTTGGAGTTAGCACTGCAGTATCAGCTCAAGATTGCTGGAGATCTGCAGAAAAAAGTGAGCAAATTTGATTTTCATTTCTGTTTTTCATTTCATTTCCATTTCATTGTATTGGACTGAAATTAGTTAAAACCGTATCACTGATTCACAAAATCTAAATTTAAAGGTTGGGAAGTTAGAAAAGCGAGAGAAGGGGTTAATTGAGCAGGTATCAACTTATAAAGATAGGGAGGTTGAAGCGGAGAAGAAGGAAATGCTGTATGAGCAGCTTATAGAGAGATACAGAGGTTTGTGGAAACTGGAAGTTGAAAGATTGTTTTAGGATTTTGAGAAATTTTGCCAATTCAAGGTTCAACCAAAAATGATGTTATCATAATAATCAATAATGTAATTTAAGGGGGGCATGTGAGTGACTGAGGACTTTAATAGACTTTATCATGAGATAATCGTTTCTTTAAAAAATATATTCCAGCTGTAAAAGAGGAGCTGATAACGAGCGCAGAAAACGCTGAGAAATTAGAGTTAGAGCTGAAAAAGAGACAAAACTGCACTCCAAGATCGTGAGTAACTTCATCTAACTTTTATCTTTTAGTGGGTTTTTTAAAACTGCAATTTTTCTGGTCCAACCTAAATTAATTCTCAACATAATCGTCTAAGTTCTGCAAGTAAAAAACCTCATTTATTACCAATCATACAATTATAACCTGGCAACTACCCAGGAGCACACCAGATGAATACAACACACCTCCTCACACGGAGGTCTCCCAACTCTACCTCTCTCCCATCACTAACCGTAGCTCCACCACCAAGCTGGTGTGTGACCGGCAGTGTGACACCATGAGTCCTCTCATCCTGACCTGGGCTGACGAGGAGACCCAGACTTCACTTGAGGGGGAGGGGCAGGGGGAGTCGACTCAGAGTAGACTGTTGAGGGAGCTGCAACGGTGCACTGAACAGGTATAGCTTACTTTTTAAACTGTTCTTTAAGTGGGATTGCGAAATTAGATAGTTGAAGTAGAAATATAGTTTTATAGATTAAAATGTTGAACTTCATCTAAGTTTCTTTAAATGGGCTGAGTATTATTGTAGTAGAGGTTGAATTTATAATTGATTCATTTTAGTTGTAACATTCATCCTGCATGAACGGTTAAACATGTTTACCCCTGTCTCATGCCTCATACATTACCCCAAAATCCCACACACATTCCAACCGTCAAGTTATCTTATGACCGATAAAAATATTTCCTTTCTTAAGTTATACTGTTGGTTCAGTCGAGTCCATGTCCTGGATAACCCAGTTACAATGCCACATGGTAAACTCTTGGTGGTGGAAATGTAGAAATCAGCTCGGGTGACGTTTCAATCTTTTTAGCGAAAATTCGATCATTGTTGAACTTAATTATTTTGGACATTTTAGATCTTTAGATGAAATAAGTTCGATGGACATCACGCTATTTTTCCTCATTCTAGTGCTAGTTGCTACCATAATTGATTTTTCATCAAATCATCTGTAGAAATAGGAGAACAGCGCCAAAATCCCAATTCTTAACCAACAAAATAATGCTACGATAAATTTAAACCTACTCGTGAAACTTACTCGGGGACATTTCAACCAATCACAGACCACAATCGGAGACGATAACCAATAGAGCTGGTCCCCCTGTGTGCGGTAACTGTTAACATGTGGCATTTGATTAGATCGGGGACTTGTTGCTATAGAGCTTGACTTAGTGATGCTACGGAGCTGGGGGTTTTAGTGGGTTTGTTAGATAATGCAGTGCTAGTGGGTTATTTATATTTCCCTGTTTCATTTGGGGGAAACTTTGCAGTGCTGGTGGGTTATTTATATTTCCCTGTTTCATTTGGGGGAAACTTTGCAGTGCTGGTGGGTTATTTATATTTCCCTGTTTCATTTGGGGGAAACTTTGTGGGTTATTTATATTTCCCTGTTTCATTTGGGGAAAACTTTGCAGTGCTGGTGGGTTATTTATATTTCCCTGTTTCATTTGGGGGAAACTTTGCAGTGCTGGTGGGTTATTTATATTTCCCTGTTTCATTTGGTGGAAACTTTGCAGTGCTGGTGGGTTATTTATATTTCCCTGTTTCATTTGTGGGAAACTTTGTGGGTTATTTGTATTTCCCTGTTTCATTTGGGGGAAACTTTGCAGTGCTGGTGGGTTATTTATATTTCCCTGTTTCATTTGGGGGAAACTTTGCAGTGCTGGTGGGTTATTTATATTTCCCTGTTTCATTTGGGGGAAACTTTGTGGGTTATTTATATTTCCCTGTTTCATTTGGGGGAAACTTTGCAGTGCTGATGGGTTATTTATATTTCCCTGTTTCATTTGGGGGAAACTTTGTGGGTTATTTATATTTCCCTGTTTCATTTGGGGGAAACTTTGCAGTGCTGATGGGTTATTTATATTTCCCTGTTTCATTTGGGGGAAACTTTGCAGTGCTGGTGGGTTATTTATATTTCCCTGTTTCATTTGTGGGAAACTTTGTGGGTTATTTATATTTCCCTGTTTCATTTGGGGGAAACTTTGCAGTGCTGGTGGGTTATTTATATTTCCCTGTTTCATTTGGGGGAAACTTTGCAGTGCTGGTGGGTTATTTATATTTCCCTGTTTCATTTGGGGGAAACTTTGCAGTGCTGGTGGGTTATTCATATTTCCCTGTTTTAGTTTATAATTTGGTGGAATATGATGAGCTTGATTTTAGAAGTATCAGTTGAAGGTTAGATAACTCTTCAGTTTTTGAACCCCTGAAACGCGAACAATTTTTAATGGTTTCAATTTCGAATGAGTATTTCGAATAACTCTCCGATAGGTACTTGATTAAGTCTTTTATTGATTTTATTTGTTCGTTCAGTTCGTTAAATTAAATAACGTCTTCATAAAACAAGTATCAAATATTTGATGACTAACAATTGATGGAGGAATTTATTAAATCGTGCAAGTTAAGAAGTTAGTGACTGGGGAGGGAGCACTGAGCATTACTTGGGGTTTGAGGTGTAGGCCCTCACAGTGTTTACTTCCTTTCATCAATTATTTCTGTCCTTTTATCAATCAAGCTTGCTACAAAAGTGTTTTCGCTCAATCTAAATAAACATGACAAAATGAGATACCTATCAATTCAAATGATGTGGTAATGAGTAATCATGTAATCATCCGTGAAACACACCCTCGATAATGAGATTCCTCATTCCTTAAATTCTATTTCCTAGTGGTATCACCTACATAAACATTCACCAGCTAATTACAGTGTTATTTCACCTGAATTTCATGTCTGTATTACTATTCCACATTCTCTCATTTTAAGAGGGTGTGCACTTTGTGTAGTGTATTTTAAAGTTTTAATAGTGTTTGGGTATCTCTTTGTGTTTGTGGTCGGGGTTTGATCGTTGTGGAATGATAACCATTTCTCTTGTTTCTCATATCCTGAACTTTGTTTCTTGTTCTATTAATCTTTGAGCTCTGGTCTATGACGAAGTCTATTTTACTACGTGCAGTAAGTTACTAACTGATCGAGTAATGTTGTGGGAAATGTGTGCCTTGTCCTAAATATTGTGCTAAATAATGTGCTAAATCCTTTAATTATATAATATTGCCTTTTACATGAACTTAATGGCTGGTCCGCTCGCATTGTATAGGCATCTGTTTTCATGAAAATGATAAAAATCGGCAAAATGTTAAACGTTGAGCATGATGAAAATTTTGAATGTTAACTTTTCGTATTTGATTACATTCCTGTCACATTGTCTTGACAAAATGTCACCACGGTAAAATACCTAAACACACCCTATCATATCTACTACCTATAATAGATGTGCATATTTTTGACAGCGATAAAAACAATCAACATCCACTACTGGCAAATCAAACCCCAGAATCCAGGTCTTAAATAAAATGCCTCACCTCCCCACCAGAATCCACATCTACTGACTTTACTGTTACATAACTGTTCAAAGTTTACAATAAGAAATACAATAAAGTGTACACTAGAGCACGTGCCCAGACACGATAGCTATTGTTCTCAGGACAATGCCAAATATCAAAACAATAAAATGTGTCCTTGTCAAGTTGGGGTGTTGAACAATGGATTAATGGTTTCTGAGTAAGGTTAAATTACACGTGTTTTGTAATACCTGATATGTTGTGGGCTCATTATACTACTTCTGGAATCTGGATTTGAGTCTACATCATTTAATGTAACTGATAAACTCACTTACTCATTTACATATATAGTTCATGGACTCCACTAATAATCACTTCTTCATTCCCAGTTCCCACACTGGTTTACTGCACCACAATTTACTGCAAAACCCGACTTATTATATATATAACACAGTTTTACTCTATAACACCATATTCCCCACAGTTTTACTCTATATAACACCATATTCCCCACAGTTTTACTCTATATAACACCATATTCCTCACAGTTTTACTCTATATGACACCATATTCCCCACAGTTTTACTCAATACAACACCATATTCCCCACAGTTTTACTCTATATAACACCATATTCCCCACAGTTTTACTCTATATAACACCATATTCCCCACAGTTTTACTCTATATAACACCATATTCCCCACAGTTTTACTCTATATAACACCATATTCCCCACAGTTTTACTCTATATAACACCATATTCCCCACAGTTTTACTCTATATAACACCATATTCCCCACAGTTTTACTCTATATAACACCATATTCCCCACAGTTTTCCTCTATATAACACCATATTCCCCACAGTTATGTCATACGCTGAGACTTGAAGACGACACCCTCCCAACCCTCACAACCGCTGTACTTCACAAAATAGAACAGCTCAAACACCAAAAAGAAGTGAGTTTGCAAGATAACTTCCTTGTTGGTGCCCTGTATAAAGGTGCTGTCATTGCAGAGATATTCGGCTAAATCAAACATAAGTTTTCTTATTTCAGAGAATCATTGACACAAGTTATTTGGCCTAAAAATCTGTTTTCCACCCGCCAAAAATTCTGAATATGCAGAATGCGGATGATCAAGTTCGTTAAGTTTAATTTTCTCAGGTGTTGGAACAAGAAACTCAGAGAGAAATGAATAAGCTACAGGAGGAACTCTTGGCGGCCGTAAGTGCATTCTACTTCTTTATATGCTGTAATCTTCTCTATACCTAATTGCTTAGTTTGGTTATTGCAATTTGAACGAAACTTGAAGAATGATTTCATGATTACCCTTTCTGCTAAAAATCCTTACATTTCTAACATTTGCACTTCAGAAAAACCAGATCAGTGTGAGTGAAGACTCAGCTCTGGATATAGAGGAGGAACTGAAGAGAGTTCTAGATTTCCAGGAGAAGGAGCGAGTTGAAATGCAGAATAAAGTCAAGAGTTTTGCTAGTCAGCTGCAGGTCGGTGTAGTTTTATATTATTTCCCTTTAATTTATACCAATCATTTTCACTTTTTCAGACTGCTCCTCTGTACTCAGGTTGGGCGGTTTCCCATAAATGAGATTCACCTTATCTTTACCTCGCTATCAGTAGTAATGTTTGGTATAATAGGTATACTAGATAAGAAATTAATGATTTAAGAGGTATTATTTGACTATTCCTACTTTACCAAGAATCAATATTATCCGCAATCAACCAACTATAAATGAGTTTTTAACTTCCAATAAAATCTTTTTAACATTGGTATAATATTTTTCTTCATCATCAGTGCCTAATAAAGATATAATTATTACTCCAATAAATCAAAATTAATTAAGACTTTCCCAGACCGAACTGAAGAAGGCACGGAATGGTAAGAAATTCGCAGAAGAGGCCCTCAACAATTCAATTGATAAGATAAATGAGGAATCCAGTCTGCTGAACGAACAGCACGAGCAGGTTAACAGAATGCCAGAATTTCTGTTTTTAACTTTTATTTGTTTTGAGTTTGAAATTTTATTGAGCGAAGAGACGTCTACATGCTCATATATTGACTTCAGCAATTACACTTTTAAAAGTGGTCCCACCCCTTTATTTCATTCTGAACATCTGTAATTCTAAATTTAAAACATAAAATGCTTTCAGTCTTTGGTGTCGATGAAAGAGGAGCGAGATATGCTGGAACATAAACTGGAAGAAATAATGAGTAAGTCAAAGGGGGATTATGAACAGCTGATAAAAGATAAGAATGAGCTGGAGAGACAGTTCTTTGATTACAAGATCAAGAGTGTGTCTGGTGAGTTCCCTGGTTTTTAGTTAAGTAGATCTTCCAGGAAACTTGGAGCTTGACAATGAAAAGGTTTCAATATCTTGCAAAAATCTTCTAAGTATTTTGAAGACCTTAAAGAAAAAGTTAAATATCTCAATGTGAATCGTTTTGCTCCGCCAGAAAAAGAAAACTTGATAGAATCACAGACAAGCAACTTGGCTCTTCTGGAGAAACTGAAAGTTGAATACCAACACAAAGAAGACCAAGTCAACGCTATACAACAGGTATAAATGATGAAAAAGTTGCATCTCTTTTATCTCGTTCTGCTCCTTGATTATTCCCTTACGTTATCAGAATCGTTTCAATATATTAATATCACACAAAAAAACTTACTAAATCAATATATATAAATATGATGGATTTCCTTCAGAGTAAGTTATAATTTTTACTGTTTCAGCAATGCACCGAAACAATAGAAAATCTAAAATCAGAGATGAAGGAAATGGAGATAAAAAATAAAGAGAAATCGTTTGAGATAGAGCAACTCAAAAACAATATCCATCAATACACAAACAGAGAAGGTAATAACTTATACACTAATTTTTTTTGTTTTGAAGAGTATTTATTCAGACTGCTACCTGAAACCAATTAAAAAGAAACTTTAACCTCTAAAAACCTCTAATTACCATTAATAACCTTTAATTACCTACTCTTTTTTAACATCTAATTATTAACTCTTGTCTAACTTCAGTAGACGCCTCGGAGAAGTTGTCACAGAGCCAGAAGATAATTGATGCCTTGAAACGAGACGTCCTAGAAACCAGAGCGAGACTTGAAACCTTAGCGGGTGAGAATCAAGGAGTTTTCCACGAATGTTTATTTCACGTACAAAAAAGTCAGACTTTCAAATCAAAAATGGCCCGCAGTAACTGTCCACCAATTAATCATATCCTGATAACAATCTGTACATAAAAATAACTGTTCAGGTTACGAAGTTAAGTGTGGTGACACGGAAACAGAGAATGTGGAACTTCGCTCTAAAGTGCGAGATCTGGAGACCACTAAGTTAACGTTACTAGACGAGGCAAAGGAGCTGAAGGAAGCCATTGAGAATGCGAGGGATACTCTAAATTCCAGGGTGGTGTCTGAGAGTTATAAGAATCCTGCTCTTGCAGCTGTTGCTGCACTTTGGGTGCAAGAACGAGAGGTGAGCAATTGATCCATCACTTTTTTGTTTTTATATAATTTTTTAAAATTTATATAAAGATGTAAGTTATAATAAATAGCTGGTGATAATTAATAGAATGGATATGATCTGGTGAATAGCAGTTACCTTGACTAAACTTCAGGAAGTAAACGACACAAAAGATGCGCTCCAAGCCACAGAGTGGGAGTTACAAGAACTTAAGGGGGATGCTAAACAATACCAGAGTAAACTAGCAGAGATAGAACAACTTAAGAAACAGATAGCTCAGGGAGAAAGTGAAAGGTATAAGATGGAAAAGTTTAAATTATCGAGAAAATATATCACACGGAGAGATGAATTGTTGAAATATTTTAAAACCGCTCAGTCGATACTTTTAAACCAGAATGTCAAATAAATCATCTCATTTTATTTTTCTTGAATAACATATTTTATCATTATTAATCTATTAATTTAAACCCAGAGCGATAATAAAGACGAAATTGGCAGAGTTCCAGGAGCGACAGATTGAAGCTGAAAACAGCGTTGAGAATGCTAAGGAGGAACTCAACTCATCACAGACTCAGATGCAAGTTCTTGAGTCTGATAAGTTAGTTCTAGACTCTTCTAAACAGTTTAAATATTCTGACCTTCTTGAAAGAACGGCTTTAACTTAAATTATTGAAAAGAACTGCTTGAACTTAAATTTGTAAGCAGCTAAACGTTAAAACACATTTTCAGTTTTTACAATTAACTTTCGCACTTATTACACATTTTTCCTCTACGTAAAGATAAACTTATTTAACAATCTTAGAGAGGAGTTACAGGCTCTGATAGCAAAACATACTCACGAGAAGGACAGACTGCTTGAAGATCTGAACCAGAGCTTTAAAGAAAAGGTAACAGCTTCTGTGTACTGTAATAACAATAATTATAATAATTAGAATAATTACAATGATTACAATCTTGATTGTAGAAAAAACTAATTAATCAATTGAACTGAGATTTCTACCATCTCACAATATCCACGTATTGAGCTAAGAACCGGCCTAAGTTTGTAATTCGTTAGCAGGAGTATCACAAATTATTCAATCAGATTAATTGATCAAGTAAAATAAGTTATAGTTAAACTATAAGTATGCTCATTATCAGAATGAGAAAGAAGTGAGACTGGAGAGTTGTCTTTGTGAGCTCTCTTCAACACAGGACCAACTCTTCACTGTTAAAGAGGAACTCGTTAGAAACCGGGTAACTTACATATTTAACATATTTAACATATTTTACTTTACATATTTATTACATATTTTACTTAACGTACTTTACATATGTAGCGTTGTAATTTAGTTTTAAACTAATTACAACACTACAAATCTATTACATTTATTGAGAATTACGTAATGTAACGTGATGGAAATATTTTAAACGGTCATTTCCTTCCAAACCCAGGATGCACTACATAAAGAATTCGTTGTAACTTTGTTTGAAAAGCATTGGCTGTTTAGGACCCTCGTTATACTATTAGTGCTTTTCAAGTTAAAACGAGGCTTTTATGTTGCAGACTATAGAGCAAGGGTTTGGACTTTGTATAATTTCAAATTTGCCGATATAAACTTACCCACCATCAGATGGAAGCGGAGAAGCTACGAGAATCCCTCCTACTGGCTCGATCCGAGCTGGATGATTTAGATAAGAATATTGGCCAGATTAAAGAGGAGAGAGATAAACTGTCCGCTTCACAGCCTAAAAGGAAGTGAGTAAAAATTTACAAAAATGAAGTGAGTAGACATTTACAAAAATGAAGTGAGTAGACATTTACAAAAATGAACTATGAGTTAACATTTACAAAAAACTGTCCGCTTCACAGCCTAAAAGGAAGTGAGTAAAAATTTACAAAAATGAAGTGAGTAGACATTTACAAAAATGAAGTGAGTAGACATTTACAAAAATGAACTATGAGTTAACATTTACAAAAATGAACTATGAGTTAACATTTACAAAAATGAACTATGAGTTAACATTTACAAAAATGAACTATGAGTTAACATTTACAAAAATGAACTATGAGGTGAGTAAACACTTGGGGAATTGTGCGGTGGGTGGTGAGGTGAAAAATTGTTTTTTGTCGATTTCTGCAGTTAATTGGTTTTACTTGATTTAATGGTGTTTGTTCTGTATTCTCGATTTCATCTTATCATCACCTGTTCAGTACAGTTACTTCTGGTTTCAGTAATTGTATTAAACCCCAAATCTTAGGCTAGTCGGTTATCATCAGATTAAATAAACGATTTCTAGTTTGTTCAGCGTGGGTAAGACCAGAATGTTCTGAATTTATTAGTGTGAGATTCTGATATTCAATCTTATATTACTGCTAGGATGGTGATAACTTATTACGAATATAATAAAAGCTGTAAACCGTTGCCATGGCGACCAAAGTTCTAATTTACATCTCCCTTTTTCTTCCAGTCGGAGCGGTTAGGAGTTCCACAATTCCACAATTCTACCAAAAATGAGCACTCTTATTAATATGACCCTTATATTACCCTCTTATTACCCTCTTATTACCCTCTTATTACCCTTATATTACCTCTCATTACCCTTGCAAAATTGCATCGAATTGCACTGGTAGCTTTAAACAGATTTAGCTGTTCATATACCAGTGGGCTTCGTAAATTAGAGGTAGAGATTTAATAGTCGTCTAGGGTAAATGAGGCCCACCTGCGAATGAGGACAGATCTTTTGTGGGCTATTTGTTAGTTTAATTTAACATGAGAAGCTGGTTACAGCCTATGGTGTATTCCATTAAAGTTGGTGTATCCAGGTGCATTTAAATGGATTATACTAATTCAGTGATGAGGAACCCTCACCAGTCACCATACCCCCTTATTTGCTGTACCATTTAGTAATTAACTAATTAACTTAATGTAAAGACAGTAGAGGTACATTCTTCCATATTATGAAGATGTTCGTACATCGTGTATAGAGATAATATCTTACACAGCCCAATGTGAATAGAAATAACAAGGATAATAACACCAGTCTTAGGATACAGTTCTTTAAATTATCCATTAACTATCAACTATCTGTTAATAAGTCTAATGCTAAAGTCAGAGCAAATAAATTCTGTCCAGTCTATCGCCGACAATTAGATAATTAGGGTTTATTTGATAATTTTTGCATAAAGGTATCTTTTCAGCTTATATATTTTGATGTAATCCAAGTAATTGCGGACGAAGTTCACTGTGTTTTTAACGTGTTTGGGTACACATCATATTTTACAGTTGCAGTTGGGGTATCATATCAATCCGTTCTATGCTATAATCACTGTTTGCTAAAATTCGAACAGAACTATCTAATAACTAAACTCGTCAGGTCACTGGAGAAGAAGATAACCGACCTGGAGCTGTTGAACAAGTCTCTGTCTAGACGACTAGCTGTAGCTTCAGAGGAGAGACAACGGGCGGAGGAGCAGGCGAGCGGTGAGGATATTTATTACTTGTTATTTTAATATTGAAAATACTGGCGAGCGGTGAGGATATTTATTACTTGTTATTTTAATATTGAAAATACTGGCGAGCGGTGAGAATATTTATTACTTGTTATTTCAATATTGAAAATACAGGCGAGCGGTGAGGATATTTATTACTTGTTATTTTAATATTGAAAATACAGGCGAGCGGTGAGGATATTTATTACTTGTTATTTTAATATTGAAAATACTGGCGAGCGGTGAGGATATTTATTACTTGTTATTTTAATATTGAAATTACTGGTGAGCGGTGAGAATATTTATTACTTGTTATTTTAATATTGAAAATACTGGTGAACGGTGAGAATATTTATTACTTGTTATTTTAATATTGAAAATACTGGCGAGCGGTGAGAATATTTATTACTTGTTATTTTAATATTGAAAATACTGGCGAGCGGTGAGGATATTTATTACTTGTTATTTTAATATTGAAAATACTGGTGAACGGTGAGAATATTTATTACTTGTTATTTTAATATTGAAAATACTGGCGAGCGGTGAGAATATTTATTGCTTGTTATTTTAATATTGAAAATACTGGCGAGCGGTGAGAATATTTATTACTTGTTATTTTAATATTGAAAATACTGGCGAGCGGTGAGAATATTTATTACTTGTTATTTTAATATTGAAAATACTGGCGAGCGGTGAGGATATTTATTACTTGTTATTTTAATATTGAAAATACTGGTGAACGGTGAGAATATTTATTACTTGTTATTTTAATATTGAAAATACTGGCGAGCGGTGAGGATATTTATTACTTGTTATTTTAATATTGAAAATACTGGCGAGCGGTGAGAATATTTATTACTTGTTATTTTAATATTGAAAATACTGGCGAGCGGTGAGAATATTTATTACTTGTTATTTTAATATTGAAAATACTGGCGAGCGGTGAGAATATTTATTACTTGTTATTTTAATATTGAAAATACTGGCGAGCGGTGAGGATATTTATTACTTGTTATTTTAATATTGAAAATACTGGTGAACGGTGAGAATATTTATTACTTGTTATTTTAATATTGAAAATACTGGCGAGCGGTGAGAATATTTATTGCTTGTTATTTTAATATTGAAAATACTGGCGAGCGGTGAGGATATTTATTACTTGTTATTTTAATATTGAAAATACTGGCGAGCGGTGAGAATATTCATTACTTGTTATTTTAATATTGAAATTACTGGGCTACTGGATACTTGGGCTTTATTGGTTATCTCCTTAGCTTAGCTTAGCTTAGGTAGCACTTTAAAATTAAGTCTTCAAATCGAGCCACCTGGAACTTGACCTAGAAGCTTCAGTTAAAATGGCATTCTGAGTTCTGAGGTTGTGTAATCCAGTTTCAACAGTATTTGCTATGTGAGCTTGTGTTTACACTTTACGAGGAGATAAATGTTTTAACAGAAATTAAAACCTCATCTCTCCACAACCACTCACTTGCAGGTCAAGAGAGGGTGACCAAACGTATCTGAATAATATGTGAATAATATGTGAATAATTTCCCCACTCGTTTGCTATGTTCCAACGTAACTAATTTGTAAAGAATTTGTGAATGATATGTAGAATTATGGATGTTAAGATTGGTTTCATCCTTGTTTGAAATACTTCAAGTTTCCTTCGTCGACTTACTAGATTATTTAGAAGTGCATTAGTACAAAATTTGGTATGAAATGAAACTATTTGTCACTTTTTAAATGAATAGTAAATAAGGCTAAGCTACATAAATTTGAAGATCGCTACCATAATTTACCGCAAAATCAAGAAGGTTTAGAAAAAACAATCTTCGAATTATGGTCGTATAAATTTCGATATCAGTTTATTTATTAATTGAATCTTTACAAGTATCTAGACTGCAAAGCTAATCAAATGCTAATTTAATTCATCTGATAGAAAAATCAATTAACTGCACAAAAAAAAACAAGTCGATACGTTTTAAAGAGTGCTCTTCGAACATTGTTCAACTTTTTTGGTAACGTAATCATCATTTTGGACCATCAAGGAAAATATCTCTTGAAGAATTCGATGAGACGCTCCGTAACTCGCGTCCCTTTGAAATACTCTGAAAATATTAGTGATTCAAAGTTCTTGAAACAAATTGTAATTGTTGTGCCACGTAATATGTATGTCTAATCTAAACTTAATTTCTTTTTAATTACTCACCATCAATTAACAATCAATGAACAGTCGCTAATAAACTTAAGCTTAGTGCTTAAAATCTCCTTATATCGTGAGCCATAGTCTTAATCAAAATAGCTGAAAGACCTAAATAGCAATTCCAAAGCCCTTAGTTTACGATGAAACACCAAAATCTACCTTAAACTACCTAAATCTCGACATAAAAACTTACCGAGTTTCTCCCAGCTTTCGTCGAGGATTGCGAGCATATCTTCCGTCAGGATTTCGTCGAAGAAAGATTCCGTGTACAAGATGTCCCAATGCGTTGAATTAGTCACTCTAAAACAGTTGAACCCAGAGAGACCCTTCTTTATCTCTTTTACCTCCTCCTCTAGCTCCTCCACTTCAGCCAGAGTTTCGTTCAGATCATTTCTTGTCTCCTCCAAGTTCTTCTCTGTCTGGTTTAACTGACTAACAGTAACTGCAAGGTTAGCTTCAACCTCCTCCATGTGTTTTTCTGTTTTGTTCAGTCTTGTCTCCGTTTGGTCCAGCTTTTTCTCCGTTTGATCCAGCTGTGTCTCTGTTTGGTTCAGTTGTGTCTCCGTTTGGTTCAGCTGTGTTTCTGTTTGATTCAGCCTTGTCTCCGTTTGATCCAGCCTTGTCTCCGTTTGGTTCAGCTGTGTCTCTGTTTCAGTAAGCTGGCCAGTAGTTTGCTCAAGATAAGCTCTCACTTGCTCTAGCTCGGACGACGTATTGTTCAGATTTATTTCTGAACGGTTCAGCTGGTCTGAAATCTCCTCCTTGCTAGCCTTGGTATCGGTCAGTTCTTTGCGAGCATCCTCGAGTTGTTCCTCTAACTGTTCAACTCGACACGTGTCTATTTCAGCTCTGACGTTGCCTGTTCTTGGTTGCTGCAATATTTGTTCCCACTTCAGTTGGCGAACATCATCATATTTGCTCTCCACATCAGAGCAGCGACCTGCAGAGTACAGTTCACTTACTTCAGATGAGGTTAGTTTCTTGGAGAAGATATTTGTTTTATCAAGTTCCCCACCAAACGATTGACTTGAATCAAATGATCCGCCGTAGGTGTCCTGGTCTTGCCCCAAAACAAGATATCCACCTGCAGTGAGTCTTCTTCCTGAGGGGGTTGTAAAGGACCCAGTTTGTCGACCATTGTGGTAAATTGTTGCTGTGCGGGAACTGAGACTCCAACACAAACAGTAGTGGTACCAGACTCCTGCAGTTACACCTGCCTGGGCTCTTACATTTGTGCTATAACTGTCGAACACGTAGTTACTGCTTCCTTCATCCGTAATGACTATCTCATTGTAATTTGATCTTGTCGCGTACGAGAACCAGTGTGCTTGACTGCCAGATCTCGATTTCCGAATCCAGGAACACAGAGAAAATGCTTCAGAGAAAGGTTGCATATTAGGCTTAAACCTAATATAATCCCCTACAGTATTCCCAAACTTGAGTACCTTGTGCGATTGAGCAGCAGATATCTCCTGTACTATCAGGACCATCAGTAGACAGGACAACCTCATCTTTACAGTAGACTGTGAACCGTCAACAAATTATGAGAAACTGACGATTTGAAAGTAACTAAATACAAATGTAGGTTCTTGTAAATATTAGTCTTAAACGTAAGGGACGATGAGAAATGAATACTAGGTTGTGAAATGTGATTAATTTACAGATGGGAATTTTACGGGTATTCGTGGCTCCCGAAAGTCGATTTAAGTTTTACTGCCAGGATGAAGTCTTAATCTTTAGGTGCTTTTTTCTAATTCAATAACAAAAAGGAAGCCTGGTGTTTATTCTTATCTTCTTGTTAGAATAATTATTGTGACTGGAAATTAATAGGACAATGTTGTAATTTTATCTTATCGTCATATTGTTCATATGCAAGATCACACTAAATCTTTACCATTTTAATATACTGGTTTAAGCACAGAGCAGCGATATAGCATTTCCTTTACTGCATGTTCCAGTATAGGGGGGCGGGAATACGTGACACGATATAATGGGTCACAATCTGCAAAGAACGCTAATTCGATTTATCTTGAGGAGTCATTGATTCTCCTAACTGCATCTAAAATCAAGAGTCACTGATTTTACAAAGTCTGTTTATCCCCAGGTGTAACGGAGAAGCTGGAGCAGGATGTGACTGAGATCCTGGAAGCATTTGAGGAGTATAAGGAGCGGACTGGAACTGCTCCTGAGAAAGTTCAGGAGCTCAAACACGGTACGTTGTGGAGAAGTTTAGGTGTTTTCTTTACTTCCCAGTGTGTTTAGACTTCAGTACCGCGTGTTCGGTACCGTGTTATATGTATCTGATGTTTATTCGAACTAATATTTATTTACTTTTTCAAATCTCTAGTAATTGATTCTGATGTTCATGATGTTCATGATACTCGAATTATAGGCTCGCTTTAAATTGTCTAATAAAATGTTACATTAGTTAAAAGTAAAATATCTTACATCTTAAGATATTAAGTTTACTTTTATAAATAACATAAAATTGTAAACTAAAACATAGCATTTTATCTCAAAACGACTGCACTAGTTCCACATGACATATCACATGACATATCACATGACATAATATCACATGACATATATCACATGACATATCACATGACATATCACATGACATATCACATGACATAATATCACATGACATATCACCAGGAATGGCCGCTCTACAGGAGACTCTGCACCAAATAATGAACACTAACTCTAAACTGACCAAGGAAAAAGTCAGACTTACTCAGGAGGTTGAGAAGTTCAAACTTGAGAACTTCAATCTTAGCCAGGAGAGGTGGGTATTTAATATTTATATTTGAAATTGTTACTAGATAATAATTTGACATCGCATTTAAAAACACCATCTAACCTTACCATGTAATGCTTGTTTGTTTGTTTGTTTGTTTATAGAACCCGTCCCCAATCTCGTATCGGAAAATGACTAAACTCAGGTCTGAGTGTGAATACGGGTGGTACCTGCAAGAGTGTTCATTAAGCATTTAGAGTTCTGTAAAACTGCAGTTACAATTGTGCTAGAGTATTTTTAGTATATACGATTGGTATCAGAAATATATCCCTACATGCTTCCAAAATTTGTAAAGCCGTAGTACATACATATCACACTACACCGGAGCCTACACAGTGCAATCTCCTCCATACCAGTCGATCTGCGCCGCGTATGTTTATATAAGCGCGCGGCGCAGACTGGAGGAAACCACACTCTGCAAGTTCGATCCAGTGCAATGCTACATGTACGTACTACGGCTTCATCTCCAACTTTCTGCACAATGTACTGGAATGTTTTGAAGGAAAAGAATGAACAAAAAAAAAGTGATATATATAAATAAAATCAGCGATTTAATGTTAGCCTTAGGAGGGTAACTTTAATTCCCTGGTTTCTAAAATCAGCTTTTTAATAAAATAAAATAAAGTATGTAACGTCGATACCAAACCGATTATTGAGCGATAATAACTGAGTAGTTTATTCCTGGGTTGCGGAGTCATTCAGATGTTCCAGTTTTCGAATGTGGTTCTTGTTCAGTTCTTGACCAGAAGTGTCTAATGAAGTAAGTCAGACAAGCAAACTCTTCCTTTAATGCTGATATAAGTCGTCTCAATCCCAGAAATTATGAATGATGACCCAGTGTAAAAGTGCAGAAATCGACCGAAAATAACAAAAACTAAAAACAGTTAAAAAGTGACAAGATTCAAACACAAGGAAAATTAATAACTTAGAGCGTAATAAGCAATATCTCCAAACGGAGTTTTCTGAGAGGGTGAGAGGTTCTTTAATTAGAGCTAATGATAAAATGAGACCCACTAAAGGTACTAAATTAACCGGACTGCTAGCAAGGAATCGAGAGTGGAAATAAAAATAAAAGCGGAATAAATTTTAAGATAATGAAACAGAAACTGAAAGCTAAAATATATACCGTTCTAGAATGCCTCCGCAAACTATTGCTCCTTTGTAAAGCACGTGTTAGTAAGTGTAGTAAAAAGATAAAAATAATAAAGCTATAAAAATGAACGGAGCGTTGAAAATCTGAGAGGGTGAGAGGTTCTTTAATTAGAGCTAATGATAAAATGAGACCCACTAAAGGTACTAAATTAACCGGACTGCTAGCAAGGAATCGAGAGTGGAAATAAAAATAAAAGCGGAATAAATTTTAAGATAATGAAACAGAAACTGAAAGCTAAAATATATACCGTTCTAGAATGCCTCCGCAAACTATTGCTCCTTTGTAAAGCACGTGTTAGTAAGTGTAGTAAAAAGATAAAAATAATAAAGCTATAAAAATGAACGGAGCGTTGAAAATCTGAGAGGGTGAGACTGAGAGGTTCTTTAATTAATAACTTAGAGAGGGTGAGAGGTTCTTTAATTAGAGCTAATGATAAAATGAGACCCACTAAAGGTACTAAATTAACCGGACTGCTAGCAAGGAATCGAGAGTGGAAATAAAAATAAAAGCGGAATAAATTTTAAGATAATGAAACAGAAACTGAAAGCTAAAATATATACCGTTCTAGAATGCCTCCGCAAACTATTGCTCCTTTGTAAAGCACGTGTTAGTAAGTGTAGTAAAAAGATAAAAATAATAAAGCTATAAAAATGAACGGAGCGTTGAAAATCTGAGAGGGTGAGAGGTTCTTTAATTAGAGCTAATGATAAAATGAGACCCACTAAAGGTACTAAATTAACCGGACTGCTAGCAAGGAATCGAGAGTGGAAATAAAAATAAAAGCGGAATAAATTTTAAGATAATGAAACAGAAACTGAAAGCTAAAATATATACCGTTCTAGAATGCCTCCGCAAACTATTGCTCCTTTGTAAAGCACGTGTTAGTAAGTGTAGTAAAAAGATAAAAATAATAAAGCTATAAAAATGAACGGAGCGTTGAAAATCTGAGAGGGTGAGAGGTTCTTTAATTAGAGCTAATGATAAAATGAGACCCACTAAAGGTACTAAATTAACCGGACTGCTAGCAAGGAATCGAGAGTGGAAATAAAAATAAAAGCGGAATAAATTTTAAGATAATGAAACAGAAACTGAAAGCTAAAATATATACCGTTCTAGAATGCCTCCGCAAACTATTGCTCCTTTGTAAAGCACGTGTTAGTAAGTGTAGTAAAAAGATAAAAATAATAAAGCTATAAAAATGAACGGAGCGTTGAAAATCTGAGAGGGTGAGACTGAGAGGTTCTTTAATTAATAACTTAGAGCGTAATAAGGAATATGAATATCTCCAAACGGAGTTTTCTGAGAGGGTGAGAGGTTCTTTAATTAGAGCTAATGATAAAATGAGACCCACTAAAGGTACTAAATTAACCGGACTGCTAGCAAGGAATCGAGAGTGGAAATAAAAATAAAAGCGGAATAAATTTTAAGATAATGAAACAGAAACTGAAAGCTAAAATATATACCGTTCTAGAATGCCTCCGCAAACTATTGCTCCTTTGTAAAGCACGTGTTAGTAAGTGTAGTAAAAAGATAAAAATAATAAAGCTATAAAAATGAACGGAGCGTTGAAAATCTGAGAGGGTGAGAGGTTCTTTAATTAGAGCTAATGATAAAATGAGACCCACTAAAGGTACTAAATTAACCGGACTGCTAGCAAGGAATCGAGAGTGGAAATAAAAATAAAAGCGGAATAAATTTTAAGATAATGAAACAGAAACTGAAAGCTAAAATATATACCGTTCTAGAATGCCTCCGCAAACTATTGCTCCTTTGTAAAGCACGTGTTAGTAAGTGTAGTAAAAAGATAAAAGTAATAAAGCTATAAAAATGAACGGAGCGTTGAAAATCTGAGAGGGTGAGACTGAGAGGTTCTTTAATTAATAACTTAGAGAGGGTGAGAGGTTCTTTAATTAGAGCTAATGATAAAATGAGACCCACTAAAGGTACTAAATTAACCGGACTGCTAGCAAGGAATCGAGAGTGGAAATAAAAATAAAAGCGGAATAAATTTTAAGATAATGAAACAGAAACTGAAAGCTAAAATATATACCGTTCTAGAATGCCTCCGCAAACTATTGCTCCTTTGTAAAGCACGTGTTAGTAAGTGTAGTAAAAAGATAAAAATAATAAAGCTATAAAAATGAACGGAGCGTTGAAAATCTGAGAGGGTGAGAGGTTCTTTAATTAGAGCTAATGATAAAATGAGACCCACTAAAGGTACTAAATTAACCGGACTGCTAGCAAGGAATCGAGAGTGGAAATAAAAATAAAAGCGGAATAAATTTTAAGATAATGAAACAGAAACTGAAAGCTAAAATATATACCGTTCTAGAATGCCTCCGCAAACTATTGCTCCTTTGTAAAGCACGTGTTAGTAAGTGTAGTAAAAAGATAAAAATAATAAAGCTATAAAAATGAACGGAGCGTTGAAAATCTGAGAGGGTGAGACTGAGAGGTTCTTTAATTAATAACTTAGAGCGTAATAAGGAATATGAATATCTCCAAACGGAGTTTTCTGAGAGGGTGAGAGGTTCTTTAATTAGAGCTAATGATAAAATGAGACCCACTAAAGGTACTAAATTAACCGGACTGCTAGCAAGGAATCGAGAGTGGAAATAAAAATAAAAGCGGAATAAATTTTAAGATAATGAAACAGAAACTGAAAGCTAAAATATATACCGTTCTAGAATGCCTCCGCAAACTATTGCTCCTTTGTAAAGCACGTGTTAGTAAGTGTAGTAAAAAGATAAAAATAATAAAGCTATAAAAATGAACGGAGCGTTGAAAATCTGAGAGGGTGAGAGGTTCTTTAATTAGAGCTAATGATAAAATGAGACCCACTAAAGGTACTAAATTAACCGGACTGCTAGCAAGGAATCGAGAGTGGAAATAAAAATAAAAGCGGAATAAATTTTAAGATAATGAAACAGAAACTGAAAGCTAAAATATATACCGTTCTAGAATGCCTCCGCAAACTATTGCTCCTTTGTAAAGCACGTGTTAGTAAGTGTAGTAAAAAGATAAAAATAATAAAGCTATAAAAATGAACGGAGCGTTGAAAATCTGAGAGGGTGAGACTGAGAGGTTCTTTAATTAATAACTTAGAGCGTAATAAGGAATATGAATATCTCCAAACGGAGTTTTCTGAGAGGGTGAGAGGTTCTTTAATTAGAGCTAATGATAAAATGAGACCCACTAAAGGTACTAAATTAACCGGACTGCTAGCAAGGAATCGAGAGTGGAAATAAAAATAAAAGCGGAATAAATTTTAAGATAATGAAACAGAAACTGAAAGCTAAAATATATACCGTTCTAGAATGCCTCCGCAAACTATTGCTCCTTTGTAAAGCACGTGTTAGTAAGTGTAGTAAAAAGATAAAAATAATAAAGCTATAAAAATGAACGGAGCGTTGAAAATCTGAGAGGGTGAGACTGAGAGGTTCTTTAATTAATAACTTAGAGCGTAATAAGGAATATGTTCATGTAATGCTTATACTTATAGACTTGTTTACAATGCTCCTTCATAATAAATTTGCAACATTATAAAGTTTAATTCGTCGTTTCACACACTTGACGTCACGTGACCACAGGAACGAGTTTAAAGACCAGCTAGATAACAGTTTGATAGACTTGTCTAAAGACGGTGAAGTGTCTAATGAGCTCCTGGCTCACAATCAAATGTTACAAGCTCAGTTGGACGGCATGTCTACACGCTCTAATAGGTACTTTTATGGCGTGTAAATTGTAATTAAATTTTAATTAAAACTATTAGTTTTAGTTAATACTCCTACTTGCGATGGTTTACAACTTCAAATTTATTATTTGCAGAAAACTTCCTTTATCACGATCTCGATTAAAATGGGTAAAATTCCTCATATTTTACTTGAGATATTCTTTTTTCGTAGGCTTGACAAGCTAGAGCACGACAACACCATTCTGAAGAATAAAGTTCGGAAGATGAAGGAAATGCTGAGGGACAAGGAGGATCAACTGGTACGTGATCATTGTATTCGTAAAATGTATGCCAAATGAGTAAACAAAATGGTGACTTACATTCTAGTCAAGAATTATGTCTTTAATTGCTTTAAAGTTCTAATCATTACAGTTGGGTGATCTAATTTGTTTAAGAAATAACGCTTCAGATAAACTTGAACGATTCTAATGAGATGAAAGACGAACTAGAAAAAGAGAACTCCCATTTTAAAAAGATGATTAATTCGTTGAAACAGAAGCTGGATACAAGCAAAGACGCAAACGTTATGCTGAAGGTATGAACCAAATTTTCTTTATCCGGACAATATAATATTTGTGCCATATTTATTTTAACTGCCAACGCGCGGCGTTGTAGTACGTAGCGCGCGAAAACATTTTACTGTTGAAGTGAGAAATCGTGATGCCTTTTCAAAGACATAATATCATGCACGGCTGTTCAAAACGTCGATTTCTGCGATTCTAATTAGATAGGATTACCCTAGGATTTATCCTAGCGCGTCCGAGATACCTCGGATTTTATCAATCCTAACGCCGATCCAGTCCCCCCAGGATACCTCCGATGAATTCCTATCGCCGAGCGGCGATAGGATGTGTAAGTTCCGAGAGGCGATAGGATTTGCTCTCGGACCCGATAGGAAATTAATAACCTATCGGATCCGAGCGCTAATCCTAGCGGAGATAGGATTTAACAATTCCGAGTGCCGATAGGATTTGCTCTCGGACCCGATAGGATACTCAATTCCTATAGGATCCGAGAGCAAATCCGAGAGGCGATAAAATTTCGAATATCAGGACCGATATAATTAGAAGACGACGCATATCTAACTGTAGGTTGAAACTTCATGCTTTCTGTCAGTTAACTTCAGGATCATATCATCGCTTTATCTTAAGTTGATCCACGGTTGCCTGCAGGCTACAGCAACATGGAGGTTGTTTAGGTTAAATTAAGTAGATAAATGATAACTTGAAGCTAACTTGTAGTTCTCTATAAGAGTTAACTCTAGGATACCTTGTAGTACTCTTCAAGTTAACTTCAGGATACCTTGTAGTACTCTTCAAGTTAACTTCAGGATACGTTGTAGTAATTTTTGAGTTAACTCCAGGATAACTTGTAGTACTCTTCAAGTTAAGTTCAGGATACCTTGTAGTACTCTTCAAGTTAACTTCAGGATATAACCTTGTAGTACTCTTCAAGTTAAATCCAGGATACCTTGTAGTACTCTTCAAGTTAACTTCAGGTTACCTTGTAGTACTTTTTGAGTTAACTTCAGGATACCTTGTAGTACTCTTCAAGTTAACTTCAGGATACCTTGTAGTACTCTTCAAGTTAACTTCAGGTTACCTTGTAGTACTTTTTGAGTTAACTCTAGGATACCTTGTAGTACTCTATAAGTCAACTTCAGGATAACTTGTAACTTACTCTTCAAGTTAAATCCAGGATACCTTGTAGCATGCATGCAAATTAAATTAATTAATAGCGCGCACTTGATATTATGCGTTATATGGCGCATAAATGACTGGCACATCGTTCATGCATCATCGATTCGTTATCAATCAATTAAATATTTAATTTTGGTAACCAATCGACATAAAATCAGAGGGATGTGTTCTTTTTACTTGCCCATCAAGTTAAGCTTATCATTCGTTTCAGGACAAAATAAGAGACTTGGAGGAAAGTCGAGATCAGTTCTTGGCGTCCACGCCGAACCACTCTCGGAGCAACAGGGTAAGTTCACTTCTTCATAAACTTCTAGTTTCTTATGTTTTACTAATAAGAACACTTAGAAACCATGTGTTAGCCTGCAGCTAGTAGATCGACATTGAGCAAGCTGAGGAATTAGAGGAACTAGCAGGAACCCGTATAACCCTAAGATGGTGTCAAGACTCAAGAGACTAAATAATTATTACCTATTTAATTCGCGTTTTTGACACCACTTGGGGGTCCAAATTTCGGGCTCTAAAATTCCTATTTCTTGGCCAATTTTTTATTTTTTCATGCTGATTTGGAGGCCATTAAAGCATTTGACCCAGTCAAAAAAGTTTTAGTTGTATATTTTTTACGGTTTTTGCAGAAATTCGCGTTAAAGTTGATGCCATGGTGTCAGTAAAATGGCACGGATAAATATATATATATCGTCTCGCTTTATATATAGTAAGATTAGAGGAATGCTCTAAACCATTTATTTGCAGAGCTTGATGGACGTATCCGATGAGCTGGAACCCATCCGATCTGACAACGATCCTCGGCGTCTTGCTGTCGAGAGTCGAGCCTCCATGCCAAGTCTCGCCTCACAGAGTCGTGTGTCCATGGCAACGTCTCAAATTTCTAATGTAGAGACATTGTGTCTCGCTGAGAGGTGCAAGACTTTGGATATTGAGCTTAAAGATTTGAAAGAGAGGTTTGTTGTTATTTCTCAAAAAACTTGAGATTCAAATTAATGGAGAGTTTGCGTCTACCAGTTAGCACTAATAAACATGACTATAAAGCTCGTATAATAACACTATGTATACGAACATAATAACACTATGTATACGAACATAATAACACTATATATAACATGGTATAATAACACTTCCTTCCGTATTTTAATGACTGTATCTCCCAGGTATAAGATCCTACAAGATACTCACGATTCAGAGCAGAATAAAGCTCACGAAATGTCGGACGCTCTGAGGAGTTCAGTGCGAATTCTTAAAAGCTACATCGACAGGTTACCCTGAAGTTAACATAGCTATAGTCTATACTTATATCAATTTATCCCTTATTTTAATTTTTACTTACAGTATAAATTATAGCTGTCAAGATTATGAAACCTTATTAAATTTAATTAATTTCCATTTTGTATCGCGCAGCTCTGAGTTCTCTTCGACATTCTACAATTGGAAGATTAAAACTCTCTTACGAGCCCTATTTTGATACTTGTGAACTCAATTCTGTGACATTATTTGCATTGGGAGTACCTATTATGTATACATTAAAGTTCGTTACTTCAGGAGTGGGGATGTTAAGGGTGAGCGAATGTGTGAGCTTCAAGACCAACTTGAGATTCAAAGGTATTTATTTGCTTTCAGTTGCATCTTGTAGTAAAAATAATAATAATTTGCTAAATTTAGTTCGCAGTTAATTGAAGATTTGCTTTATCTTTTTATTGTAAGTGTAACTAAATTCCCTCAAGAATGAAGAAAGTAACTTGGGGAATGTTTCCCAAAGAATTTGATCGAGAAACTTGTAAACTCTCCGTTCTGCAGGTCACAGCTGTTTAACATGGCGGATCAATTAGGAGTTGACTTGGCTCAGTCTTCTTTCTACCCTCCTGACGGTGAGTCACTAGCTAGTGTCAGCACTGTTTGTTTAGAAGGGACTGATAATCAACTCATCTGATTAAATGGCGGATCTGACGAAATTGAATGTTTGTAAGATTCTTATAGTTATTACAACGGAATTTTCATGAACGGATAATGAAAGGGAATTATTATGTCATGTGATTTTCAAAGTTTAAATGATGATCTTTTTTTGATACTTCTTTCTTAGTTCACATCTTTTTTTTATATTTTGACAATTCTTCATCGTGTACAGATATGAATTAAATTTGTGATAAGAAAAAAACCTTTCAGTTATAGTCGCAAAATGTGAAATCTAGAATGTATATAGTTGCATGAACAAGCGCAGTTTTAATGAGATTATAGGTATTTATGCATATTGCATGTTAAGTTTGGTATTAATTATTTATGCATGTTAAACTGCTTGGTCAGGACAATATCCAGAGTTTGTAAATTATTTCTTAAGGAAATCGATTTTGAGATTTTCTGCTTTATTTTATATTTTAACATAACCTTTATTTTTGAGTTGTATTTATACTAATGCGTGATCACGACATATTCTGTTTTTAAATGATACCTTGCTATTGTATGGCAATTTTATTGATAACTTCAAGAATTTTCAGTTTTATTTGTTGAACTTAATGCGCGCACTATTATAACATATACCTTATCGGACCTTATTTGGACGGACATTAATTGAACGCTGGAGGCCCTAGCGTTCATCTTAATGTCCGTCCAAATAAAGTCCGTTCATTTAAGGTCCGTTTATTTATAGGTCCGTCCAAGTCCGTTGAATTTTTTTCAAAAATTTTTCCATTTCGAACTTTTTGTCCAGAATGTGACAACTTTTTAATTTCAGTCGATTTCAATAGCTATCATTAAACTAAACTATATCGTTGAATCAATGAAAACACATGAGTTTTATAAATTTTGACAGCTAGTTTATGAGCAAATCCTCGCCAACATGACAAACTTGTCTAGCCTCTAGATATTAGATCGTTCACATAGCCATGTGTATACGCGTACTGCGTGACGCGCTTGTTTCACAAGTTGAATATATATCCTTTGCCGCCTTCGGCGGTCGCGCGCTACTGCAAGCGAGAGGGCTCTGGTTAGAGCAAATTAGATCGCGCGCGATCAAAAGGGGTTATGTGTCAAGTTTAATGTTTATTGCGTTTGTACGCTTCAATTATTCCAAGAATGCAATTTCACAACGTACCACGTGATACGATTCAGCCAATTTCAGAGAACAAGAATCCGCAAAGTTAAAGCTGCGCACTTTTATAAGGCCCAAAATAAGACTTTTCGCGATAATTCAAAATCTATAATGTCCCTAATTTTCCTCCTGGGGAGGTAACGTTATTTTTACAAGGCGAACATTTTGTTGAAAACTAGACGTTTCTATCTCTTTTATTTTCGAAGTTAGGCCCCTACCGGTATAGTAAGGTTTCCTGGGTATGTTTGGATGTTACTTGTTTAAATTTCTTCGAAGTTGCGCGCGCCGCTTTCTTTAACGGGTGATACTCTTACCTGGGGACCCCAGGCTATAATGTTCCGCCGAATAGAGATTAGGCGGAATGACAGGCTGAGCGCGGTGCGCCCAGTAAGTGATACTCGTAAAATATTTGTTCCAAATAGCAGGACCGTCGACGAGTCCAACTTGGCGCGCGTCGGCTTGGTAGGTTATAAACCTACGTACAACGCTTTCTTCTCGAAATGGCCCGATGGCAAGTGCTACAAAGTAGCGCGCACCGGGCCAGACCATTGATAATGGTTCCGCGGTCAATGGCCGAATAAAAGGTCACAGCTTTATAATTTTGCAAATTAATGTGATTGTCTATGTGGTTATCTCTGAATGACACCATGGATGAATTCACTATTCAGATTGTAACACACTAACACGTGTACGTGCGCATGGTACTATTTGATTCACGATGTCAATCCTTCGCAGCTCGGTGAGGCACAGTGGTTGCGAGAAGAATTATTTGATGCGCGGCGCGACCCAGTAGTGCATCGCTTGACACACGCTGCAACCCCTTTTGATCGCGCGCGGCCAGCCGGCCGGCCGGCGTGCACGCTTCGCGTGCACGAGAGGTATACAACGTGTAGCAATGCATCGCGCTACAAGGTACTATAGATTAGGAAAGTTTTTCAATTTATGCATTAAAATGAGTACAGTGCGTTCTTTACAATGATACTGTATACTGTCAATATTTTATGTGAATAAAAGCCAGACTTGGTACTTGCCGCTGGGGGTACCGTCCTTGTACCAGTAATTGACGAAGCAAAACTTGGCAGCAAAACCCCCATACAAGGCTGCAATAATTAAGTTGTAGGTTTACAACCTACCATGAAGACGCGCGCCGATCGAGTTGGACTCGTCGACGGTCCTAATATATGGAACAGATATTATACGAGTATCACTCGTTAAGCAGTGACGTGTATGGTGTATCTAGGGGGTGCACGATAAAAATAAACTTGCTCGTATTTTCAAAATTTTTGTACCATTGTTTTCTAGAGACTGTGAGAATTTTTACAGTACCAAATTTGTCATACCTTTTTGGAATGATCGGTGAGTTTCGCCTATGGCCTAGGTGCCATATTTGATGGTGCGCGGCTTTTGGAGCAAAATTAGGTGTAAAAGTCGCGTAATTTGACGAAATTCGTTGATTTTTGTCGTATTATTCTATCATATTTTCGGTTCCTGAACATGAATCATGCTGAAAATTTGTCAGAACCTCCTAATCATACTTAACTACAGAACCTAATTTAGTTGGGAGAGATTGGCCTTGATTAAGAGGTCTAAAATGACAAAATAGGTATAAATCCGTTGATAACTCAAATTCTGACATATGACCATCGAAATATGACCATTGACATTTGACCATCGAAATTGCTCAAACTAATTTAGGTTCAGTAGAACATAAGTGTTTACGTAAGCTGACCAAATTTCAACAAAATTGTTATATGGGAAGTATTATAACTTTTTGATTGTTTCCGAAATAATGTGCTGGCCGAGATACTTAGTCAGAATTAACCCTGTAATGTGTGTGATAATTGCATCGTAACTCCACATTTAACCGGTGACTCTTTGCACTTTTAACACTCAACTATCTCAGAAAGGTTCAATAATCACATTGAGAAGCAGGACACACTCACAGAATGTAAATTCATCATTAGAGGTGCAAGAAATGAATATTTTGTGATTTCTGGCTCATATCTGCACAATTAACAGATATAAAGAGATGAATGACTTAATTATGTGACATTTGAATCCTTTTGGACCACATATTAAAATTTGGTTAACTTTCATAGCATACTCCTTGAGATACAAGTATTTTTAAATGCTTCACACAATTTTGGCAGTGAAAAATCAATCTCTAGTGCCACCTTTTTATGAACGTGTTCATATATAGACTACAGTGTGATGTTACCTATTATACTGAATTGACATAATTTTCCAGCTGTTCATGAAGATAGTCCTGCTGAGTTGATGTAGAACTGTTCCATCACAATCTCCAGTCCAAGCCGTTGTTCAATGAAAGTAACTAGTCAATCTCTTGGTTTACCAACACAGAAATTCAGTCGAGATCATGTATCAAACTTGGACGAAATGGATGATGCTTCCATTGAATACCTTCTTGGAAAGCAAAAAAGGTTACTCCTCAAGAAAGACTTGCTCCCCGACAAAGGAGTGAAATTGGAGAAAGCAATTAAAGATGGACAGGACATTCTGATAAAAAGGAAAGATTCTCAATACTCATTTGCTGAGGAGTTTGGAAAGATGAATATTAATGAATCAAAGTTTCCTGTATGTGGAAAGAGGCAGTTTTCTTTGAATGAAACCAAACAATCTGCAAAGATTCCAGTATTACAAATTCTATCATTTGAAGAGTCACAGGAGGCCCTTAAAGCTTGCCAGATCACAGTGGGAGGTGACAATTTGGTTGTTGTTGACAAGAACAAATACAGGGAACCAGTTAATCACAATGAGTTTGATAGTGATGATTCAAAATCTGAAACTGAATGCCTTGATTCAGATGATTATGATTGAGTTCAACTGTGTTGCAAAATAAACAGAAAAGACGAAAATATCCTTAAGGTATTTCATTCAAATGATGGAACTGAAGAGTTTCTTTTTTGTTGAATGATATTGGTCAATGTTCACTAGTTCCAATAAATTCATTTAAAATGAAAGAATCCTAACATGATAATAAATTTTCTTTTTTAATAGTAAATAATATTTATTTTTTATCAAATTCTCTAGAGTGTTATTTGTTTTTGTATATTACAACCCAAGGTTGCAATACATAAGTATTTCAGTGATGATTCTTTAGCTTCTTGCGTTTATAATTTACATACTGCTCTGTGGGTAATAACATAACTTTCGAATATTATTAGTCTAGTTTTTTATTTAGAAATGACAAGTAATTTAGTTCCAATACGAGTTAAGATGTTCTGCAAAACCTAATGAAAACTTTGCAGATATGACATGTTACCATCGATACACAGCCCTCGCCTTTTTGACTACTTTATCATAGTAAGTTGTTGATGCTTGGATTGTCTAAATCCTCCTTTTTTAGAACAGTATTTACCAAAAAAAGAGAATGATTAACTTTACCATCAGTCTTGATTTGATAAATCTCTACGTTTTGAAACTCTCAGCTGCTAAAAATTTACAGATAAGAGCCTCTGATAATGTAACAGGGCTTGGTTAAAATAACCTGTTTGTCCAGGTAAGTGGAGATGCTCCTACCCTCACAGATAACGGAGAGACAGTAAGACCTCATGTTGTCGACAGATACCCAGCTACAAACCACGAGGATTATCCTCTGCCTCAAGGTTCGTTTTGTGATCTTGTCAATTACTAAAACATTTTGCAACTTCTCACAACGTGGCTAACTCAGATTTTTTATTTACTTCAAGTTATATTTATGTGATAAAGTTATTTCGAACTCTCTTGAACAAAGATCTTTCAAAGATCTACTGAAACAGTTACCTGTTGCATTTAATTTCCTAGTGGTTTTTTGTAATAGTTAAGGGGCATGCTCTCTAGTACTTTTATTCAGAGGAATCTTTAATTCAAATAGATCCATAGATAAATTTAAAACTGCCATTTTCAGATGTCGAATTCTTTGCTCAACCGGAAGGATGTACAGTGTTGAGTCCTTTAGAAACCCTGCCGAAAGAATCTGTCAGTTTTGTGTTTATGCTTACTGATGTTAAGAATAACGTCAAAAGGTACAGATTTACTTTTATTATTATTGAATTTCCTAGATTGTTCCTAATTGTGTACTAAATTAAAGGTTATGTTATTCTTTTGATTCAACAAGCTGACCAATTAATCAACCGGAAAATGCTTCAGAACTGTATTAAACTTGTGAGGTTCATTACAGAGTTACAGTTTAAAGCAACTGTTGCTTTAAAAAATAAAAGTATGTTGTTTTGTTGTAATTTGAAGATATAAAATGTAATCATGTTATATGACATATTTAATTATTATTTAAATATATTTAACAACCTAATTGACCCGCTCAGGTTTGGAGTTTGTGTACAATTCTACCGTCCTATCCTAGCTAAACAGAAAGTTAAGGAGAATGTTGAGAAGCCTGTAGTCGCCTTCATGCTAACCACTTTCTGCATCATAACCCACCATACCTTCTTTAACTCAACTAAAGAGTGTATACATGCCTTTAAACTCATGTTCATGAAGGTATGGAATAGAATACTGTCTGTAAATTTGGATTAATAATGTACAATTATAATGTTTTAAATATTTATTTTTTATGTGGAATTAGAGAAGAGAAATGTTTGCGCATAATTTCAAATTATAGTTGTACTCCAAGATTTAATTTTGTTTGAAACTTTGTGACTATTTTTACGATGCCGTCACCATGTGTGTACGTGTAAGGGTTACTATCAATTTCTGGGATGCTGTCATAACTTTGTACTTAGTACCAGAGATCTTATTGAGGGAGCTCATTAATTAGTACGTACAGTGTCCGCCTAGCTACACCACTGAAACCATGTCTGAAACTATATCTGAAACTATATCTGAAACCATGTCTGAAACCATGTCTGAAACCATGTCTGAAACCATGTCTGAAACCATGTCTGAAACCATGTCTGAAACCATGTCTGAAACCATGTCTGAAACCATATTTGAACAGTGTTTAAAATAGGAATTCCTTCCTGTAGTCCTTCTACTATTTTATTTAAAAGGATCTCTGAACCGAGAAGATTTACTTACTGACTGATTCTAGTAAATTCGTATATTTTAAGTAATTTATAATTTATGGTAATAATGTATTATTAAGTTTACGATTCTAGTAAATATTATTATTTCTAATGACAGAAATAAGGAAGTTATATTTTGAATATTTCAGCAAATGGGAGCAGCAGTAAACGAGAAAGAACTGTTCAGGAACTCCATACCTTGGTCCTTCTCTTTTTATCCTGCTGATTTTCATCCAACTGGTAAACAAATTACAGATTATATAAATAAATAAATAAATACTAACATTTATTACACGCTTCGACATTAAAATATACCCAACAAAGATGTACATTTAAGTCATTCAAGCGAGACTTAGTGATGAAATACCAAGATTATGGACTTTTTATCAGTTCACATTTTATGAACAAATATTTGTATGAAGTTCCCAAAATTATGCACTTTCATATCAGTTCAGACTTTGTGGACAAATATTAGAAATATTATCAAAAGCTAGGTGGAAATAAAACGTCTTTAGCGCATTTTTAAAACATTCTACAGATGATAATGATCTCACTGAGTAGGGTAGTTCATTCCAAATTTTTGGTCCACAAAACATAAATGCAGCATCCGTTCGTCTGAAATGAGGAGCAGGAGGAACTTTCAACAAATAAAAGTCATCATCTAGTCTGATATGATAACTTTATAATCTATATGATAACTTTATAATCTGGACATAATTTATGCAAAATTCACTATTAGCGCAGATATTATATTCGTTATAAGTGGCCACTTCCACTTGTCGGATGAGAGGCGAATACCTCATCGACATTTGTTGTTGACAATATATTGTTCTAAGACTACAATGGAAATGCCTAGTACATATCTGGATAAAAGATATTCGTTACATCAATATTTTAACAACCCAGTATCACTTGTTAAAAAATGATGATCATATCATCGACCATGATACACATCGTGATCATAACATTTAAAAAATTGGAATAATTGGCTAAATTGTATTCATGATCATCCTAGTATTCGTATATTAAACAAGAGAAATGCCATCTTACGGCCATGAGGTTTAGTTTATTATCAGACTAATACTGCTTAGTGTTGTTTGAGGGCAATTCCACGGTAAGGTTCCACTTGGTGAAAATGAAAAATGTTAAGATAGGCACCTAATTTTGGTTAAAACATGTTCATTAGACTCTTAACCTTACAGGTCAACAAAAGTTTTTTGTTTCATATTGCGTTAACTTTTGATTTTTCTCATTCAAAGGAACACTACTCGGAAATGAAAAAAATCATTCAAATTTTCAAAGGGCCATAGTTTGGGTATGCAGCAATATTTCTCTATGAAATTCCATACACTTAGGCATAGGCATAAGAATGAGAGCTATGCAAAGTTTCAAAACCGTTACTCAAATACTTTTTCTAAAAAATTTCCACAAAGATGGTGTCGCGTCCGTCACAAAATTAAGCAAAAAAGTTTTTTCAGAGCCACATAGTGCTATTTATATTCAAAAAACCACTGTAACATATCTCTTCTGAAGGTAAGGGAGTACCGTAGAAATTATCAGGCTTGTATCTTTTAAGAAAAAAATTTTGGAAGGGGGGTCCCAACTTGTCGCGTCTGTCACATTTTTTTGAAAATGCTCCAAAAAATCTTTAAACAGACTTTAAATGCATTTTTCTTAAAGCTGAGACCGTCCTCAACAAAACTATGTCGTCAAATCGAAAATTGGACAGAAAATGGCCGAGTTATGTATAATTTTGTATATGCCCATATATGGGCGTACGGCTCACTTTTAGCCATTTTTATCCATATTTCCATTATTTTGACTAAAACCAAGACAAGTAGAAGTCAAATAAGGTTGGATTGTGTTGACTATGTTGACTAGACTATCAAATAACATCATATGCAATTCAATAATTAAATTTACTGAGTTTTTGGCATTTTATTTGCTTACAACTTTTTCAGAGGTAAAAGGCACAAAAAAAGGACTTTACCCTATTTTCGCATATTTTTGAAGTAAAAATTCAATATCTTCCACATCTTATACACTAAAGTAATGAACCTTTTAGAAGATGGTCTCAACAGTATGATGCATTGAACAGTGATGAATGTTTTACCAGAGTTATAAATTTGTTCAAGAAGAGAAATAGTTGATGCCCCTAGACTGATACCCTAGCGTATGCCCAAAATGGACAATTTTGGCTATTGCAGACCTCTTGGGGGTATTTGAGGCCTAAAAATTGGCATGAATACAGAGTAGATGTCACTGAACAAGATAAAAGTGTCAAGTGGAAGATTTGGAAAAATTGGAAAAAAACGTGTGTCCGTCACAGTCGCGTCTGTCACAATTTGAAAATGGCGCCACGCAAACAAAAATTGAGCAATCTCCGCGAAAATGGCATCTCAGAAATCCCTAAACCTTCTTCTATCATTGTAATTCCAAATTAGAGACAATAGATAACTTTTTGAGATAAATTTGGGTACCTTCTGAGTAGACACCCAAAAAAAGTGTCATATTTAAGTCGCGTCCGTCACAGGGGTGCTATCTCAGAAAGTAATAATGGTAGGGGTCTGAAATTTTCACACAACCTGTAGAAAGGTTAAATGTGGACTAATAAACAGTTGGAACTGATAAATAAACAATATCTCGAGTACAACATTCGTTTGAACTTTAAAAAACAGCAAAATCGTGGTGTCCGTCACGGTGGAATTGCCCTTAAGCCTTTTACAACCAAAAGATATATCACCCCGCCCCCCCCCCCCCCCCCCCCCCCCCCCCCCCCCTTCACAAATTTAAACATTACAGGGTTTGATATAGAAGCGTGTACAAGCCTAGATATTGCACCTGAACTAAAGGAGTGGCTTGTTAACCTCATGAACAGTCCAGCTCCCTCGACAGAGGTAAGTTTATCTAATCAACATTTTCGGATCTTTGCCCCCTGATCCCTAAATGGACACAATACAATTTTGCTAGATTTATCGTTTCTCATTCCTAGATTTCAACTCTGAAAGCAAATTTCCTGAATTTTTCTGTGATATTGTAATAAACATCTCTTTTTCGGGACGACACTTATTCCGCAAACGCTACTGACTAATATATTGGGGCCTGCCAGCATATAATATGCATTTAAAAACTCAAAACGCATTTGAATTGGTTTTTAAACTGTGATATCTATTGCCAAATTGCTTCTAGGCCTTGGGCACGAGTAAAATCCTCAAAATATTCTTGCCATTGATATCCTTCAGCCAATCGAATTTTGACAGGATGATTCAACTTTTTTATAGGAATAAGTGACACTAACTGTTTTACCGCAACTGCATGCTCATTAAACTTTTCTAAAAGCATATTTTTTGGACCACACTTATATAACAAGAGCTGCTGACACGCCATGATATGCATTCAAAATATCGCATTATTTTAATCGTTCTTAAAACTGTGTTTGAAAATGATCCTTATTGCCAAATTTCTTCTAGGCAAATCCTCAAAATATTGTTGCGATTGATATCCTTCAGCCAATCAAATTTTGTCAGAATGCTTCAACTTTTTTACGGAATAGGTGACACTAAATGTTTTACCGCGACTTAAATCCTAACTGCACAAAATGTTATGTTGCAACTTGCATGCTCATTAAAATTCTCTCAAGACTTGAGGTGGGGTGGGGGGGGGGGGTGGGGTGGAGATGATTACCATATCAGAAGGGGGTTACTCTACTAAGTGCGCTCATTTCATCATATTATCTGTTGGGGGCCAGTACACCTTCCTATAATATGTGATGAGCGGCTCCCCAAGCTTAATTATTGAAATGTTTACAGATTCATCATTAAGTTATATGTGGGGCTAGGGGCTGGGGCTGGGGTTGACCTACTTCAGTACCTAGACCTGTATTGCACTGTGTCTTGCCCCCTCCATGTAATATGAGCCCCTTTGAGTGTGTACCAACAGGTAGAGCTCAGCGGGTTGGGTTAATACACGTAGTCTAAATAAAAGTGTGTTGTAGAGTGTGAACTGCTGTGCAAAATATTGTTCTGTTTTAGTGTTACAATGGAACTGTCTGGTTGGACATTCCATGGGGTGTAGCTTGTGTTTGTGTGCTATAATTACATCATTACCTGTGCTATAATTACATCTCTATTTTTACTCTAATTTGCATCCGGATCAACAAACGGACTTGTGTTATGTTTTAAACTATTTCCTTGTGTTACGGATTACCTTTAAAACTATTTCCCTATGTTATGTGTTATATATCCCAGGGAGAGAGGCTCTGTCTACGACTGTTCAACAAATGTTACGTGGTGTCACCCATCATAAACTTCTGTTACCCGGACACCGCGCGGCTCCCCTTCGCGGAGTACTGTGTCCACTTACCGTTAGAGTTACTGGGAGTGGAGGGAACGTTGGAGGTCATCACATGTCTACTTCTGGAGCAGCGGGTAATTTACTTATTTTCAGGTGGTCACGTGGTGTTGTAATAGTCACGTGGTGTTGTCATAGTCACGTGGTGTTGTCATAGTCACGTGGTGTTGTCATAGTCACGTGGTGTTGTCATAGTCACGTGGTGTTGTAATAATCACGTGGTGTTGTAATAGTCACGTGGTGTTGTAATAGTCACGTGGTGTTGTAATAGTCACGTGGTGTTGTCATAGTCACGTGGTGTTGTCATAGTCACGTGGTGTTGTCATAGTCACGTGGTGTTGTAATAGTCACGTGGTGTTGTAATAGTCACGTGGTGTTGTAATAGTCACGTGGTGTTGTCATAGTCACGTGGTGTTGTAATAGTCACGTGGTGTTGTCATAGTCACGTGGTGTTGTCATAGTCACGTGGTGTTGTAATAGTTACGTGGTGTTGTAATAGTCACGTGGTGTTGTAATAGTCACGTGGTGTTGTCATAGTCACGTGGTGTTGTCATAGTCACGTGGTGTTGTCATAGTCACGTGGTGTTGTAATAGTCACGTGGTGTTGTCATAGTCACGTGGTGTTGTAATAGTCACGTGGTGTTGTTGAGATTTAACCTTTATTGGGAATTAGTTGATGATTATCAGGATACTCAAAATGTTGGCTACTCAAAAACTGCACTAGTTTATATTAAACTACACTTCTAAACTAGTCTGAAATAATGGCATTTCAGCCAAAAAATCAATATTTCCTTCCTTAGTGTAAAATCTAATCTCTTGAGTAATTTTTCGAAAACCTAACAAATTCTTTAAATGTTGCCTCATGCACATGTTATGTGGGCCGGGATATCCAGTATAAATACTTTTAATTAAGCAGCCCGATACAAAAAAAATGTACAGTAGCCTTGCGTGACCTAGCTTTTCCCTTGAGAATTCGAATTAGCAGGCCATCTGATAATACTAACTGTTGAGCGGGCAAATTCCTACACTGAAGAATGTACATCCCACATTCCCCGGAGAATTTAAACATTCCGATTGAGTTCAATGTTGAAATGATCATGTTACTTTAACTCTACAATAATTAATGTATACATGATTGCTCATTTACATATATGTAATAGCATAATTTCTACTCATAATTTCTACTCATAATTTCTACTCAAACTTAAATACTTATTCCTTGTATTAGAAGTGTATTATTATTATTATTTACATCTAGTGAAGCTAAGCTACGTTATACAGTAACAGTTTACTCTTGTATTCCTCTCATGTACCAACTAACTTATCAGTACAGTAACTGATTTCTCTTGGAGAATTTCTCTTTACACTCTTAACTTGCGAACAAATTGAAGCAGCAGACTTTAGGCTAGAAACTTTATTGAATAGAAATAATCATTCCACGTAACAACGTCTTCTTCAGTTCTGTAATAAAATTGTTAAACATGTGTAAAATTAACGACGGAAAGAAATTTAAAATAACATTAAAACAAAAACAGAAAAATAAAATTTACGAAATATGACCCAAAAAATGTAATTGCAAAAAATTCAAAACAACAAAAAATACGACAAGAAGAAATGTAAGCTAAAACAACTAAATACTGTACTACTCATGATACTATACTAATTAGTAAACGTAAAACTGGTTGTTCAGAATTCACAATTCATGTGCAAAAACTATTGATAAAACTAAGCACTATAGCAACGATAACTCGGTTGTCATGGTTACTATCCAAGATAATCCTATCAATACATTACTTACTAGTTAAATATCGACTAAATATTTGTATAAATAACTCAACTCAGAACGATCATTCATTTCAGGACTTAATCTCAATATATACATCGCTTCTACAATCTTTCTACGAACAGTTTTACTCTGTAAATCAAGTAACTTAAAAGATAAAACTGGGGTTCGGTTAGGATGTAGAGATGCGTAGTGCTGTCCAACCCCATTCTCTGGATGTGCTCTAGGATTCCTAGCAGCCTGTCTGTGCTCCATAAGACGAGCATGGAGGCTTCTCTCAGTTTCCCCACAGTATCTCTTACCACATAACTCGCAAGTAACTAAGTAAACAGCTCCTTTTGTTGAGCATGTTGTTCCTGTGAGTCTAGGGCAGATCTCACAATTGTTAGGGTTACCAAGGTCACAAGTCTTCTTATCCAGTGGACGAGAGCGGCAGAAGATGTCCTGTAACTTCTTACCAGGTGTAAAAATAACTCTGATGGGGAGTTTGTTAGATTTGATGTAGTTGCGAATCTTATTACAAACTGTTGAAAAAAAAAAAAATTTTAAATTTCTTTCCGTCGTTAATTTTACACATGTTTAACAATTTTATTACAGAACTGAAGAAGACGTTGTTACGTGGAATGATTATTTCTATTCAATAAAGTTTCTAGCCTAAAGTCTGCTGCTTCAATTTGTTCGCAAGTTAAGAGTGTAAAGAGAAATTCTCCAAGAGAAATCAGTTTCAAATGCGACTCATAAATATAGCCCCCTTGAACTATATAGTACAGTAACTAGTGTATAAAACTGAGTAATTGATACTAGTAGTGTGTGTACACTGTGCAATGTATAAATACAATGTATAAAATACAATGTATCTTAACCTGGATACAACATACTACACCCAGAATCAGACAAAAGCAATGTTCCATTTGTTCGCCACACTCCACGTGGGTTTCCACCAATCAGCGGCCAGATCTCCTGATCACGTGGTCCAGCCAACCAATCAGGAAGCAGTGTTGTAATCTTGGGTTTGATTAGTGTATATTTTCTGCTGGTGGATTTAATGACGGTTGATTAGGAAGCTGTGGGAGGGTAGATAGGTTCTATTGTAATTCTTACTGTAAAATTAGATATTGTGTTAGGAGTTGAGGCAGTTGATAATAAGGGAGTATATCTGATCATGATAAATTGTAATTAATGTTAATTAACAATGTGTGGTGGTGGTTGTGGTTGTGGTTGTGGTTGTAGTGGTGGTTGTGGTGGTAGTTGTGGTGGTGGTGGTGGTTGTGGTGGTGGTTGTGGTGGTCGTGGTGGTGGTGGTGGTGGTTGTGGTGGTATTTGTGGTGGTTGTGGTGGTTGTGGTGGTGGTTGTGGTGGTGGTGGTGATTGTTGTGGTGGTGGTGGTGGTGGTTGTGGTGGTTGTGGTGGTGGTGGTTGTGGTGGTGGTGGTGGTGGTGGTGGTGGTGGTTGTGGTGGTGGTTGTGGTGGTTGTGGTGGTTGTGGTGGTGGTTGTGGTGGTGGTGGTGGTTGTTGTGGTGGTGGTGGTGGTGGTTGTGGTGGTTGTGGTGGTGGTGGTTGTGGTGGTTGTGGTGGTGGTGGTTGTGGTGGTGGTTGTGGTGGTTGTGGTGGTGGTGGTGGTGGTGGTGGTGGTGGTTGTAGTGGTGGTTGTGGTGGTTGTGATGAACACTGAACACGTTGTAAATGTTGCACTACTAAGCACAAATATCTAGCACGTAATATAAAAGGTATCTGGTATGAAGTATATTTAAGGTAATAAAAGGTTGTTACGGTCAAAACTCAATACCGGGGTTCACATGATCCCAATCCCCATTGTCTGTAGCCTCTCAAATAACCTGTCAAGTGTCTCACAGTCACATACCCCATTAGTCATTACTCATTAGGGCCTTATATTCACGTACTGCGTCGCATTGTCATATAATACAGCTCGACATGTACTTAAATCATCACCAAATGCGATGCGATAAGAGCTATAATAAAGAGAATATATTATATTTCTTGCAAAAAAAGAGCTAATTAGCTAAAAGTTTTTGGAATAGAAGAGGCCCGGCGCGGTATGTCGAGGTATCCAGTATTATAGAGAGGCGCGGTACATAGAGGTTCGATTGTAGTATATACTATATAAGGTATGTACTATTGTACTAACTATGTAGTATCTGGTATGTAGTATATAATACGGTTATAAGGTATCTGCCTGGTTCTGTAAACAACAAAGCGCTATACTTACCTAGGTACTGGTAACCTATCAGAGCTACGACAACAAGACAATTAGTACGTGTCTGTTAAATACAGAGGTCTACAGACTTACTCTCTAGCACCATACAGACTATCGACAGCAGCTCCAGGGATTGGGTGTTCTTTGTTTTGTAAATCAAACAATCTAGAACTTACTGAAGATGATATTATTTTCGTACAGTTCTGGAACTAAATGTAAAGGAACACTTACACCAAGTGACTAGTATGTACGTGTATTGAAAACCCTTTATAAATGATTTGTGTAGTTATTTAAATGAGCATCATGTTAATGAGCAGTAAGCACTTATTATTCTGTACCTATCACGCCATCTTACCGGAAGCTCAGTACCTCATACCACCCTTCATTATCACCCCTCATTACCACCCCTCATTACCACCCCTCATTACCACCCCTCATTACCACCCCTCATTATATTACCACCCCTCATTACCACCCCTCATTACCACCCCTCATTACCACCCCTCATTACCACCCCTCATTACCACCCCTCATTATATTACCACCCCTCATTACCACCCCTCATTACCACCCCTCATTACCACCCCTCATTACCACCCCTCATTACCACCCCTCATTACCACCCCTCATTACCACCCCTCATTACCACCCCTCATTACCACCCCTCATTACAACCCCTCATACCACCCCTCATTACCACCCCTCATTACCACCCCTTCAAACCTCCCACATTTAACATGGTACGTTAGCGTAATCTAAGGCATTGTAAAGATTTAAACATCACTTAAGGACTGGATAGTAGGCTAGTAGGATAACAAGCAAGCCAGGGAAGGGCGGGGTAAGTAGCTTATGACGCAAATCAAGCAATGCTGTGTGCACCAACGCTACTTGATGCAGCTTCTGCAAGTAATTGGGATATAAACTGCATTTCGGGTGAAGCAACGCTACTTGATGCAGCTACTGCAAGTAATTGGGATATAAACTGCATTTCGGGTGAAGCAACGCTACTTGATGCAGCTACTGCAAGTAATTGGGATATAAACTGCATTTCGGGTGAAGCAACGCTACTTGATGCAGCTACTGCAAGTAATTGGGATATAAACTGCATTTCGGGTGAAGCAAGCAGACTGATTAAATAAGTCTACAGGATCATGCTTAGTCTGACACAGAATCGTCAAGGTAGCAGTTGTCAGGGGGAAGGGAGCACCACTATCTGTCAGATTAGTGGTTTGTAAGTGGTGCGGAGATCAAGGAAATGATGGTACTTCCCGGAGTAAGATGTTGTAAAATAGTTGCCGGAAGTTTAAAGTGGTTGTTTCGCAATCTTACAGTAGTTTTAACTGTTCGTACCTGTAGTAGTAACTGAATAAATTGTAGCCATGCTAAATATTCCATCAAATATCAACCAGTATTTTATTAGCTTATAGATTTTTTTACGGAACAACAAAGCTTTGTACTAAATAATAATATCATGTCGTAATTCGCATTATGATTTGTAGGTAAACGCGGAAATAGCGGGATTTTGTTAAGCCACGCCTTTTCAGTCTGTTTTTAAAGCGAAAATAACTTTCCCATCACTACACAATGCGTGTATTTTTACACCATTAACTAACCAAGAAACAGTTAGATTATTAACTAATTAACTAACTGTAGTAGTTGTACAGCAATACTAAGGTAATATAAAAATATTGCTGTAAGGTAGTATTGCTGTACAGTGTACAACTACTACAGAAGTAATCCCGATACAACTCGACCTCTGCCTGATCCAGAGGATGTCACCATTTTACCTTCACACAGACATCAAACGCTGTAAGAAGATGACGATCAGACCTCGTTATAATTAACTAACTAATTACCTAATCAGATAATTACCTCAGGTGGTTTTGACGAGTGAGAACTATTCTCACCTTACTACATGTGTGTTTGCTCTGATCGCCCTGTTATACCCTCTGGAGTACATCTACAATGTTATACCTGTATTGCCTGTCAGCATGCCTGGAGCTAGCACTGGAGAGGTTTGTCAAACACAATTTTATAAAGTTGCATGAAATTGAGAATATGTTGTTACCATTTAATGCTCTACAAGGTTATATTTATCTGCGATTTTGTTGCATTAATTTATACGATATATTATAGAGTAGCAATTATTAAATCAAAGTTCTAAACAAGGGATAGTTTAAAAAACAACGCCCAAGTCTAATCTTTCCCTAAAACAAAAACTAAAAATTAAAAACTTCATTGCAATTTCCGCCAATATCTCTTGTCATAACTCAAATTACGGAGATAATGCAGGTCAAAGATATTATTTAAATAAAGATTTCTTTTACATAAATCATGCACAATCAGCGAGAATAGATTGCTTTGGGGTCTTCCTCTTCTCCCTGGTAAGTCCAGTGTATTGATGGCAAAAATGAGGGAAGAAAACGCTGGTCCGTCAATAGGACCCCGCAAAACATGTCCTAACATTCTCCACCGACTACGGGCCACTTTTTCTGACAATGGTTCAGCATTGCAGCGTTTATACAAGTTTTTGTTGGAGATGACTCCTGGGTACTTTATATTCAAAATAGTGCGAAGATGTCTGCGGTGAACAACATCTAGTTTTTCAAGGAATATTTTGGGGACGGCCCAACAGGATGAGTTGTACATAAGAACCGATACGACTAAAGCATTATACAGTATTATACGTTTGTTTAGGGGCAGTTTATCACTCCAGGCCTTCTTGTAATTGTTAAAGGCAGCATATCCCAGGTTTATGCGACGCTGAATATCAGCTTTGCTACACAAGACGGACCCTAGAGTGATACTTTTCCTCCATGCTTCATTCCCCGACACTAATTTTCCATCACTGTCGACTTCACCCGTACTAGCTAAATAAACATGAGTGAAGTCCGTTTTGTCTTCATTGACAAAGAGGTTCCATTTCTCGAGTATAGCTGTTGCCTGGGGCAAAATAGCTCTCAAGTTGTCTTCCTCTTCATCATTGAAGTCAACATCATCAGCATATTCAGTGTCAAGTGGAAGGCCAGCAATAGTAATCGGGGGGATCGGCCTATCTAAACTGATTGTTATAGTCCATCTAAGTTCATTCAAAGCACCAGCCAAGACAAGGGTGAACAGACAGCCGGATAGACAGTCACCTTGGAAAGCTCCAAGGAGACTTAAAAACTCGGCTGAAAGAACTCCATTTACTTTCACCGGTAGCTTTGTGTTGGACAACAACAACCGGACAATCCTCAGCTCATCCTCAGTACAGCCACACAGTTTCAGGAGTTCAAGAATCGTAGTGCGTTTGATCGTGTCAAATGCACTAGACATATCAATGCCCATGCGATGATACTCCCATTTCTTTCTTTGGACAACTGACAGTAGAACTCGCTGACACCAAACAATATCAGCACAAGAACGAGCGCGTTTATATGCGCACTGCCATGGACCAGTGAAGGCGTTCACTTTTTCTTCTATCCTTTTAAGAGTAGCCATAGACAGAATTTTTCTGGCTGCATTGGACAAGGTGAGTGGACGTAAATTCTTCAGAGGACCAATAGGTTTTTTTGGCTTCTGTAAGGGTGTTATAGTAGCCTCTCCAATGGAAATGGGGAAAGTATGTGTCTCGAAACAACTGTTGATGATTCCAGCATAATGTTCATGGACTGTACTATTAGAGTACTTAATTAGCTCGTTGGGTATTCCATCGGGACCATTTGCCCTCCCATTTTTCAAGCTAGAGGTGGCTGCATGTATTTCAACTCCAGTAAAAGGGACATTGAGAGCACGTGGTAGTCCCTCAAAAGGCTCGAGAGGTTGCTCATTGCGAGTCAGCTGTTTTTCGAGATAGTCTCTAACAACAGAAGCTTTCATGTCGTCAGATGCAATCAAACAGCCATTTTCATCATGAACACCAATCGAGTTATTAGGTGGTTTACTTTTCTGAAGATGTCTTACTGCTTCAAACATTTTCCTTGAATCGTTTGTGTTAGTAATATCACTATAGGTCTGATCAGCTTGAGCAGACCTCACTTCAACTAATCTTTTCTGGATACTATTAGTGAGGTGGTTGATGGATGACCTCAATGTAGTTCGATCAAGAGATTGATTATTGTTAAGTAGCTGTCGGAGATCGTGATGCTTTTCAACAAGCTCTTTGAGAGTGTCATCACTGCTGTGATGTTTCAAGCGAGCTTTAGGTTTTGGGCCGATGGAAACATTGGCAGCATCACGAATATGAGACATAAGATTTTGAAGGTCGGCATTTGGATCGTTGCTGGTCACAAAATTTGAGAACTTGCCTTCAAGGGCCAAGTGATATTTATGTTGCATATCTTTGTTGCTTACAAGTTCTGATATATTATAAGAAGGAACACGACGTTGTTTAGGTTTGAAACAAAGATGAATGTTGCTGAAATTGATGCGAGCAATGACAAGTCTATGATCTGAAAATGTTTTAGTACCAGCATAAGTTCTTGATTGAGTCAAAAGACACTTAGATCTATTTCGGCATAGTATGTAATCTATTTGAGAGTATACAGGCAGTGTCTTCTTACTGTACCGACCAGCCGACCAATCCTTCCGCCAACCAGTAAATGATGTAACACGTCTGCTAGGTTGTATAAAACTAGTGTTCACAGCAAACAGATTATTTTCTGAGATAAAATCCAGTAATCTAGAACCATTTTCGTTCCTTACTCCCATTCCGTATTTCCTCATATATCTACCAAAACCCTGTTCAATATCAGAAGGGGATAATTTACCCAGTTTTGAATTAAAGTCACCCAGAAATTGCAACTCCACATTAGAGGGTACATTCTTAGCCTCTCTTAGCTGCCCATAAAAGTTATCCAAAACAACTGGATTTTTACGGACTAGCCCCTGATGTGGACAGTAGGCATTGATCACCCTGCAACGTAGGGGTGTACCGCTACGTGAGGGGATGCAAATATCGACATAGCATACCCGGTCACTGATGTACTTCCAGCAAACCACATAGTTCATCATGCGAGGACTGATTATAAAACCCAAGCCTCCATGGCGACTTTCCAACTGCTCGAACAGAAACAAGTTAAAACCGTTGCGCAAAACAAGGCTGTCTGATTCGGTGACTTTAGTTTCCTGCAGAGCGCAGATGTCGACATTGTACTTTTCACAGTCTAATCCTAGTAACTCACGTTTACTATGTAGGCTATCATCTTGCTGAACACCGAGCCCACGGATGTTAAATGTGGCGAAGCTGATCATTAATGCAATGGTTGTTGATACAAATGATTTCTTCTTCGGGTTAAATATGTTGGAGTTGGCGTCACCACCGTCTCCACCGCTGACATTACTCGAACGGACCATCTAAAAAAGAGTAGCAATACAGAAACTAAAGTTGTTTGTACCACAATTGAAGACTGATATTATGGCAATTAGATAAGTTTCAGATTGATCTTGATCTTATCAGAACCTACCTACCTATTGAACCTATTAACAATACAACACCATCTGTTAACATATCTATAGAATTTATTAACTGACTGAAGACTTAATAAATTAACTTCAGATATTGAGGTCACCGATGCCATTTCTCTTTGGGGTTCCCTCGACATTCTTCATAGTAAACAAAATGGAAGTTCCGGAAGACGTTGTATTCGTAAATATTGACACAGGAAAGGTAATAGTTAATAGTATGGTAACCTCCATTTACATTATATCTTAGTTACATTAAATCGTACAAATGTTATGTATCAAATATTAAGTAATTGGAGTAAGTTTTAAACTGTAGAGAAATGCCACCTCGATCATAATCTTTATTCGCCTGTTAGTTATAAGCACACGAAGTCTGACCACGCATTATAGATTATAAACATTACCTGCCGTCGCTAATGCTACCTACTTTCTTTCAGATCCTGAGGAGAACGCCCATGCCAACCTTCCCTGAACCGCAAGGCTCTGAAATTAGTCAGGAGCTCAGAAAGGTAGCCAATCTTTGTATTTTCTGTTCAATAGTTGGTATGATTATGCTTAAATTAGCTACGATGAGCAGTGAGAAGAAGACAGAATAATTTCAATCTGACAGAACCTCTCTAAGCATTTGATTTAGGTAACGCGCAAGGACAAAATTACTAGAAAAGTTTTTCGCGGCACCATTTTCCGAAACATCAATCTGAGCCGCGCACTTTTTGCCGATCGATTTAGCAGCTAATTTTACCCCATTTGAATGTCTCGATTATCTATTTTAGTACAGGGAAATCCGTCTGAAAAAATCGATCTGCTGACACACGAAGCTTACAAAGGATTTTTGACGTTTTTGAGTCCTAATAGGTGCCCTCTATGGCTGACCAACTTTTCCAAACTTTTCCACGTGGCTTAAGGCCACTTTTTGCCACTTTACCACTTTTTACCACCTTTCTTGTTTGTCGAATATCTTTAGTTGTGAACATCGTAAAAGGTTGCGAATCAATCGAGTGTGTTCATATTATCAGGAAGAAAAACTTTTGTTCTAACAATTTTTACGTCAGATAATAAGTTAATTGGATAATTCTCAATTAACCAATTAGCAAAATTCTAAAAAATTTTTATTGGCTAAAAATGATCGGAATAGCTTAAAACACGGAGAAAAGTAGTTTTTAGAAAAAATTTGAAAATTTTTCACTTACATTTTTTTTTCGAGACTTCGAAAAATTTCGAAAATTCAAAATATTTTTTTCCGCCAAAAGTGATCAAATTGCATGAAACGCGGAGAAAAATGATTTTCAAAAAAAACTTAGTCAATTTTTCGTTTCAAGAATACTTAAATCACCAATATTTGTAGTTGGAGTTTAGTAAATCTCGGCAGATTTTAGTAATAATCAGGAATTACTAACTCTAAGTGGAAAGGTCTGAAACTGAAAAACGTTAAGTTTAACCATACGATCGCGATATAAGAGTTTCATAACTAATTACAATACAGCCTTATCGATTTTCACAGAAACTGCACCAATGGCACAGTCAAGATAGAAACGATAGCCTGCTGTACTGTCATTTTATTGATTTCAATGATGAATCAGTGGGGTTAAGATTTGTAATAAATGAAACCTCTCTGTACCGTCAATTGTGCTAATCTAAACCGGCCTACCTGTATTACCAGACCTCTTCTTTTCCTCAACAATCAAACCGAGTTGTTCATATTGCATTTGGTGGGTGATGTAAACTAAGTAGTAATACATATCGAGCTATATTCAATCACAATACGACACAATGCAACACGTGTATATTATATTATGGCCCTTAATGAGGTATATGAAATATTCTATACCGTACACTTCTCGTTTCTCCCGTGAGAGGCCCGATATGGAGAGGTTTTACATTTTATCACGAAAATGTCTACTTGGTCTCATGGCTCTTTGACAGCTCAAAGAAGGCAAGAAAAGACCAAAAAGCTTAGAATGTCAACTCGCAAGAGCGGGCTACCGGACAACTGAACCCAATTTAGACATTTAGATTAACCCTAACTCTAACCCTAACCCTAACCCTAACCTTAACCCTAACCAATTAAGCTGATTGGTTAGTGGGAACTAGGTTCAATTGGGTTCAGTTGTCAGTCTTCGATCTGTCCCACATTAATCCCGAGCTGATCATCATGGGCCCCGAATATCCTGCGGGAAGAACCTGTATTTTTACTTCACGACGCGGACGTCCGGATTTCAAATCAACATCCTCAATAACATTAACAATCCTTCCTGATCAGGATCTGTCTCTATTAGCAATTTCCAAAATATCCTGACTCTCGTGGAACATTTCACTGAATTAATTATTACCGGTTCTTTACTACCCCTTGCCCGACACTGTACTCGTATCTAAATCTTACCCTTTCCCGTATGTTACCCTTGTTGATTTTACTTTTAGCCGACCCTGACATATGGGGGTGATTTGAGGTATCCCGCAAATGAAGCGGTATGCAGTACAATACAAAACAGTTACAGTAGACGTTGGAAGGTGTATTTACACTTGCTTCCTGGACCTGGCTGTTCCTCAGTTTCCCTGATCTGTTCTTGCCCTTCTTCGAACTGTAAATGGGCCATGAGACCAAGTAGACGTTTTCGTGATAAACTGTAAAATCTCTCTATACCGGGTTTCTCACGGTATAAAGCGTTTCATAAACCTCATTAAGAGCCATATAATATACACGTACTGTGTCGTATTGTGATTGAATATAGCTCGATATGTATTAAGCTCGATATGTATTAAGGTTTCAGACCTTTCCACTTAGAGTTAGTAATTCCTGATTATTACTAAAATCTGCCGAGATTTACTAAACTCCAACTACAAATATTGGTGATTTAAGTATTCTTGAAACGAAAAATTGACTAAGTTTTTTTTGAAAATCATTTTTCTCCGCGTTTCATGCAATTTGATCACTTTTGGCGGAAAAAAATATTTTGAATTTTCGAAATTTTTCGAAGTCTCGAAAAAAAAATGTAAGTGAAAAATTTTCAAATTTTTTCTAAAAACTACTTTTCTCCGTGTTTTAAGCTATTCCGATCATTTTTAGCCAATAAAAATTTTTTAGAATTTTGCTAATTGGTTAATTGAGAATTATCCAATTAACTTATTATCTGACGTAAAAATTGTTAGAACAAAAGTTTTTCTTCCTGATAATATGAACACACTCGATTGATTCGCAACCTTTTACGATGTTCACAACTAAAGATATTCGACAAACAAGAAAGGTGGTAAAAAGTGGTAAAGTGGCAAAAAGTGGCCTTAAGCCACGTGGAAAAGTTTGGAAAAGTTGGTCAGCCATAGAGGGCACCTATTAGGACTCAAAAACGTCAAAAATCCTTTGTAAGCTTCGTGTGTCAGCAGATCGATTTTTTCAGACGGATTTCCCTGTACTATTTTACCAATTTCTCAAACATCACATTGGTGTACGTTTGGAGTAATGAGCTAATCAGCAGACACAGGTCGTTCATCAAAACAGAAACAACTTTGCGTACAACAGAATGTTAGACTGTGTAAATTCGACTAAACGAGTTATCCGTTCAATTTAGAACATGATCCCTTATTTAACAAACCAAATTTCAGTGTTTGCAACTATTGTACTCTCGGAGAAACCCCAGGGAATGTTTACCTGGAGGATCACGTGACCTCAATACGATTGATGTTGAGATCAGAGTGGCTATGATAAAGTTCTTCATGTCTGCCAATGTTCTAGGTCAGATTTAGGCCGATGGATTTATCAATGATTAAACTGTTGATAGTTCGTGCTTACTGTATTTTGTTAAACTTTATAACTCCAGTCCTGAATTATGTGTTTAACCGCTAACAGCTAAAATATTTTGTTCTAGCTTTGGAGACAAAAATATCATGGAAAATCACATCAAACAATTTGTACAGCCTAAATAACAAGCCATACCACCCACAGGCAAGTTTAAGCATCATCTGAGATAGTGAAACTGTTCCCACGTCCCATCACATACCTACAGAGGAACGCTTTCCTCCGAAATTGCTCCACCGGAAAACCCTCCTTGTTCCTTCAGAGACTGTCAGAGACTAGCGTGAGTAGACATTCACTATTCTATCTGATAATCAAGTGGCAAATTTTAAGATTATTTGTAATGAGAATATTGGACTCATTGCATGCAGATTCGTGTTGAAAGTGCCTTTATCAGTTTTCCCATTTCGTTCCTTTATTAATGTTTCACCTTTTTGCAGTGTCTTCAAGCGTTTGGTGAAAGTGAAGTTTGCCCCCTCAACACAGTCGTACATAGAATAGTATCCGGGAATTCCGATCAAACACTGATCGGAGACAAGCTGATATGGTTTAGTGATCAGGTCTGTCTTAAAAGCTAAAATGCTTACTCGTATAAATGCTGATTTATCATCTCATCGAGACGACTCGTACATATTTAGCATTGTTACACTGTTATATTGGTTAACAATAACAAGCTAACATTATTTAACAACAAGCTAACAACTCACAGGTAGAGTTTATAGAACACAGCATCTGTCCGGCAGGTAACACACTAGGTATTGAGATGCTCCCCCACAATAACAAGCTAACAACCCACAGGTAGAGTTTATAGAACACAGCATCTGTCCGGCAGGTAACACACTAGGTATTGAGATGCTTCCCCACAATAACAAGCTAACAACCCACAGGTAGAGTTTATAGAACACAGCATCTGTCCGGCAGGTAACACACTAGGTATTGAAATGCTTCCCCACAATAACAAGCTAACAACTCACAGGTAGAGTTTATAGAACACAGCATCTGTCCGGCAGGTAACACACTAGGTATTGAAATGCTTCCCCACAATAACAAGCTAACAACCCACAGGTAGAGTTTATAGAACACAGCATCTGTCCGGCAGGTAACACACTAGGTATTGAGATGCTTCCCCACAATAACAAGCTAACAACCCACAGGTAGAGTTTATAGAACACAGCATCTGTCCGGCAGGTAACACACTAGGTATTGAGATGCTTCCCCACAATAACAAGCTAACAACCCACAGGTAGAGTTTATAGAACACAGCATCTGTCCGGCAGGTAACACACTAGGTATTGAGATGCTTCCCCACAATAACAAGCTAACAACCCACAGGTAGAGTTTATAGAACACAGCATCTGTCCGGCAGGTAACACACTAGGTATTGAGATGCTTCCCCACAATAACAAGCTAACAACCCACAGGTAGAGTTTATAGAACACAGCATCTGTCCGGCAGGTAACACACTAGGTATTGAGATGCTCCCCCACAATAACAAGCTAACAACCCACAGGTAGAGTTTATAGAACACAGCATCTGTCCGGCAGGTAACACACTAGGTATTGAGATGCTCCCCCACAATAACAAGCTAACAACCCACAGGTAGAGTTTATAGAACACAGCATCTGTCCGGCAGGTAACACACTAGGTATTGAAATGCTTCCCCACAATAACAAGCTAACAACCCACAGGTAGAGTTTATAGAACACAGCATCTGTCCGGCAGGTAACACACTAGGTATTGAGATGCTCCCCCACAATAACAAGCTAACAACCCACAGGTACAGTTTATAGAACACAGCATCTGTCCGGCAGGTAACACACTAGGTATTGAGATGCTTCCCCACAATAACAAGCTAACAACCCACAGGTAGAGTTTATAGAACACAGCATCTGTCCGGCAGGTAACACACTAGGTATTGAGATGCTTCCCCACAATAACAAGCTAACAACCCACAGGTAGAGTTTATAGAACACAGCATCTGTCCGGCAGGTAACACACTAGGTATTGAGATGCTTCCCCACACGGGCACCAAATCACGGAGTACCTCCTCAATTGCGGAGAGTGATCCAGGAAGTGGTGTGGTAGGAGAGCCAGAGACTGCCAAGTCTGTTAACATTCAGGGTAAAGTTAGAGAGCTTGTGTTCGGACGGATCTTTTGAGACTTATACTAATTTTATGACGTTTGAAAGTTCTTGAATAATTAAGATAAATCTTATAGTTACTTTTTTTAAGTGTAAAAAACAATCCTCCGTTAATCCTCCGTACATAATTCCCCCTAGATTCAATATCCCAACCACATCACCCAGGTAAGACTCTGATGGAGATAGCCCGATTAGCAGTCCAACCCGGAGTAACAGTGGACACGTCCCACATCAGTGACATTGCCCTAGAACCCACGGACACCTCCTTCCACATCACTCCGTGCAATCCGCTGGTAGATGATTTCAACCCGTATAGGTACGGTATTAATGCATTTTATATTTCTGTTGGAGCTTGGGTTGATTTAATTCCAGACAATCCATAATTGAGTCTACGATATGAACGTTTTTTTAGGCCAGGATATTTGATTGCCGTTTTGGAATCCGATTGATTTCAACTAATCATGCTTTGAACACGTTTATATTAATTTATCCGTTTCTTCTATGCACAGCTTCTGACATGAGCTTTAACCTCTGTCAGTATATTAATAGCTTGTCAACAGACGAACAGTGACGCGAATGGCAGCTCGCTATGGTATCCTCAAATGTGCAGTTTCATTTCCAATCTGTTCAAAATTTATACCTAATTTCTCTTGACTCTTAGAGCAATCAGCCTCGAAGAAGCCGCCAAAACGCAAAAGACAGTCGCACAAAAATCCCTACCTCTCATTAAAAAAAACTTAGCCATACTAACTGAACAATGGTCCCCGTCTGGATCGACCCAAAGTCTACCCTGCACCGCGGAATGCTCTATGGAACCGGCTATCAACGCTCTATCAATCAGACCCCCTTCTGCAGCACTCCGGTCAGAGACCAGCAGCCGCAGGACCAGCGAGGCTTCGAGCGTCTTCGAGTTCCAGTACGGATCATGTGTAGTGCGCTATGTTTTTAGTGTGCACGTGCGTGTTTGTGCACGCGCGTGTTTGTGCACGTGCGTGTTTGTTTGTGGTGCAGAATACTCTTTCACTGATCTAACACTCTCGACTATCATGATAGATTACTGGGGACGAAATGAGAGACGAAATAGTGGAGACTCTCATTTCTTCACTAGTAATCTATCATGATCGACCGACTCAAGAGATCGATAAACGAAACATCTCGACTATCACTCCCAAACACTCACGCTTATTGGACCAGACCAAATTGGAAACCACCTACACCGACGATACTTCTTTTAGCTAAACGTCAAGTGAAGCATAGTTTCTGCTACTGATTTAATTTTAATAGTCCCCTCAAAACGTTTTGGAACTATTCAGTTGCTTAACCTTTGAGCTGACTGCCAGCTGACAAGATTACTTTTTCAGCCACACAATTTCTTTAGATGCAGTCTGAAATCGCATGTAATTTATCGTTCGTGTTATAAAACATATCCTATTTACTTCAGCTACCACTTTGCTATTTGTTGTTTTCCAGTCAATTTAAAGTATATTGATCATTTACAAAGTTCTATTATATTTTGTATTGTGCATGATTTTAAAGTTTAGACTCTAAACTCTAAACTTTAGAGAGTGACATTCCTCGTTTTTTAATTGTGGTTATATAGTTTATTATAACCCATAAGAACCAGATAAGATATCTATCTGACTTGGTCCAAAACGATCCATGATTCCAAAGTCTCAGAAGAGGAAATATCAATTCCCCCAGAAATACTAAAATTGGCAGACATGCGAAAATCTTATTTACAACTGTGAACCCAAAATGTAACGTGAAGCCAGAAATATATTACTAATATACTACCTGATGTAAAATAATTAACAAACAATATTTACCAGGACAGGTTTGGGTTTGCCAGAGGATACTCCCTCCTATCGATAGACCTAGGAGACGATACCGACAACTCCCGGCTCACTAAACCTAGATCTGCTCATTCCTCTGGTAGGTTCATTAAATCACACAGAGTGTGCGGCTGATTATTATGTACAGGCCAAATTTCGGAATTTGAACTCATGAAAAGGTGTGGTCTTCTAAGTTTTCTGATCCAAACATTCTAGATTAGGATTAAAATCTGTAAATCCCTTTAACTTGTCCCCTCCCCAGGCTACACTTCCCCCGCCACCAGCAACACCTCCAGCCCCATTCTCCAGAGGAGACTTCTTGGTGAGACCAGGACCAGGTCTAATGGGGAGATGACCAACACTGCTCCTCGCAGCTCCTCTGAAGACATTGCTTTCATCAGGTACCAACTCAATTACCACTCAATTACCGCTCAATTACCGCTCCATTACTGCTGCTTTGTCGTGCAGATCTTGAGGTATCTGTAATTATTGTGTCAAATGAGTTTTACATTATTGATTAGGGTGGGTAGTCATTACTAATGATTCCAACCTAGTAAATCGTCTAAAAACTTATTAATCATGTACTTAATTACAATTAAATTTAATTATTTGATTCATAATATCTAATTGTTATTATCCTGTAGTAAGATAGTGAACAATGTGTTGGATGGTGTGGGTATACCCTGGTACCAGAACAAACGTTTAGCAACTGTCATGCAGGACGAGAACATCAGGTAATTAATTAATTAGCTAATTACCGTAATCACGTGTAAACACACTAATTCTCTAATTATGAATAAATTCATATCTTATAATTAATTATTAACAAACTCGCTGATTGGGTGATTACAGTGACCAATGATATTATTAGGTTGTTGGTAGCTAATAGGATACTCAGTGGTACGACTACTAAGAGACAACATCGTGACGTCATACAGCACGAGGTAAACATAAATACGGTTAAATGGTTACTCTGATAGCTGATTCTTTATCACTCGTTTACAAATCACTGTAAAACCAAGGAAATTTCATTTTAAATAATTATGATTTATTATTTTTACAACGAAGTTAATTGAGTGTTTTATTGATTGAGTATTTAACTAATGTTTCATTGCAGCAAATATCACCGGATGTGTTCAAAGGTTTGGCATCGCTGTTAAAACACGCAGTAAAGGGTATAGATCAGGTGGGAGATGGAGCTAACACTTCTGGAATAGGCTCTATCTTTACCCTTCTTGAGGTGGCTTACACCCGCCATATGGGCGCTTATGGTGAGCAAGCATTTTCTAGTTTTTATAAGATCATGTATGGTAAATAATTATTAGATGTTATAGTAAATAATCATAATTTTCCTCTAATTTATAATTATCTGTTGTCTAATCACTTCACCATCACTTAATTTAATTATTATATACTGGAATTTTGTTGAAATGGCAAATTGTTGATTTTGAAAGTGTTGAGCCGTCAGGAAGTTATTTTTTGAGAAAATTTAGTTTTATCTTTTGAGGACCTTCTTATGTTTTGAGACAGCTACCAATAAAGTTCTTAGGATCGCTGTTTTCAGATATTTTGAACTTTGATATAGTTTATAATAATAAATGAGCCGTCTGACATATAACTCGCTTCAGTTGAAATAAACAAGACAACCGACCAGAAGAAAAAGAAAACATCGTCAGTTTCAAGCACCTCAGGTACTAAGAGAAGTTAACATTGTTAAATAGAAATTTAGAGAGTTCTGTTGTGCCACTGGTAACCAGTACAAAGTATTGTTAACCACTAGTAACCATTAGTAACCACTAGTAACCACATCAACTCCAACTACAGAGTCACCAGCAGTGAACGAGATAAAGCAGATACTAAACGGGTGTGAAGATCTCAACAACCGGCCTGTGTCCTCACAGGCTGCAGCCTCTACTTCCTCAGAGGTAACCAAAACAGGGTCCTTCCTCCAGAGCCTTTACTAGATCATAACCCTTGGAATGATTCTAGTCTTTAGAAATCTGATCTTACATACATAATTTGGATATATATTTAGGTTTCTAAGTCGACTCAACTGTAGATTTCTCAGACTATCAATAATACTAAAAAAGTAATATTTTAGTATTACTCATACTCCTAGCAACCTACTATACAGTCGAGTTAGAAACCTAGATCTTAAATTAGAGAGAAAGTATGAACTATTTCTTTTTTCTCTCATCTAAAATCTCCCTTTGTTCAGAAGCTAGGCTCACCGCGTGACCCAGACTGGTCCCCACCCTCTCCAGCAACCCTCACCACTCCCCAACCTACCCTGACGCCCTCAGTGTGTCCTCCTACACCGGACACGGAGACAGAGGCCACTCAGTTCCAATATCCCAGTACTGATAAGCAAACTACTCTTCAACGGAGTCCCAACCCTCCTGGTTATTTTCTTTAGACGTTAATTGAGTGCACAATTAGATAATTAGATAATTAGATAATTCTACGTTATAATGATATCTTCTTGCCTCATCTGTAAAATAGTTTGCTACTATATCTGACATGAACAATGAAGATTCCCGACACAAAATTTGACGCGACCACTTAACCTTGAAAATATATATTTATTAAGTTTATTAAGTTAATTATATTAACTTTAAATAATGAACAGGAACACCCGAGTCAGGATCACCCCCGACAGAAGAGTCGAGTTCAATAATGAACTTAGCAACATCTCTGCTGGCATCTGGCACCATGCCGCCTGATACTGACATACATCGGAAGTATCTGTACGAAGAAATTTTGGGCAAAGTTCGGTAAGCAGAATTATTTTTAGGTTGTACTAATTGTTTGTGATTGTTTGTTTCAATTATTAACCATTTGAATTTGATGACATCACTATTTGATGACGTCACTTTGTTGTGATGTCGTGGTATACCAGGTCGAGTGTGTGGGAGAAGGAGGACACGTGGGAGGGCATGTTTTACGATGCTGTACACACGGAACGGGAAATACTCGGCATGAACCGATATCCTCACGAAATGCAAGACAGGTTAGGATCTATTCGAGTATTTTACTTAGAATTAAAACAAATCTTTCGTGTTATTATGATTATGATCATGATAATAGTACATCGATTACTTGCACATAAAAGTGTTCGTAGTAAAAATTTCAGTCATTTCTGCTCCACGGTTCATACGGCAAGCCTATATATTGGATTTGGTTTTACGGTTACCGGTCACATATAAATTATATAATAATTTTTGAATACTATGATTTAAAAAGCCAAATTTCAGATACACGAAGCACTCCAAACGAGGAAGACAGCGAATAGAGACGGATGAAGACGAGCTATTGTATGGGTGTATAAAGAACATAGTGGGGTTCATGGTGGCCCTGGAGGTGGAAACTAAAACTATCATGAAGTTAATCTCCAGATTGGAAGGTAGTGATTTTGACATAATTATAACATTTAATTTAACATAATAATAATAACATTCTTGGTTCTAATTTAACGATCATTACGATAATATTTACTTCATAACATCATAAAAAATACACATGCAATGAACGAAATTAGTAGATAATCTATTTTTTTAACAGTTCAAATTGTAAAATCTCGCAAAAAAGTTTGCTACTGTTTATTCAAAAATAAATGATAAATTAGCACAAAAACATATTATGACAGCACAATTTTCTTCCCAGGTAAAACTCACATCGGCCTAAAGTTCAACCCTCGTTTACGACTAATCAAGGAACATTTACCGCACCTAACCAAGAACCAGCTGACCCTGAAACCGCTGCGGTCCCAGCTACCGCGCACTTCTTATCTAGTTCACCAGGGGACCACTCTCTCCGGCGAGACTCTTCTTCTCGAGGTTTGAGTTGTTCTTGTTATATTTTTATGTTGCTGGTGTTGAATGGAATGGTGCAAATAGGTATTAAGTCCGAGACTAAAAGTTTTGAAAAATAACAAAAATTGTTTTAAAATCCACCTCATTCGTTTCGAGTAACACTGTTACTGTTAGCTATTGTCTCTTCGTAGCTAGGAACCCTATATTTACCGCAAATACTTTTAGTAATGTCATCGTATGAGGGCGGTGAGTCCATCACGTATGCGGTGACAAGTGTGGTCACGTGCGTTGTGGTCACGTGTGTAGTTACACGTGTGGTGGTCACGTGTGTAGTTACACGCGTGGTGGTCACGTGTGTAGTTACACGTGTGGTGGTTGGTGGGTTTATTGATGAGTCGGGCGTGGCGTGCTGTTCGTTACTCATCACAACACTGCTCCTCAAATGGGGTGTGCTTGTAGGGAGCAGTGTATGTTGTGACCGCCGGTAGATACGATATCCTACAAAGCAGAGGAAACCAGCGCTAATTATAGCCAATATTGTTATCACTGTTGGCGGGAGCACTTTTATCTCTTTTTCTGAGGATGGAATAAGGAATTTGAAAGTATAGTATGGAAAATGGGACTTTTTATTACCTGTCCGAAATGTGTGATTTTCAGCAAGTTTTTGAAATGTCTATTATATATTATGGTGTGCTTTGTGCAAGTTCGGATATTCATCATAATTATGATAGATGTGGATTCTGGTGGGGAGGTTAGGTTTATTTTTACGCGTTACAGTGATTCTGGGGTTTAATTGATCAATTATAGTGGAAGCTTATTGGTTTATTACACCCCACCACAATCCACAGATCTATAAACTAGTAGTTGTCTAGTATCAAACCTTATGACATCACCATGTTGACTATGGTCGATTTAATATGTCACCTGATTTACAAGAGATACGATAAACATTCTGGGCCCAATCTCCGCCCCTCCCGTTAGAATTACATTCGGTGGAAGCCCCGTATTTCTGGTATGTGTCTGCCGCGTCTGCAGCGGTGAAACACTCGCTGCTGAATTGAACCGCAAATATTACCCACCCCTTGTCTGCTGCATATTTCTGAGCAAAAGAGATCAAATAAAATTAAATCAAATAATTATGACACCAAAATCATCACACGTCATCATAAATATTTCTAAAAAAATTTAAAGATTGGATTAAAATTCTAGGTTCACAGACCCAGTAATTATATTTATACATTCCACTACTTTATAGTATGTATAATACAAGACGTTAATAAAACTTTCTTAACAACATACAGATTAAACCTAAGAGACAAAGAATATAATTTAAATGCCTTCACTAATCACTATCTTGGTTATGGTGCCCGTTACAAATTTTCAAAAAGTCGCCTTTCAGGAACAATAAACTTGAAGAGGAAATTATGTTCTAATTACACTACCGTTTTTATCAACGAAATATCTGTTAACAATAAACATAACAATTTACATTACACTTTTAATTGATTACAAAAAACAATCTTAGATATTGATAATAAATAATATATAAATAAATAAATTCTTACCTGACAGTCCTCTATAGAATTATTAGAGGTAAGTCTGACTATACTTATAGCTCTACTGGATCTGTCTGCCCAGCACCCTAGATGTTCCCTTTCTAGTGTGCAGTCTCCTAGAGTGCCTGTTTATTGTTTAAGGGTTTGCTATTATTAAGTACTAATAGTAATTAATTATTTGTAACTACTACTATCTAGTACTAATTATAATATTAATTAGTACTAATACTAATACGTAGTCTCCTTATAGAGTACCTGTTTAAGGGTGCGGTGATACCAAGGCGGTGATCATTGTTTGGCCGTAAAGTTTTCAAAATTTATTGTTATTTGTTAGTCAATTTGTTCAATTTGACAGTGATGTTACACTAGTGGGTGATGCTTTTTCTTTTCCATGACCATGTTTAGTTTAATTTTTATTTAATTATAGTTAAGTATTATAATAAGGAAACAATTTTGTATCATAGTTATTATTAATCTTTTGACCTACCCGCTGCATTTGACAGGTGTAGGAGAGCACTCCAAAGAATAATTAGGAAATCTAGATTCGCATTCATCTAGGATTAGCTAGAAATGAACGGTGATCTGCAATCAGTAACTGAAGTATTATATATTGACAAACCCATAAACAAAAGACAATCTTAAATCAGAAAAATAAAGTCATAAAAAAACACATTTTTTAGAGTATTTCTTCCATCCGTCGCCTCTTCCTCGAAGATATAACATTTTTTTTTCTATCAGATTTGTGAACTTATACTTTGTATCGCTGTGCACCATGAGGTTAGATCGACAATCGAAAAGATTGTGGTAAGGATCAAACGTTTTTTTATGACGTAACAACAAAAGCTTCGGAAAGTAGACTAACTTTTAAGAATCAAGAAAAGCATATGTAGAACAATTTCTTTACTATTATTATCAGATGACAACTTAGCAATGAATTTGAATACTATCGATATTTGATAAAAAAAACAAAAGAGGGTAAATCTTGGCAACTTTTCAAGCTGGATCATAATCCAGAGAAAAAAAGAGAAGTCGACGTTAGTCGACCGGTAGAAGAGGTACCAGAGGAAAAATATTCCTTTCCGTAATGCTGGAACTTTGCCAGTTTTAACGCAAAGAGGACAAACGAAATAGCAAGCTAAGTGTCTACATTAATATGGTACTGGTCAGATCTCCTTCTTCCCGATGTGATTATATAATTTTAAAAATGTGATTATAATACAATTAAGCAATTAAAATGCCTCTCAACAGATCTTTTCCTGATATCTAATACTTTGCAGGATAATAGCATAATTACAAATTACCCAGGAACTCTACTATAGTGAATATAATAATCCACTCAATTTCCCCGGGCATTTTAAAGCGTAAACTTTTATCATTTTGGGTTCCCAACAACAACAACAACTACAACAACAACAACAAAAATCGCCGAGATGATGTCCCCTGGCTCCGTAATCAGACCATATATGGTAACGGGTTGTTATGGTAACGGGTTGTTATGGTAACGGGTTGTTATGGTAACGGGTTATGGTAACATGAACAGGTTGTTCGGATATGGTCCTTTTGGACCACGTGACCCTTTCGTTGTGAGAGTACTTAAGAGCCATGAAGAATTGAGTTTGACGAATAAAAGGGAAACTTCGAAAGTGCGACTTAAATAGCTAATCTTATTGGATGGCACTGGCAGGGTATTAATTGGATATCTGAGTTAAGCGGCGTTAAAGCTAGTTGAGTTTGTCATGAATGGGATTAGAGTGGGCCTGCTTACTTACTTAGAGCGTGTGCGACGCGCGCCGCGCGGGTGATATATTATATTTATATATGGTATATTTACCAATTGAAGAAGAAGTAACACGATAAACATTCATCGCCCAAGAGCCTCCCTTTCCTCCCTCCAAACAATCTGTTGACTCCCCATGTTTCTGATATGTTTCCCCTGCATCTGCTGATGTGAAACACTGGTCACCAGCCAGAATCCCAAACACCGACCATTTTCTCACTTTGGCGAAGTTGTAACAGTCCTCAATTGGTCTATCTGATATCAAGCTCGTTTTGTCTGCTATAATTCTATCCTCACTATCCTTCCAGCATCCAAGATCAGTGCGGCCTTCTAATAGCTTTTCCTCATCTGGCATTGTTTAATTTATTCATCGGTATACCCTATAATGAGAAGTACGTACGGTACTGGGCTTAAAGTACGTACGGTACAGCAACTTTTAAAGGTACGTAACGTACAGGCCCTATAGGGTACAGCCTTTTTTGGAAAAAATGTAACTTTTTTCAAAGTCAGTGGAGTACTTGCAATGTTCCTTTTAATGTCGCAATGTTCCTATTTAGTATTATCATAATTTTATTTGAGGTAGCAGTCGAAGAGAAAAATTATTTATTAGGATAATAAATTAACAATGAGAGATGAAAATGAGCAGTGACAGATAAAATCAGTATCGCATTTTAATGTGCTTATTGGAGTAAATAGACACTAGTTTTTCAGCAATCTGAGGCTTCAGCCTTCCTTTATTCATAAGATATTGTAGTCTCTAAAGTTTGTTTCACACAATGAGGATGCGCTAAAAATCGCGTAAACAACATCTGCCAGCTTTTTCAACCAACATAGTTCAAAGCGCCATTGCAATTGCAAGCACTGTACCTTTCAGCCCAAGTTTAAAAGTACGTACCGTACAGATATTTTTAAAGGTACGTACCGTACGTATTTCTCATCTTAGGCCGTATAGCTAATTTAATTTCGGTGTATCTTTAATATTTAAGATGTTCGTGTCAATCAGATGCTTAGACAGAGTATGGCGAATATTACAAACTACAAGAACATTTCAAATTTGAATAATAATTATTAGTCATTTATTAAATCTTATATTGAAATGCTAGACCTGGCTAATCTCTAAGGTTTTAGCAGATGCCCTAATCGATCACTGCTTCCAGGGATGAAATATTCCAAAGTAATGAAATATTCCAAAGTAATGAAGCAATAGGGTAAAAGTAGGCTACAAATTTACCTGGATCTGAGCAATCCGGAATAATACAATAAACATTCATCGCCCAGTGGCCCCCTCTACCGCCCGCCTTGCAATTTGTAGACTTTCCATTTTTCTGATAATATCTCCCTGCGTCTGCCGACGTGTAACACTGATCACCAGCCTGGCCCTCAATTCCAAATACCCACCATTTCCTCTCTTTGGCGAAGTTGTAGCAGTCCTCAATTGGTCTATCTGATTTCAAGCTCGTTTTGTCTGCTATAGCTCGGTTACTCTCACTACCCATCCAAGATTAATGCGACATTCGAGGACTTTTTCTTCATCTGACATAGTCGGTTTATAAATCGTGCTTGCTAATTTAATTTGGTGTAAGATTTGGATTAATTAAGTAATGAGATACAAGATCTGACTGATTGAATCTTTTTTTCTTTTTAAAACTAAAAGGTTCCCGGAAATAACAGAATAGTTGTTTTCAAAAAGGTTTATATATAATATGGCATATGCTCTATCGTATTGTGATTGGATTATAAATATTCAAATATTAACCTTTATCGTCGCAGTCAGGAACTATAAGGTAAACATCCATCCCCCAGTAGCCACCTTTCCCACCTTCCTTGCAATTTGTAGAACTGTAGACTCTCTATATTTCTGATATGTTTCTCCCGCATCCACCGCTGTATAACATTGCTTCCTATTTTGTACGGCAAACACCGACCAACCGCTCAATTTAGCGAACTGGTAACAATCTTCTATTGGGTTGGTTGATGCGAACTTGTAGCCGTCTATAGCTCGAATAATTTTATCCTTCCAACATCCCATATGAGAGTGACATTCCGAAAGCTTTGCCCCATCTGAGGTTTATTAATTAATTAGGCAATAATTTGTGTCATTGATATTTCAATTTATAAGTTCTGTGATTATTTAAATTAGATACTGGCAGTATATGATATAAAATATTTAATGAGTTAATTAAATGTCAACAATTGTATTAACACTTTTTGCCATCAGATAAAGAAGTAGTTGAATATCTTTTTTAGATTTAATACGTTTAGTTACCTCCAAGGTCCACGAAAAACCAGAGTAGAAGATGTCCAAACATGTTCGTTTGTAGATTGTTCTTATTCAGCTAGTTCGTTGATAGGTTAGCAATGCTAATAAAATTTCATTAAAATAAAAGTTTTAGATTTAAACAAAATACCGTACCAAATAGTTGTCTTGGGTCCTTTTTATCGATCGATTATTCGTCTATTCTTTACCCTCCCCAATCTCGTCGGTTGCCATTAATTGAAGAAGACTAAGCTGGGATGTATACTGTACAAATTATCATACCGATTTGCCGATTTGGGTCGTTATTGTACATAGTCCTTTAGGCGGCATTTGATCGATTACGACGCTTGCTGAACGTTAAAACATGAGTAGAATTATAATCAACTAAAGCAGTGAATTCTAATAGGTATTTGATTTAAAACTTAAACTTCGTATTAATTTTAATGATCACGTTTAACCAAAGAACTTCTTCAGATATCAGCGGAAGCGATTTTTATCCGATCTCCGAGCAACATGACGATAAAAGACCGGTATTTCCTGGAGGACGTGAGACGAGTCTCCTTCAGTAAGAAGTACAAGATAATGTCCCTGTGGGTTCTGACGGGTGCCCAGCAGTCTCCTGTCACTCAGATACAGTTCTGTAGTCAAAAGGTAGGATATAGTAGGATATAGTAGGATAGAGTAGGATATAGTAGGATATAGTAGGATATAGTAGCCTAGTAGGATCACTAGGATATATATATAAAGTAGGATGTATTATGTAAGGTAGGATATAGTAGGATATAGTAGAATATAGTAGGATAAAGTAGGATATATATATATATATATAATAGGATATAATCTCTACTATAATTCAAAAGATTCTTTTTGTAGAATGTATGTATGTACGACCGCGGCCGCCCACGTGCAAATTTGATGAAAAATAGGAATTTAGGTAACAACCAAAACGTTCCATAGCAACGGTGTTTTGATGCGCACGTGCACGTGCAATGATTGTTTTAACGTCATTTTGATCGGTTTTGTTGTTATTATGTTGTGTTTAAAGTGTTTTATATTTAAATCGGCTGTATCTTCGGTTGGGATGGATATTTTTTGTTGCGATTAAAACTTTCTTTCAAAGAATACTACTAGCTTCGTCCCTGTTACCACGGGCTTTCTAGTCTCTACTATAATTCAGAAAATTCTTTTTGTTGTATGTACACTGTACGACCGCCCACGTGCAAATTAGACGAGAAATAAGTAGTTGCAAAGTAACCATGGTAACGAGGGTTCTTACACGCACGTGCACGTGCAAAGATTGTTAAAACGGCATTTTTATTGGTTTTGTTGATATTACATTTAGTTGTGTTTAGTGATATTTTTTGACTCAATTTAAACTTACTAACAAAAAATACTATTAGCTTCCTCCCTGTGACCATGGGCTTTCTAGTATATATATAAAGTAGGATAAACTGCCCTAAGATTCTCAGAAGGTAGGATATACAACAGTTATCCCCTGTGACTCAGTCCTCAGATGGGGGGGGGGGGGGGGGCCAATGGCATAAATGGAGAATAAGTCAAGGGTTTTTCCATTTTCTCCCATTTTCTCCATAGAAAATTCCCGCCCTCGTGTCCACTCTTTAAGGAAAGTACCGCCCTTGTATCCTATACCCCACTGAGTATGTCATACTCGTCGTAATTTATAATTGCAAAATGCAAATTTTCTAAATTGTATCTTTCAAAGATTCAAGATTGTAAGACTTGAAGATTTCAACTTGAGTCTATATCTGACTAGGATTTGGCAATATGTTGACAAAAAACAACCGCATCTTTGGTCAAATTAATAAATCATATTCACAGATTTTGTTTAAATTCATATCGATACTGATACAATAATTATTATTGAGCAGTGTCACGGTATTTATGTTCAGTCTACTACTACTAGCCCAGCAAAAAATCATCGTCGAAAAGGAATTTTACTACAAAATTGATCTCTTTTGACGAAGTAAAAAACAGAGCCATTGCATGCTTGATCATTAAAAAATTATCACGTGATATAGTATACTGCATAGATTTATAGTTAAGTCTAAGATAAAATTTAAACGCTTTGATGCTCTATTTTGACCATTTGAGTCCATTTATTTTCATCATGCCAATCAGATATATATACGTCAGAATATATAAATAATAGAGAATAATTTCCAATTGTTGCATCTTCCATATCCGGATTTTCGATCCAAGGTCCATGTTCGACAGAGGGGCGAGAAGCGGGGAGGAGTCAGGAGGAGTTAGGAGGAGTTAGGAGGAGTTAGGAGGAGTTAGGAGGAGTTAGGAGGAGTCAGGAGGAGTTAGGAGGAGTCAGGAGGAGTTAGGAGGAGTCAGGAGGAGTTAGGAGGAGTCAGGAGGAGTTAGGAGGAGTCAGGAGGAGTTAGGAGGAGTCAGGAGGAGTTAGGAGGAGTTAGGAGGAGTTAGGAGGAGTTAGGAGGAGTTAGGTGTATATTAAGTCATTTCACTTCCCAACATCATTAGTATCAGATTATTGGAATGAGTCCCAATTTTCTGACTCATCCCAATCATTGTCACTAAAGAAACACCAGTCCATATCCCAATCACAGGTGCCATTAGGGCACTTAACTTTTTCCTGAGCAGTGCACTCATTTAAAATAGGTGTTTTAGGACATAATTCAGGCTTACCACCTTCTACGCATGTGACACCATCCGTACATTTTGAATTTCCTTTTGGACATTCAAATTTCTTGCAGAAATCAGCGTCTTCATCGGAGTTATCTGGGCAATCGTCCTTGTAGGCATCACACATGTACATGGTGTAGACACACGTTTTCCCATCACCACACAGACTGTTACCATCTTCACATGCCGCAGCTGGGTTTACTGAGAAACAGAGCACCATCAGGATCAAGCTGGTCAGTGTTGTCATCATCATCATCTGGGAGATGAGGGTTCATCAAATATCTATAGTAAAGATCAGCCACAACACACATCATCACTCGATTGGCTTGTCTGTATTAATCAAATTGAATCGTTAGATATCAAATTCCTCGCGCAATTCTGCATACCTTACTCGGGATTATTATGACCGGGATAAAGTGGTGGGTTTAGGGTAATTTCGCCATATTTTTCCCGAACCACATTTTCACCGGTCGTTAATAAACCCGCCTACTCAGCTTTTAGGGTTCCCAAGGGGTATGGGTGCTCATATTTTAATCGTTGTCTTATATTCATTAAAGAAGACTATTGGGACACTTGTTGTAGGTTTTTCGACTTCATTTGGCTAAAATTGCAAAAAATTCACCTTTTTGCCCAATTCTTGTCATATATCCTTATTGTCAAATTTGATTTAAATAGGCCAATTTTTAATTTCTTAGGTATTGACTATCTCTACATAATGAAATAGGACTCAAAGTAAAAGTAACAGTTAAATTAAAACTTGAATTAATTAAAACTGATGAAAGGGATGATCCAGATGAAGATAACGAAGATGATTACAACTTATTGGAAGACTAAACAGCTCTCCCTTTATCTTAATATCGATCTGGTTGTTACGCTTCAAATGTTAAAAATTATTTTCCATCTAGTTTCATTAACCACGGGTCATTATTTCTGTCTACTTTCAACAATTATTGATAATTCGACTTGTTTCACAAGTTTTAGCAATGCGAAAATTTCTAAACTTGCTTATCTCTAATAAGGAAATTTACATCTGAGACAAAATTTTTGAATCTAAAATTGAAAGGTTGGACACCGGTAAAATGGCGACCGGGAAAATGTGGTGGGTTTTGAGCAATTTCGCCATATTTTTCCCGAACCATATTTTAACCGGTCGTTAATAAACCCGTCGTAATAATCCCGAGTAAGGTATTTATTTTTGTACTGTGACTGTTAGGAGATTTTTATACTAGGTATACTGCGTGCAAAAATAAAATCGATACGCCCATAACTATGGAAAATATTACAATTATTTTAACGAGGAAAGGATGTCGAACAGAATTACGTCTTGCTTATTGGCCTTGTACGTTCAATGTTGTCTTGGACCATATATATATATATAGGAAAAGTAACCCATAATCACATGATGACATAATTACTTAAGGTGCAGCGAATTTAATGTATTTTTAATTTATTTATATGTGTTGGCAGGCTGCTCAACAACACAAATATGTTATTATTCTGTATCGCATTCTTGCAAAGCTATGAACTGGGTAAAATAGTATTGTGGACAATCCTTACTATGAAAAACGATAGATATTAAATAAATGGATTTGAATTGAACAAAAATTTAAATTGAACAAATTAGAAAAAGCACTGTATTGTATGAGGTCAACAAATCTTTTGTAAAGTTAACTTACAACTATGCATATAATAATACAAATAATATTAATAACAAGTTAACCTTGCAAAGTTTTTCAAATAAATGTTGCTACTCAACAGACTTTGATGGGATTCTATGAGGAAATTTTGTGTCTCGTGGTCCTTTGTCCCCAAATTTAGTGAGGGAGGTGTGGGCAAAAATTTTCAAAGTAATTCAACCAAGGCGCTGAGTTTTACGATAAGCCTCGTGACTCAGACTCATGATGATACTGAAATCTTATGCAAAGTTTACAGAGAGGTTCAAGTTTGAAGTACGCTATTTTGTTGAGTTGCATACGTAAATGTAATTCGATGATCAATAATCTCCTGTCACTCAGTCCTCAGATACAATTCTGTAGTCCAAACGTACAGATATAGTAGGATTTAATATATATTTAAGGTAGCATATACTGCACTTCTTTTTACTCCTTATGTCTTGTATTGATGAAGAGTACAAAAAATAATTGCTGCAATCATTTCTTCAAATATCTGAGATATTCAGGTTTTTCCCCACTCAGAGCGCAGAAGCCTACAACAAGATCAAAGAAAGTTTCAAGAGGATAAAGAAGACTGATTCCACTGTTTCGAAAAAGGTAAATGTGAATTTGAGCTCAATAATATGGTAATCCTGGACCACTTTACTTTAATTTGTAAGTCAACTTCTTCTCTGAGAAACCATCATATATATCCTTCCAAGGTAGAATAATTAATTAATAGCTCGATAACATCAATTAGATTATCAGAATGTAACGACTAATAATTTTTCAGGACTCGTCAGCTGAGTTTGAAGTACAAGTATTCAATAATACTGAGGTTACAGTCTACCTTGAGATTACGCAAGATTATGTCAAACTCAAATTCCCGACTGAGACGGTAATATTTTGTAATATTTTTGAATAAAGTTTTACTTTTAAATAAATTTGTATCATCTTTTTAATGAGTATGTTGAGAGGATGTGTGTGTGTTAATGTGTTGATTATGTATTATGTAAGTTAATTATATGTAAGTTAATTATATAAGTTTGTAATTGATTAGGTAATTTTCAGAATCTGATCCCGGTTAGTCAGATATTCCGAGTAACACGAAATAAAGACTCTATCTCTCTGGATGCTCTAGTAGCTAATGGACAGGTAACAGTCACTTCTTTCAGTAACCACGTCACTTCTTTCAGTAACCACGTCACTTCTTTCAGTAACCAAGTCACTTCTTTCAGTAACCAAGTCACTACTTTCAGTAACCAAGTCACTTCTTTCAGTAACCAAGTCACTACTTTCAGTAACCAAGTCACTTCTTTCAGTAACCACGTCACTTCTTTCAGTAACCAAGTCACTTCTTTCAGTAACCACGTCACTTCTTTCAGTAACCAAGTCACTTCTTTCAGTAACCAAGTCACTTCTTTCAGTAACCAAGTCACTTCTTTCAGTAACCAAGTCACTTCTTTCAGTAACCAAGTCACTTCTTTCAGTAACCAAGTCATTGAAACTCAACATTACATCTTTTATTTTTAGTTAAAATATAAAATATCTTTAAAATCATTTTTTTTTGTGAAGACCATCTTATTCCAAAATACAATTTTAAAACATATCCATTTATTTCTTTTTTAAGAATCAAGAAATCAACATGTATATGTACAATGTACATGTTAATCTAAAATATTATATCTAATGTTGCAGGTGAAGCCGTACGTTTTCAAGACGAGTCAAGGGTCCTCAATCTGTGACAGAATCCTAACCTCCTTTGAGCGGATGTCGCTGCATAAACCTAAGAAACACCTTCGACCTGGTTTGTAATATTCTTACTTTTATTTCCGCAACTGAGACATTCATGAAATTGATGATTCTAATTTCTAAATAGCAAATACCCATAAGATCAGTGAATTAATTAGTCAGTTGATCATCATCAATTAGTCAGTTAATTAATTATGTTATTGAACTTTAATTTATTTTAATCGACATTTTCCGACAGGCTCACGTGACAGCTCAGTTACGTCTGATGAGGAGAGCAGTATTTGTCTCTCCAGCCCTGAGTATCAGTTCATGTCTAGTGACGACGAGGAAGGAATTTGAGCAATACCTATGACGTCATCAACCGAACTATGACGTCACTAAACATGATATAAACTACGAGCTGGTTCTCTGATACGTCATTACAAACTGATAACATTTTTGTGCCCGTATTTGTAGACTTAAGTTACTTCTTAGGGGTACTCTCCCCCAACCCCCTACTTAGCGGTTTGTTTTCAAAACACTGGGCTCAGAAAGGGGTCCGGGACTCTACGGCCTTAGACTTGACGGTGGGAAATTTGACGGTGCAAAAACTAGGGTTAGGTTTAGGTTGAGATAAAATTCTCATTCCCAAACCCTAACCCTAACTCTAACTTTAAACCCTAACCATATCATAACCAAAATGCTAACCCATAAACCTCAACCCTAACCCTAACTTTTTTGTGCCAAAAAATCTGCCGCTGTAGAGTCTCGCACCGTAGAGTCCGGACTCCTTACAAAGCCTAGATAAGGAGGACTGTTTTTGATTGTTTCGTTAGAAGTTGAAGTGCAGTTTATGAGTTTGGAATTGAAGACCATGATGTTTCATTTTGCTGAAAATGTATATGTGAATGATTAGGTTTGTTTACCTTTGTGGTTGTTTATGTTTGTGGTTATAAATTAGTTGTTTGGAGGAATGAACTTTGTTAGTGTAGTACTTAGGACGTATGGATGAAGTGCAATTTGTCCGTTAGAATGAAGCCCAAATAACCGCTGATATAAGGTTGTGGTAGATTTAACCATATTAGTTTGGGTTAGTATGGAACGATATTCGGGAACTACGAGAGTTTATTGAGTGGTTTTATTGAGGATTGTGCTTTTGAAATGTGAGAGTTTCAATATTTGTTTCGTTTCGATTCGATTAAAATTGGTTAATGAATTTTAGTCTATTGTATCTGACAAAAATATGGTTTTACGTTCAATTAATTAATGAATCAAATATTTAATGAATTAGTTGGCTTACCGTAAGCGACATTTGAATGCCCGGCGAAACATTGATATGACAGAATTATCAAAAGTCCCCCAATTAGGTAGGTTACCCCATTAAAATACTGAGAAAGGCATTTCAATTTAATAATTTCTTGACTTGGATTTAGAACGTGTCATTATCTTAATATTTCGTTTACAATCTTGTTTTTACCTTTGCTTTGAATTGACTCATATTTAAAATTTTATGATGTATTTTTCTGACGAAGGTTAAAATCTGATTGATTTCTGAGTTAGTATTTACTTATTTAAAACAATAAAATTAATAATAATAATAATTTGATATTTGATAAAGATGTATCTAAAAGTTTGCCTATATCTTGACATAACTAATCTCACGCTCTATCGAATAAGAGGGACATATTTCTGCAAATTTCCCGAAATGAAACTTAAAATGACCGCCCCATGTATACTTGTAAGGAACTCATATTATGTAATTAGATTCACTTTTCACATTTCGAATTTGTGTTTAATAAAGACTTTATATAGTCTACCTCTGTGCTTAAGATTATATTGTATTGATTGAAATTTCTATTTGTTATTGTTAAGGTATTTTAGCAGTACAAAACTTAAAACCGAGTTTAATTTCTATTTTCCAAATTCTAAGACAAGCCAGATAAAACGAATCATCTTGCTCACAAATAATCGAAATATTCATAAACCACAAAGACAGTGAGGGGTCGTTCACATATTATGTAATCAGCCGAGGGGGGAGGGCCACTGGCCAGTTTCTAAATGATAACGCTAGTGTAATTTCGACACAAAAGCTATGTGCAAAATTGATTACCGAGGGGGGAGGGGGTTAAAAATGGGCCAAAAAGGGATTACGTAATATGTGAACGACCCCTAATACTAATAGTAATAGATAATGGAGAAACCGGCATCATTCAGAGCCCAATATTAAAATATGGTTTAATCTGTATCGAGTATTCACAGTTATTGAATTAACAGTAAGAGTCGTATTTAGGCTGGGCATTCAACTTCTTCATCGCAACGTTAGCTTTGAAGGTTCTGGGTATGTTACCTGCGATGTTTATTTGATATAGTTTTCTAACAATAACTTTGACAAATAAGTACAATTCCGACCGGCTGTTAAACTTAAGTGTGCGTCCTTCACATATTTTGGTGGCGCGGCGTATCCATGGTGCATACCATTACCGTAACAGCCGGCTGATAGCTGCGGTCGGCATTGTAAATGCACCTATGACGGCCTATAGTTCCCAACATTAACACATCTTGTATAATATAACAAAACGAAATTTTGTTATATATCGGTCGGAGGAAGCTCACAGCACAAAGCTTAACAAAACGAAAATTCATATTTTACAATTTCTGTCCCGATCCCATTTTCAAATATGAAAATTTCTGAACACAAATTTGATAGTTTGGATGGACTTTTTGCCCAATGCCCAGAGACCAACTATTCAGTTAATTGATGATGGTATGAAACCAAATTGAGGTACTGGAAGTCAAAATCCCGAAGAAAATTGAAAAATCACATTGACCCATTTAAGCACAAGTCTCATTCTAACTCTTACAGAAACACCTTAAAAAACTAATCTTTAATATTACCTCTCCAGGAGTAGTGACACACAACATAGGTTTTACTGCTGCCGTGACTCACAGCGCAGCCCACTCTGTCACTGCTCTTCCAAACTAGCTGAGGTATGAAGTTATACGTTACCGGTTACCCGGGTATAATGAAGTATTGACTGACGAATTGAGTGAAAATACTTTGTTTTGACTGGTGGCCTCTTCAACTCGGACCGATCAATACCAAAATTTTAAATTTTAGTTTACTGCCATTGGTTGTATAATGTATTATGATTTTTGGTAGAAATTTTCACGTTTGCGTTTAAAGTTTTTGTTAGTTAAACTAGAGTATTGCCATTGGTATAACTATCTAGTACCTGAGTAAAATGTCCGGTGATAGGAGAGGAGGTTCAGGGTTTGTGTAATTGTAATGTTTCTCCTCGACACAATACCATAACTTAACACACTTAGTCAGGCACCAGGTCTTCCCTTTCTTCTTGCAGACTCTGCGCGACATTGCACACAAGTTCTCTCCATTGCACTAATTTCATGATAGATTTTGATCTCGTACGAATCTACGTATTACACTGCTCACAAATACAAACAGGTACAAAGCCAGCCAATTCTTTGTCTATTGTGCACGCCACACCAATTGTGTGGGGATTGTATTCTTGCTGTTGATCTATTAAGTCAGGTACACCTCTCCCTACATTCTCTGTTATGGTGGTAGATTCGGCTAATGTGTGATCAGTGTGCATTGCACACAGCGTTGACAACGTATTTCCAGTTCCTTTCTTTGCTGCTTGATGTTAAATTTGTGAGCAGTGATCCGTACATGTGATGTATGAGGCATGAATTTCATCTAAGTAGGATTTGTTTTTTCCCCGTTTGATTTGCCTGATAGCGCTAAATCGAAAGCTTTCTTTACGTTGTATGGAACAAATAAAATTAGGCGGATGAGAGACTGTTTGGCTTTTAAACTTAATTTTTGAGTAAGTTGGGATGGGCTCGCATCGTCTAGAGTTTTTATTATACAACCTCCAGTTTTCTCTTTCTCATGTATCGGCTTTGTTCATTTATGGAGTGCTCCGTTGGAGAAAGGAGTTATAGTTAATTGGTTAGTTTCATTTTTAGAGATACATGACTCCTCGTTGTAACTGCCTGAACCTTGAAAACTTGCGTTACCTGTTTAGAAGGTTTTTTGAGTCGTGAGGCTTTGTCCCTCACTATACCTGCTTTTAGAGTATCTAAAAACTTACTTTTTACAGTTACACTGACATCTTTTATAAACCATTATTTTTCAAATTGTGTTACTCTTTTCAGTTGAGTGGTTACCACTGTTCCAGTTGTTTGTGATTAGCCTTGGATTTGTTCACAATATTGTATGCGTATCACCTTTTCAGTCAATACATAACCTCCCTTTTTCCCATCCGGTAAATCAGTTTTACACATAAGCTATTGTGCTAAAAATACACTAGCGTAATTATTTAGAAAACACCTCCCCTCAGTGATAACGTGATTTGGTGAGCGACCCCATTTCTAGCCCTTTTGTCAGATTTATAATACTTTAATTACTGGACATTTAGTGACTCACTATCAAGGGACTAATTTATTTTAGAGTAGAACGATTTAGCAATGATAGACTAGCTCATGCTAGGTTGATAATGTCAATTCCCGTAAAAAGGGGAGTCCCAATGATCGGGTTACGTTAAACGTTCAACTTTTTACAAGTAAATTATATATGTTGAATTCTGTTAAAATTTAACTTTAATTATCTGATTTACCCTAACTCTTGGAAGCCAATTTTATTTTACGGTAACTCTTCCGAAATTTATCAAGTTATTAAAGTAAAATGATTACGGTTAATATTTGAATTAGTTATTTTGCGTTTTGGTAATTGAATGTAAAATAATGACTACACACACTCAGGTAAGACCGCCTCAAGATAGCCAATATCTCCACGACCTCGGAGTACGCCTCCCCAGACCCCAAGAAAGAGTTCTCATTATGGAGGACTTCTTTCACCCCATTTATGCTGCAGACCCCCGTGCTCTGCATGCTGTTATAATGGTGGGATATCAGGTTAAATTTACAACTGTATTGGATATCTTCTATATTTTGATGTAAGTGTGAGGGTTATCTGCATTGTTTTGATTTTCTCAAATTTGCCGACTTAAAGAGCGGAGGTCTCTTTGATCTTAATCTTACTAAATTTGCATTCACGAGAAGAATTTGACGATGTTCGGAATTTCGCTACTATCGTAGTGTGTACCAACTTATTCGCTGGAGTAGGCCATGAGGGTACAGCTGAAGAAATGACACCAGAGAATTCAAGATTTACAACTCGATGTAACGACCGACTAAACGAGCAGATGCAAACAGTGCAGGCTGAGTGTAGATGAATGTGGATACTCAGTGAGTCTGTGGAAAAGGTCCAGATGCTCAGACGATATGATTCAGTAACAACCAGAGTTCAACTCTATACTTGTAACTGCAGGTAATGTGTGTTGGTTATCTAGACCAGGGTCAAGTGGGCTGCAGCAAATTAATATGCCTTCTATTATCTTTAGATGGTTTAATTTGGTTGGCAGCAACGTTCATTGCGCTTGAAAACGAGGGTTGGTGTGGGGGGGGGGGGGGGGGTATGATTTAGCTGGTTCTCAGCTGTTAAAGCCTTGCAAACACAATTCCAGTTAGCAAGATTTAAGGTTATAATTTATGTAGGAGTGCTTTAAATAATTCCTAATGTAAGAACATAATAAGCACCAAAGCCCATAGTAAGGCAATTTTATGCGAACCTAGGGCTTGAGACAGTGAGGAATTACTTACAGTGGTGAGTTGAGGGGACGCCCTGTTGGGATTCTGGAGGAGGACAGGCTGAAGGAGATTAGAGGGACGTTCTTACAGGTAAAAATGACTTTAATGTTTTCAACTTAATAACTAATTACTAATAATTATTTACCTTATTAAACTAATTAATTACTAATAACTAAATTAGTTAACTTATGGTACTACTCCGGGACTTTGTTGTTTTAGTTGGGGTATAGGATTAATATTCTATTTGTTCATAGAATGAATCTTATTATAAACTTTTGCCAGAAGGGATTTAAATCCGTTAAACCAAAACCTTAATCTGTAAAAATTCTTTTGTCGCCTTTTGCCATTTGTAAGTTACAATCGGTTAAACTGATTTCAACGCAATAGTCATATAAAAATTAATCGTATTAAGGCCACTCCAACAACAGCGCCCAAAATGGTAGAGCTGATTTTATCAGTAATGTGACCGAGTATTTTGCTTTGAAGAAGATGTCGTTGAATTAACCAGAGCAATTTCAGCCAAGATGAGATTGTCGGAGGTGATAATTATTTGTGGGTTTTTGAACACCATGGAAATATTTTGGCCTTGCGTCGTGAATTTCGTATGGAAGAAGTATCGAATACTTAGGTTTCAGAAACATGTATATTTGCTCTTGGTTTGGCTTTTGATCCGCTGGTTTTGATTCCTGAAAGAATACGAAACAACCCTTCTTTGTTGACCTGGAGTGAAAAGCCTGACAATTTTACAAGCATTTCTAGTTGTAACTACAAGTCAACATCCAAAGCACATTTTTTGTTTAATGAATACCTTTTTACAATTTTTTTTAATTTTTTGCAAATTAATTATTTTAAAAAACACAAGCCTCAATTTTATTTCACTTCTTCCCAGCATATCTATCGAAATCTTCTTAAAAGGTTATTCCATTTATGATTGTTTTGGTCTGTGTTTATAGTCTAGTTCTCTGCAATTTCTTTACACCTCACTTTATAATAAATTGCTGACTTCATTGCTGTGTTTTAGTATGGGTCGTTCATATATTACGTAATCATGACCCCACCCCCTTTACGTAATCAGTTTTACACTAGATATTGTGTCAATAAGCACTTAGCGTTTTACATTCGGAAACCCCCCCCACCCCCCCCTACGCTTGATTAACGTAATTGTGAAACTACACTATGTTAGCAGAAACATGGTTTTTCCGAATAGATCAGGATACTG